TATGAAAAAGATGAACATTTTAGTTTAAAAAAAAGGCAGGGAATATCTGCTGTTTCCAGAAGACGTACAAATTAACAAACCTATGGAAAAAATCCTTTTCTAATAATAATAGAACTGTAGATAGAAATATTTTGTGTGTGTGTGTGTGTATGTATGTGTTGTCTGCCAAGTAGCAGAAGGATAAATACTGTTGGTGAAGGAATGGGCCTTCAAGTGCTGTTCTGGTAGTGTCAGTGAGACTACTTTTTTTGAGATTCATTTGACATTGTCAGTTAAAATACATACATAATGTAGGTTGGGGAATGGGGTGTTTAAATGAAATAGTATTGGTCATGAGATGATACTTGAAACTGAATGGTGAATACTTGATGGTTTGTTATACTTGTTTAGTCTGCTTTTCCATGTTTGTAATTTTCCACAGCAAAAAGGAAAAATGTGTATATTCTTTGTTGTAGTAATTATTCTCTGAATTTTTCTCGTGTAGTAGCAGGAATACTTAAAAAAATAAAAGAAAGGATGAGCTTTATATTGCTTGTAATAGTAAAACAGTGGAAACATACTAAATGTTCCTCAGTTGGGTAGTAGTTGGAAAGTAGCTTAGCATTTGAAGAAAAGATGATCTTACATACTTTTGTTTTATACTTATATAGATGGATATTACATTGTCCAAGATAAATTATTGTGTGAGGAAAATTATAGAAGAGTATATGTAATTTCCACTCTTTAAAACATTTATATGAATTATGTCTGTGTATGTGGTATATACATAAGAAAAGTCAGGAGATTAACCGTTCTTTTGTGGGAGAAAGCATGGGGAATTTTCACTTTTCACTCTTTCTGTATTATTTATTTTACTATCTTATGGTTACCTTTAATCAGAAGGGAAATAATAAATTCTAAAATTAGAAAAACTAATTTGGCTTCTAATAAAGGTCACATTCTAGAGAGGAGGGAAGTAATCAGTGACAATAATGGGAGAAATTACCTTGGGGGGGATAAATGTACAGAGTTGATCTTGGTTATGTTTGAGTTATGCTATCATTGGTCATTTGCTTTACTTTCTTGCTTTATTTTTTGTAAAGTTTCTTTGGGCAGAAAATTTTAAATGAGTAAGACTGTTTATAAATACCTGTTTATTAATGCAGTTTTATATATGATTTATGTTCATGTTCATGTGAATAAAAGATTGGTGTGTATTTGTTGTAGTATGTGAATTAGATTCTTTTGTTTACTCAGAACAAAACAGATTATTTGTGCATGCAGTCATTTTTAGAAATAATTAAACTCTTAAATATAGATTTTTCTTGAATTGAGCTTGAACTTTATAAATTCCATATGACCTTTCTGCCTTTTATGTATCATGCCCTAGGCAGAGTATTGAGGAATACAACTGTGAAGAGTAAGACAGTCACATTCCCTGTTTTTGGTGGAGTGTTTGGGTGAGGGAATGGTGATGTGTGTTGCAGTGGGCTGAAAAATGGGGAAGACTATAGTAGAGAGAGAGTTAAGAGTGTATAAATTTCCTCCAAAGGTTTGGCTGTGAATGGGAGGAAAGAAATAGGAGGAGTGGTGGAAGGGAGCAGGGAGCACAAGGGATCAAGGAAATTTTAGTTTTCTTTTTCCTCAAAGATCCTTACAACATTTTAAGAGAGTAAGATGGGAGACCATCGTGAAAAATAATTTGTTGAAGCAATAGCACAGCATACAAAACCAATCTGGGAATGGTTGCAGTTTTGATTTTTGTACATTTACCAGTCTAGAATTGGAAGATTCTAGGTCGCAGTAGCCACCTTGGCATTCTATTGAAGTCATCTTTCACCTATAATTAATTATGTTGTTCAGGCTTTGGTTAGTTTCTTTAAGGAAAGCAAAATCCCTCAAGTGACCCCTGGATTTATAGTTTTCCAGAAAGTGCTTGCTGATAGAATCATTTTAATATTGTGAATGAAAACATTAAATTGTTTTTGTGTCTGGAGAAAGAAGGTTCTCAGCCTAGCCTTGAGCACTCCTGTTGGTAGAATTAATGGTAGATTCATCCTCCATTTTACTTCTCTCTGGCACTCGTCTTGTCAGACTTTTAACCCCTTATCATACTAAATGCCTTTTCCTCACAGCTGTCTATAGCAGACACATTCCCTTTATTTAGATATATGGGAACATATATTCCTTTATTTGGAGCATGGTTCTCACAGTGTGATCCATGGATCCTGGTAGGAGTCTGAAAGGTCAAAATTATTTTCATAATACTTAGATGTTATTTGCCTTTCTTATTGTGTCTATCTGTACAGATGGCATGAAAACAATGGTCAAACTGCTGTGCGCCTTAGCATGAAACAAGGCAGTATTCTTCATTGTTGAGCACACACAGTAAAAAAACAAAAACCAAAAAACCCCCCTAGAACCCACCAAAATGCACGCATACACAGAAAACCCTATTTCATTTAAGAACATTCCTGATGTGAAACTTTTTTCAGTAAAAGTTGTTTTTACTAAACTTTAACTTTGAGTTTATATATTTTTTAAAAATTTTATTTATTTATTTGAGAGAGGGAGCACGAGCAGGGGGAGGGGCAGAGGGAGAAGCAGCCTCCCTCCTGAGCAGGGAGCCTGACGCAGGGCTCCATCCCAGCACCCCAAAGTCATGACCTGAGCTGAAGGCAGATGCTTGACTGAGCCACCCAGGCGCCCCTGAGTTTTAGATTTTTAATGTCATGTGTGATGAAATAGGAAGTATAGATAGGATATTTATGTCATTATTTGAGTTGTCAGCTGAAGTAGCAGCTTTTTCATGGAATACCATTTTTACTTGAAACAGTGACTAACATGGGTATTTGGCAGATATTTCCTTGAAGTGACATACTTCACTTACATTTACTTTCTTATTTACCATTTTTGGTTTTCTTTGTTTGTTCCTATGGGTTGATATAACTATCTGGTGTCATTTCTTTACTTTAATACAATTTTTTTTCCCCACTACCGCCTTTGTGCTGTTATTGCCAAATATGTTATAGGCCTTATAATTCAATTATACACATATTGTTCCATATACTTGAGTTAGAAGAAATATGCATTTATACTGTTATAAAAGACATTCACAATATTACTTAATTACCTTTACAAGTGCTCTTTGGGTTTTTTTGGTGTGTTGATTTGTGTTTCTACTTTGGTTTACTGGCTTTCAACCTTATTAAGAACTTCCTTTAGTATTTCTTGTAAGGTGGCTCTGCTAGCAACAATTCTCTCAGTTTTGTTTACCCTAGATTATCTTTATTTTGCTTTCATTTTTGAAAGGCAATTTTGTTGGGTATAAGATTCTAGGTTGACAGTTTTTTCTTTCAGCACTTTGAATATAGGATCTCGCTGCCTTCTGGCCTTCATTGTTTCTGATGAGAAATTATTTTTACTGGAGTTTCCTTGTATGTGATGAGTTCTTTTTCTTTCTCTCTCAGCATTTTTACTGTGGTAAATCTGGGTATAGGTCACTTTGCCATTTGTCCTACTTGGAGTTTGTTCAGCTTCTTGGATGTGTAGATTAATGGTTTGCAGCAAATTTGGGATGATATCAATCATTATTCCTTTGGATATCTTTGTAGTATGTCTTTCATTACTGGAGGGTAGGTAGGTAGGGGGGTGGGTTAAATTGATGATAGGGCACTTGTGAAGTGGGTGTTGTACGTAAGTGATGAATCACTAAATTCTGCATGTGAAACTAATATTACACTGTATATTAACTAACTAGAATTTATTTTATTTTATTTTTTAACTAACTGGAATTTAAATAAAAACTTGAAGAAAAAAAATGTAGTGTATCTTTCAAACTGAAACTCTGCTACCCCTTAAACACTAACTCTGCATGCAGACCTCCTCCTGGCCCTAGGCAACCACCATTCTGCTCTCTGTCTCTCTGAATTTGATACTCTAGTTACATTATATAAGTGGAATTATATAATATTTATTCTTTTTTGTCTGACTCCTTTTGCTTAGCGTAATGTCTTCAAGGTTCATTCATGTTGAAGCTCATGACAGAATTTCCTAGGATTTGTGTATTCTTAGGTATTGAAATTAGCTAGTCCCAATTCCTAGGTATTGAAACTTTTTTCTTCCCCACTTGTTTTATTTTTATTTAACTTTTATACTATCTACTTTTGAATTATTCTCTGTCTCATTTTATACATTGTGGTATGTTTAATTAGTAAAGCATCTAAGTTAAGAAAATGAAACTAAACAGTGCTTTGTTACCTTTGAGGAAAAGTTGATAGTAGTTATGCTGTGGTTATGCTATGCTGTTTATGGAATTACTAATATACAAATTATAATGTAATTTTGGAATACATAATTTTGGGGTCTTTTGCTTAAAAAATGTAAATGATGTTATACCTCTCATTTGAGTATGATTTTGTGAAATTGGTGGTTCTTAATTTTTTTAAACTAGTCTATATTTGAGGGACTTGGGACACATTCTCATCAATAAACAAGACTTAATTCAGTAGTGGTTCCCTGTAAGGAGGTCATGACTACTCTTCCAATGAGTTGAATATACCCAACTACCCCAAAGTCATCGGTTAGTGTGTTTTCACTACATGTGGCATAATCATTTTTATTCCTTTTCATGTGCTTATGAAATTGTGCCATGTAACTTCTTTTAGTTTATCTAAATCCAGTCATGAGATTTAAGGCATCCTTTGCTCATGACCCACTTCCACTTAGAGCTGTTATTTTGATAATAGCTGCCCTGAATATGTGTGATCTTAGAGTGATTGTTGAATCCTTGTCTCAGTAAGGGTAGGCACTGAGTGAATTTTGAGAACACCTGTCATTTTCTTTTAAAGTTATTTATTCCTAGAGAGTATTTGTGATTTGAGGTACCTATTATATTTTCCCCCAATTTAAGGTTTTTAATAAATCAGAATTTTTGATTAATACATAAAACATATCACTGGTATATAAATAAGCTCTATAAGTAAGTTAATCTTGTATATGGTCTTTTATTTCCTAAACAGAGACTCTACAGGGGCAGGTAATTCACTGGTCCACAAGCGGTCTCCTTTACGTCGAAACCAAAAGACCCCAACATCCTTGACCAAGCTGTCTTTACAGGATGGACATAAAGTCAAAAAGCCAGCATGTAAATTTGAAGAGGGTCAGGATGTCCTAGCTAGATGGTCAGATGGCTTGTTTTATCTTGGAACTATCAAAAAGGCAGGTTACCTTTATATATCTTTTGCTGTTTTTTGCAGTAAACTTTTAATAATTTTGAATTTAAATTTAACTTCATGTTTTTGACTTACAAAGAAATCACCATAAATATTCCTCTGTATTTCAGATAAACATATTGAAACAGAGCTGCTTCATCATATTTGAAGACAGTTCTAAATCCTGGGTTCTCTGGAAGGACATTCAAACAGGCAGGTGCTACTATTTCTCTTGAACATGATTTACACTAAAATTTGATTTTCTTTAGCCTGTCACTTTCTAGTGTTTTTTGTTGAGTACAGTATATTAAGGTAACTCAGAATCACTTTTGAGGAAATGTACTCTTCATAGTCCTCAAGGAGTTATAATCTATGTCATAGACCCTGAAAGAACAGGAATTATTCTTGTTAGAGTAGAGATAGACTAAAGAACAGATGCATCAGTGATGCACATCTATGAACTATTGTTAGGGCCCATCTGATAATAACTTTGAAGAAAAATTTTTAGCCACTAATATGGGTAACACTTTGGGCTTCAACTTAACTGTTACCTGCTTATATTTAGTAAACGTAATGTAGAGAGCTAGTATTTATTGAGAACATACTATTTGCCAGATGACTTGGGGGAAATTAGGACATATTAAACAGGTTTAGAGTACTAGAAGTATTCATTAATAAGAATGATTTGAAATGGCCATTTGATTAGGGGTTTTAATGTTTAGATGGGAAAATGAGGCTATATTTGTATGCCAGTAAAAGTGAATACAGGTATTGTTATAGGTATGTTTTTTGTAATGCTTTCGATTTTATTATTGTAATAATCTATATAATTGCTGTATGCCCTTTGAATCTGCTAAATAAAGGTGTTGTTCTAGGTATTTCTCTCATGAAAAGTGATTTATAAATTACGAGTATTAAAAATCTGAGTATTTTAGCTGCACACCGAAGCCCTGCCTTTTTTTTTTTTTATTGAGTTAATAGGCCTGCACTAAGACCTGTGTTTCATATCTCCTAGAAAGGAGATGTAAATTTTCTTTCCCTAAAGGGTGGATACCTTTCTAAAGTATTTAGTGATTGGGTTTTTAATTTGAATCCCAAGTGGAACTCTATGGTAGGTGACTACTGTGTGTTCTATTTCTTGATTTCACTTTTAATTTTTTTAAAGAATAAGAAAGTTTTGTAAAAGAATTAAATGTTCTAATTACCATGTGCATAGTTGATTACTCAGGGCTTAGCTCTTACTCTAGTAAAATGTCTTTCAAGAGAAACTTCTTATAGTTCTTGGGATTGATCAGTTTGAAGTTCTGAAATTATGTTTTGAATCTGAAATTGAGGAGTCAGTGAGAAAAGGGATAGGAGAAGGATAGGAGATCTCCAACAGTAGTTATATTGAGCACATTTTGTTACCCCGCATACAGAATTATCTTTTCTTTTTTACTTTATAAACATGGGTCTTTGTGGTAGGACTGAAACATGTTATACTGCTTCTGTTCCCCTATTAGTTATGAGTCCCTTTCAACTTTTCAGGGTTCTTGCAGGTTAAATACAGATTTATGTGTCTGTCTCCCCCCCGCCCCCAATCCATTCCTTCCTTCCTTGCAGACAGGAAGAAGAAAGCCAGTCATACATATAGAAAGTTGTGAAGGTGAAGGGTACTGTCCAACATGTGTTCCACCCAGTATTATCAGTTTAGTGGTCTGTGATTGCTTTTGCTCACTGGCTTTTTTAATTATCCTTAGAATTGAAAAGAAAAAAGAATTGCTCTGGGCTATTTAACTCTTTTTTAAAAAAGATTTATTTGAGACAGTAGGAGAGAGAGAGAGTGTGTGCACACACATGGGGGGAAGGGGGAGAGGGAGAGAGAAACTCAAGCAGACTCTGCACTGAGTGCAGAGCCCAATGCAGAGCTTGATCCCATGATCCTGAGATCATGACATGAGCTGAAACCAAGAGTCCTATGCCTAACTGACTGCACCACCCAGGCACCCCTATTTAACTCTTTATAGCACCCAGAAAATAGCGCACATGTAATTGGAGTTGCTGTAGAATGAGGAAGTGAAACTGAATACTGCATTATGGCAGATTCAGTGTGGAGAGTAGCTTTAGTAATTTTCTTCCTATAAGAAACCTAATAATATATATATATCATAATAACTTAATAAATTGGACTAATTTCACCCGTTTAATAAGATTTATTTTTTTAAGATTTTATTTATTTGTCAGAGAGAGAGCACAAAGCAGGGGGAGCGGCAGGCAGAGGGAGAAGCAGGCTTCCCACTGAGCAGGGAGCCCGATGTGGGGCTCGATCCCAGGACCCTGGGATCATGACCTGAACCGAAGGCAGATGCGTAATGACTGAGCAACCCAGGTGCCCCTATTTATTTATTTTTTAAAGATTTTATTTATTAATTTGACAGAGAGCACAAGCAGGGGGAGCAGGAGAGGGAGAAGCAGAGGGAGAAGCAGGCTCCCCGCTGAGAAGGGAGCCTGCCTGCTGGGGGGCTCAATCCCAGGATCCTGGGATCATGACCTGAGCCTAAGGCAGACGCTTAATGACTGAGCCACCCAGGCATCCTAATAAGATTATTTTAAAAGTTTATGTAAATAAACTTATGTAGAGAGAGTCATATTAGTAGTCAAAGAAATGTGTATTATAAAAGGGGAGATAGGTTAAAACAAATATATTTAGAAGGATTTTAAATTTTAACACCTAATATGGTTTCTGTGAAAATAGTTTTTATTTTGGATATTACTTTAATAGTTGCATTAATGTTTTATATTCTTTAATCGATACTGCATACTCAGTTCTAGCAATTTATTCAAAAGAAATAATTCAAAAGTGAAAATGTTAGGTGGAAAATATTTACTGTAGTTTTATTTTAACAACAACAAAAAATTTGATATATATAAGATAAAACCCGGGGCCATCAGTCCTTTTTTAGGGAATTGCTGATTTGGACTGAGAGGTGTCAGGCTCGATCCGGTTGCTCTCCTGACTGGAGCCGTAAACTCAGAAGCTATGCAGGCCATTTCCTTCCAAGTGTACAAGGAAGTAAACAAAGCCTGGGAGAGGTAGGGAGAGCGGACAAGAGACCAAAATAAACAAGGAAAAATGCAAAAAATGAACAAACAAAAAATTTGGTAACTTACATATCTAAGAGTAGAGGTGTAATAAAGTAAATTTGGTTATTTCTACTGGATAGAATATTATGCAGCTATTAGAAATTATAATTTTGAAAATAGTGTAAACAGTACTTTTGATAGAAAAAATATTACAAAATATAGATGAAAGAAAAGATCTTAGAGTGGAGAGAATATGGACTCTGGCATATCTGAATTCGAATCCTACCTTGATACTTTCTGAGGGTCCTTGGGTTAGTTACTTTATCTTTCTGAACCTCAGTTCCTCTCTATAATAACAAGATACTTACGTAATAAGTTGTAGAATTAAACAAAACAATATATGTCAAGAACCTAACAGTACTTGGCTGATAGCACAGAATAGTACCTTTTTATTATTGTTGGCATATGAATATACCATGTAGTTTAACTGTGAAATTGAGGAGAAGAGACTATTGGGAATAATGATGTTAGAGTGTTAAAATCATATTCTTAATTTTAGGGAATAAAATTGTTTTTAGAGCAAAAATGCCTAAAGAAGAAATAATTTACCTATTAAGGTAAAAAATATAATTAATAACTGTGGAACACCTTAACATTTGTTGCACTGAGATTTTGTTAGGAGACTTCATTGGACAGCATATTTCCAGATTTCTGAAGCTGGAGATTAAATAATTGGGGTTCAGCTTCTTTCATAAGTCAGTACATAAAAAGAAATGTAGAAAGAAAGAAGTCATCGACATACCTTCTTTGCCCTTTTTCTTTAGTCTTATGATGGTAGAGAGTATAGGGTGGGTGGATACATGTATATAGGTAGATGTGTGTTCTGGAGAGTAGTTCAGGTGTTCACAAAACATTGCATTTCCTTACCCTCCAGGGGAGTAGGAATGTTAGATGGGAGGGACACAGGGTGCATAGAGATAGCATTTTGTGGGTAGTACTTTGTCTTGAGAAGAAATCATTGTAATTTAGTGAATAAACATTGCCAGTATGGGCTACCCACAGAGTCAAAAAAGTAGTTTTGGTATATGAAATACTTCTTTATTATGACTATCTTTTAATGTATATTTTAAACATTTTAGGAGCCACTGGAAGTGGGGAAATGGTCTGTACAATATGTCAAGAAGAGTATTCAGAAGCTCCCAATGAAATGGTTATATGTGATAAGTGTGGCCAAGGTAAACATTGATTTCTTTTAATCTTGTCAAAAAGTTTTATTACATACTTAATGCTCCTGTTGAAGATTAATGATTAAAAATACTTTACATTGGTAACTTGAAGCTGTTATCATAAATTTATTCATCAATTGTAAATACATTAATGTAGGAGAAGAGTACTAAAATGCCTTCTTGAAATTGTGTTGCAGTATTTATTAATAAAATAGAATTTGCTTTATGCTTTTTTTGATATTAAGGATATCATCAGTTGTGTCACACACCTCATATTGATTCCAGTGTGATTGATTCAGATGAAAAATGGCTCTGTCGACAGTGTGTTTTTGCAACAACAACAAAGGTATCTTTTAAGTGTTTTGGGCTAAAGCCCTAAATGGAATTTGTAAGGCACTCTCAACGTAATGATTGTATACGTTGAAAGTTTATGTGACTGAAATGAACAATCAGTGCTGGGTAGAAAGAGGTGAGGCTTATTGTTTGACTAATGATGCTTAAAGTGACTTGGAGCTATCCTTGCACTTATTTTCTGATAGTGAGTGGTCTTGGAATTGGGGCAATAATTTGAAAAACAACAAAATAAAGATTATTGTTAGTCAAACAGTTTGTGATATGGTAAGAAATTTAGAGTGGAGATTTCTTCAGAAGTTTCAGAAGCATTTTTATGTTAAAGAATTGTATTTAAAATTTTATCCTTCATTTGTTTAAATAACTTTTTCCCTCTAATATAGAGGGGTGGTGCGCTTAAGAAAGGACCAAATGCCAAAGCATTGCAAGTCATGAAGCAGACATTACCCTATAGTGTGGCAGACCTTGAATGGGATGCAGGTCATAAAACCAATGTCCAGCAGTGTTACTGCTATTGTGGAGGCCCTGGAGAGTAAGTAGTTATTTCATGCCCTTTACATGATTTTTGTTTATATTATCTTATTTTGTTACTGATTGTGGTGTGGGATTGATAGTGAATTGTAAATGCATGAAAGTGTCAATAAAGAAAATTAGGGCAGAAAATTTAGAGGTCGTAGTTATATTCATCTGTATCATTAGATGTTAGCTAAATAAGTGAATCTGAGTTCTAACCAAGAATGCTTAGAAATTTACCTTTAACTTCTGATCACTGGTCTTAGTTTTCTTTTTGGAACTAAACAGATACATTTTATCTCTCTTAGAAGGTAACTCTAAAATATTTCAATCCAGCGATCATATTTCTTGTTTCCGTGACTCACACCAATAGTGTAGTGTTTTTTTCCAGGTTAAAATCTCCATTATCATCAAACATTCTTTGTGACATGACTTCTAACCTCTGTCTTTGTTGCGCTCTAGGTTTTGAAAGTTACTCTTGAAATACGGTGTTATGATTAGAAAATTAGAAAATTCCAGGAGTAGTCTCCCAGAATATAATTGGGCTATTAGAGTTCATAACATTATGCTTCTGTTGTTGCAAAGAAAGATTCTATTTATTACTTCTCTTGGGTTGTCCTCTTAAATTTTTTTTTGCTCATTTTGGGTTTGTGGTCAACTAATACCTCTAATTCTTTTTTTTTTTTTGGTATAAGCTCATATTAAGCCGAGTTGTAAATCATGTATTTTGTAGTACATTTAAAAAAATGCTAGTGAATCGTATTTCACTCTTTAAATTGTAATTATTGTTTTCTTGTGTCCTTCTTCCTCTCAGACTCAGTGTTTCTCTTAAGACAAGGGTGCTGTTTATTTTCTTAAAGATTTTATTTATTTATTTAAGAGAGAGAAAGAGCACATGAGTTGGGGGTGGGGCAAAGGGAGAGGGATAAGCAGACTTCCTGCCAAGTGGGGAGCCAGACTCGGGGCTCAGTCCGAGGACCCCAAGATCATGACCTGAGCCAAAGGCAGACGCTTAACCGACTGAGCCATCCAGGCACCCCAACAAGGGTACTGTTTAGAATGCTGGGTTAGTCATTGTCATTAAATGTCATTAAATGACAGTCATTGTCATTAACATATTATCTGTTCAAATGCATATACAGAAAATGTCTGTAAGTTTACCATGACTGGGACATAAGTTGTTCAGTGATGCAACATTAATATATAGATGAATGAATTTTTAGTTCTTCGTTCTCCCTAAACTCTAATTCTTAATGGAATTTTTTATTTGTGATTTAACATTTTTGTAACAATTCTTAGTTTTTGTCACCTGCAGATTTAAGAAACATTTGTCTAGTTTCTTTTTCACTTATAAAAGAGATACGTGAATAAGCATAGAGAATGATCTTTTCCTTTACTCATTTATACTTAGCATTTGGTTTAAAGTATTACTCAAAATCCATTTTATGAAGTGGATCATTCATTGTTCTTTAAGTACCATGACCATGTGAACTGTGTTTGATATTGTTAGCCACTCTAACTTTAGCAGAGGACCTAGCTAAGTACCTGGAACATAATTGGTATTTATTAGTCTTTTGATGAATGAATAACCTTACTTAATATTGGTCTTCTTGCCTTTGCCTATATATGGCTTACAGTTAATGGGGGACTTAACTTTTTGAGCAAAATAATTATTGGAAGAAAAGGCATTATTTGGGTGGCAAATAAGGATATCAGTATATCAGAACCATGTACCAGCCGAAAAGAGAGGATATCCTTAGGTAGAGATTTAGTTTTAGCTTCTTCAGCTATTGGAAAAAGAACAAAACCTGTCACAAAGCCTTTATATCTGGTAGAGTCTTTGATTAGATTTATAATTATGTTCACCAAATTTATATATGAAGTTGCTATTCTACATTCCTTTCCATTATAATGGAAAAGAATAATGGAAACAGTGTGAAGATACAAAGCTGCTTATGACTATTGGGTATATTGGGCGAACAGCTGTACACATCAGTAACCTCTGAAACTAATCTCCCTTAGGGGGTGTAGAGAGTTGATGTGAAAAAAAATCCTGGGTTGGTTCTTTGACAGAGATTCTTTACTGGTCTAGGAACCAGGCTTCATAAGTTCTTGTGAAAAAGAAAGGAGGGATGAAATCCTCAGTAACCTTTTCGGGAAAGAAAAAATTTTATGTTAAATATAGCAGAAATGTCATAATGTAATCATAACTATTTTGTATAATGCCACTTGGTTTTGTTTTGCTTTGTTTTTAAAACTTTACCTCAAAAGGTAGTGATTTTAATCTTAACTTTTTTTCTTATAGCTGGTATTTAAAGATGCTACAATGCTGCAAATGTAAGCAGTGGTTTCATGAGGCTTGTGTGCAATGCCTTCAAAAGCCAATGCTGTTTGGAGACAGGTGAGAAGGACACTTGAACTTTACCAATTGATATATATATATATATTTAGCTTTTATATTCTAGCTATGTTTGCAGTTTCAGATTTCTAAATGTAATTACAACAATGATTTGTGAAGGAGTCATTTAAGAGGGAAAATATTGAATGATAGACTTAAATTATTCATAATTTTAAAATACACATAATTTTTGTGCTTTTAGATGTTATTCCAGAACAGTTTTAAGTATTTAATCAGTGATTATATTTGCTCCTATTGCCCCACAGTGCTCTAAACTATTCCCATTGTTACCTTCCTTTTAAAAACCTCAAAGGGATCCTGTGACAGAAAATTGGCAAAGGCCACAGAATCTTGATAGAAAATTTACACCTTCACTGATCTAAAGAATTTACAAAAGCAGACCTAATGTGCTTTCTGGATTAGGAGAATGTGGAATAGCAGAGAGCTCTAGGAAGGAAAATGAAAGAGCACTGAACTTGGCATAAAAAACCTGGGTTTAAATGTTGGCTTATGCTGCTTACTGTCTTTCAGAACTTACGAAGATCAGTTTATCTCCTTTTATTTTACCAGATTGTTCAGAGCATTGAGTAGAACATTGTATGTGGGGGCTGCCATCACAGTTCATGGTACACACAAGCCATTAGTAAAATATACCTGTGTATGAATCTCTGTGTGAACTCTGAATGTCTAATGGGTAAAAAAAAAAAAATTGCCCTTGCAATTTTGTTGTTACTAGAAAACTTTAAATCACAGTGTCATAGTTCAAATTATATTTTGCTTTGTGTGTCACTCATCTATTGTAGGATATGTACTTGCTGAATATTGGCTTTAGTTGTTGAATAATTTATGTATACCTTTGATTACTCAATATGAAACTTTTCTTTTTTTCTTAGGTTTTATACATTTATTTGCTCTGTCTGCAGTTCTGGACCAGAATACCTCAAACGTCTACCATTACAGTGGTAAGTATGGACATTTCTGTTAAGAAGCAATAAAGGGCCATATTCTTAAACCTACAGGATGAAATGTTCTGTTTATTATTAACTTGGTTTAAGTAAAAATTTTACCTCGCTTTATTTCTTTTATAGATCCGTAAACCTGATATCATTTCACTAAAGATTATCTAGTTTTATTGTTGAAATAATAAGGCCATTTGTTGTCTGATGCATAAAACGTAGCTTTACATTTCTTTTGGATTTTCAAAATTCTTATTCATGTTTTTAACTCTTTTGGGCCTTCAGAATAGCAGACAGCAGAAGAGAGAGGTCTTATACCAAATATGCTGGCTTCTGTTTAGTGTAATTCTTGGGTATGGGAAGTGTGATGAATTTTGGGAGATTTCTGATAAAATGCTTATACAAGTACTTAGAAATTTTTATTAAATGTTTATTAAATGTTTTATTAAATGTATTTTAGGAAAAGATAAGATTTAACTCATGAATCAGATAAAATAAAGTGTTAAAATATGATCTGTTCTATGGCTTATATGTAAGTGAAATGCAAAATTTTTTATTCTAAGTTATTTTTTCTTAGAGTTACTTCCTCTTTGAATGTATTTTAAGAAATTACTCAAATACCTTTTAGTTTATATTTACTACTCAGTATAAGCAAATATTTAATGTTTTCCAATTATTTTCATATGTAATGATTTATTATATTGTGAATATGACTTATGCTGTTTACCCTCTGCTCACCTAAATACTTCACTTTGGGTTTTTTAATTGCTGTTTTTATTTTTTTTAATGTGATTTCTTAACAATAACCAAAAACATTGCTTTTGTATATTGTGATTATTTTTGGATTCCAGGGTAGATATAGCACACCTATGCCTTTACAACCTAAGTGTTATTCACAAGAAGAAATACTTTGATTCTGAACTTGAGCTTATGACATACATTAATGAAAACTGGGATAGATTGCATCCTGGAGAGGTAAGTGGTCTTAGAGCTAACTTCATTAGCTACTTGATGTCTTTTTTGTTTTATTTTGTTTTTGTTAAAAGCAACTAAGATACATGTATACGTTACACACCTAAAGCAGAATTTTATTTTTAGTTCAGGGAGAAGTAACTTTGATGATAGCAGGGCCAGCCCTCTCATCCTCCTGGTTATTGCCTGTTAAGTCAGGGAAAAATGCAGAAGGAGGAAGTAAATAAATTACTTGATTCTTCAATTTTCTGAAGTGAGAATCATTATAGTTAAAGATAGAAGGGAGGGAGAAATCCTTATTATTGCATATCTTACTTATGGTTCCTCCTCCTGTTTTTCTAAGTTTCTATAAATTTAAGAGATATAACCAACCCTCTTCCTTTCTCTCTTGTTGGTACTCCCATATATATATATATATATATATATATATATATACACACACACACACACACACACACAACATATATATATATATATATATACAACATATATATATAATCTTTGACTTCCAGGAATGGGAGGACCCAGTAATAGTGTTAGAATAATGAGTTAGGGAGTAAAGCTATTCTAGTTGGAGATTATCCCCCTCATTCTGACATCTCATTTTGCTTTTCATTTGCAAAGTCTAACCAATCATGCTGGTTTACAGTCTTTTAAAAAAAGCAATATAAAAGTTGATGTATGTTCATTGAAGAAGATTTTGAAACAATAGACAAGCACAAAGAAGAAAGTAACTAAAATAACTTTAATAGTTAACTTGTTTTTAGCACTTACTTTGAATTATTAAAATATAGATATTAACTACTCTTAGCTTAATGTTTTGTTTTTGTTTTTGTTTTTTCCTTTTGAGAGTGTGGGGGTGCTGGGGAGGGGCAGAGGGAGAGAGAGAGAGAATCTTAAGCAGGCTCCATGCCCAGAGTGGAGCCCGACGCTGGGGCTCTGTCTCATGAACCTGAGATCATAACCTGAGCCAAAATTAAGAGTCAGGTGCTTAACTGACTGAGCCACCCAGGCACCCATAACTACTATTAGCTTAAATAAAAATTTTGTTTTATATTATGTGGAATTAGATGTGTGAATTTTAGTCACACATTACTTTTTGAAGAGGTAAAAGTTGTGTAAAGTGAAGTTTAGGAAGAATTTCTGCTTTTGTAGCTTTTAGACATGGGGTAATTTATAAAAGGTTCATGTCAAATAGGATATCAGGGTTTTTTTGGGTTGTTTTGGGGGTTTTTATGGGGCATCAGGGAGAACATAATGCACATTTAAAAGCTAGTTTGTGGTAGCAGCTGCGTATAAAACAAACACTTGCAGGATACTGAGATTTTTTAAAATCAAAGATATTATTAAAATCAATTGAGCTGAGATGTTTTGAGTGTTAGAAGTTGGAACACAACACTCTTCTGTTACATGCTTTTTCTGGATGAAATTTGAGAGAAAACGAGTATCTTACAAAGTTGATAAATTTTAATAAACTGATTAGTAATAAAAGAAAAAAGTAAGTGTAAGGCACTAGTGGCTATAGTGTTCATTATAGTCATCTTAATATTTAATACTTTAATATATTCTTTTAAAGTGCTTTCTTTCTAGCCATGGTTCCTTCAGCACTTCATATGCAGATACATCTCTATTCTTAGTACATTTTATGTTTCACATGATTAAATTCTGTAGTAGTTACTTCATGTAGACAGTGGGCACACATATAAAAACTCAAGTTACTTTATTTCAAATGCTATCTTTTATTAAAATGAAAAATGATACTTAGGTTTTATTCAAGAGGCTGAAAATAGAAAAAATCACAATTAGACTATTAGTCTAGACAAGTAGTCTATTTCTAAGAAATGAATTCAGTTTATGAATCTTATGTATCTTGGTTCTAGCTGTACTTCTGATACATATCAATAAATTTATTAGTAGATACATGTTTTCCTTTTCTGTAGCTTATGCGATAATGTCTTAGAAATAAGATTATACATTCAATTCAATTTCTTATTCTTTGCCAATATGGAAATTTTTTTTTAATTTAAAAATTAAGAAGAACATTATACTCTAATACAACTTTACAATGGAAAAGTTTTACTTTTCTGAGGAGTGTTTCCATTTTTTGGAGCCGTCAAATTTATTATCAGAACAAGTGACTTTCTAATCATTTCTCATTGCTTTTTCTCTGCATTAAAAAAAAAGAAAATATTCAGACTTAGTCATTCCATCCTCAAATGTTTACAGATGGAAGTTCAGCTTTTAACTCTATATTAATCTTCTATATCTTTATACTGTCATAATTGGTTTTTGAGAATGAGATTTTAATAATAAAGAGACTATAAAATTTATGCCATCTTTAACATTTATTTGTAACATTTATATGTAACTAATTTTTACTTAATTTACTTTTAAATGTTTGTGATAATAAAAACAAAGATAATACAAATAATGGATTATTCCAGATTATTAAAATAGTATATCTTTGGTTAACTAAAATTGAATTGCAAATTGAGTTTTGTCACTAATCCAAATTTAGGTTTATAAAATGTCCTTTTTGTTTATAAATACTTTCGTGTTAAAAATCTTCTTATAAATAGCCTTAATTACTTTTAAAATGTGGGAAATACTGTATGTTAAGTGTATTGTTGGTTATTGAATACTTAAGAGTCATTTAGAACATTGGTTCTTACTACATATATACTGTTGATTATATGACATAGGCACTTGCTGTAGAAGTTTCTCCTCAAAAATGAAACAAAACAAAAATAGTTGTGATTTAACTCTCTCTTAAATGTGGAGTTTCTTTCCTCCGTGTGGGTAAAGAAAAAAAACCTTGTGGTGACTTGAGAAGTTGATTGAGAGTTTTATGGCTTTTTTTTCAGGAATATATATGGACACACTAGTCATAGTCATAGGGAGGCACTTATATTTATTTTCTGAGCTGAATTAGGACTTAATTTTATATATGATAACACTGGCCAAAATTTAATGGTATTTCTGTGTTATTTTGGAAGCCCCATAAATACTTATTTCAATTTCTAGTTATTTGGAGCAATCTTAATTGAATCAGTGGTATCCATTTAGTGTTTTGTGCTTTTTTTTTTGATATAAAAGAAATGATATGACTATTTTTATAACAAAAAGACGTTTTAAAAGTATTAAACTTCTTTTGGAGAGTATATCCTTTCATACTGAAAGGCATATTTAATATTTATCATATTTTTTTCTTAGTTGGTTATTTCAGGATTGTGAACAGAAGCTGAAACTTTTAGAACATATTGGAACATAATGATAGTTCTATATCCTGTTTTCTTATGTGATTTTTGTTTTCTTTTACATCCTTGAGACTTCTTGCCTTATATAGACTGAATGTAGCTATTTGAGAAACTATTGTTTTGTAATTTTTTTTAAGATAGTAAAAATATGTAATGCAACATTTGAGGTCCAAGTAAAGGTTTATTTAGAATGAGGAATTAACCGTTGCACCAGATTGCTTTTGAGAGTTAAAAGAGATATTCATACTTCGGTATCTACTTATCATTTGTCCTTAATTCCCAAAGTGATCTGAAATCCTAGTTCTATAAGAGCAACCTACTTTTCTGTTAATGGTGTTCTTAAATTTTAACCTCCAAAGATTCATAGCAGGATAGTGTATTGAGTGCTACCTTTTGAAGGATGTAGGGAGAAAAGCATAAACTTAAATGAAATACTGTAGCAGATAATGATGTTTTAGCTAGAGAAGAAAATGCATAATAGAGGTAGTGTAATATTTTTAAATGAGAATTATAAGAAAATGATTAACAACAATAGTTGAGGCTTTGAGTGTTTCCTATTAACATACAGTGTATAGGTTGGCAAACAAATTACTTAACCTGTTTTGCATACTTAAGCCTAGGTGGCATGGAATTCAATGTTGGTAATTCAAAGGTGTATTTTATTGAAGGGAAGAGTTATAACTATACCTAATAGCATTTATGTCTATACAGAAATTTACAACCCTGAAAGTAAAAGCATAATGTGAGATTAGATATCTGTGGTGGGAGGAACAAAAATGGATATTATGTTAGCGATATTATAAATATAACCTCATGGTCAGATGGCAGACTTAGAATATGATGCTCTTTTAGTACAGATTATTTGATTCAAACTATAATATCTGTACGTAGAGTCTTCAAAATATAGAAAGGGATCCCTTGGCCCCCATAATGCAAGTTGAAATATATAGTTCTATGCAAAATAGTTTTGGAGTGCTGAAGGAACTTATAGATGAAATTTCTGAGAAACTGTAGAGAGCAAGTACCACAAAAAGAAGAGAGTTCATTGTGCTTTTCAAAAAAGTAAAAGAGGAATAGATTTGAGAAATTAGTTTTGTTGTTGATTATTAGCAAATTGTAGAGCACATTTTTCAGATATGTGGTTTGTGAAGATTTAAAAAGCAATAAGGAAAAACACTTTTATTAGAATAAATCATTTTAAATACCCTAGTTTCTTTTTTTGTTATGGTTAGCCACACTGGTATGTCAAATGCTAAGGGCATAGTATAGACATAGTGTAACTGAATTTCATATTAGATACTGAAATTTGAACTGGTTAAAATTAAAAGTAAAAAATGGATATGTAACCAGTTGAATAATAGAAACAAAAGCATTCAGTGGCTTGGAAATACTCTTGAGGGAGATTCTAATGGAGAGCCACAGGTTCTGTCTTTGTGTCTACTCCTAATTCAAGAAGGATGACAGAATCAAGAGAAAAGATTATCTCAAACACTGACCTGAAAACAAAGCAAATTAACAACAGTTATAAAGTTCTGCTTTTAGGCTTAAATACACATTCAACCAGTTCAGAAGAAGCAGTGCCTGATAGCGAATACTTGGTTTGATCAGTTTATCTGATAAGATTTTAGGGTTTGGTTGGGGAGGTGGGGGGAAGAGGAAGAGATGGAATTAGTCAGCCAAAGCTTAATATGAAATAATTATGTAATGTGGTTGCTAAAAGCTTTCAACCTAATCTTGAACTTAGACATAATCTTACACTTAGACATGATAGCTGCTATCAAATATTTGAAGAACTGTCTTGTAAAAGAGGACTAGAAGAGTTCCAGGAAGGAAGGTTTTGTCAACCTATGAAATGGGCTCCCTCAGTGGGTGCCTCATCAGCTTTCATCTTTGCTAATATTTAAACCAAGGTTGAATGCCTATCAGTACTATAAAAGTATTGATGGAACCTTGAATTACATGGACATCTGAAGTGTCTTTCAAGCTTTAAGGTCTGATTCTGTTATTTCTTTAATAGAAATTCTCTATCATTGAAAACTGTAGAAATTACAGTAAGAGGAAGTGGTATGGTATAGAGACATGAGCACCAGACTGTCCCATTTCATTTCTTACTTTTTTTTTTTAAGATTATTTATTTATTTATTTGAAAGAGAGAGAATGAGAGAGAGAGAGCACATGAGAGGGGGGAGGGTCAGAGGGAGAAGCAGACTCCCCGCCGAGCAGGGAACCCGATGCGGGACTCGATCCCGGGACTCCAGGACCATGACCTGAGCTGAAGGCAGTCGCCCAACCAACTGAGCCACCCAGGCGCCCCTCTTTTCTTACTTTCTAAAAGCACCCAGTGCATTAGCAAGTATGGGCTCTTAGTGAATGTTGAATGAATGGACCTATTGTCATTTGGGTTCAGAATCCTAGCTCTCTCACTAAACAGCCATTGAATTTGAGCATTTCATTTAATCTTTATATCTGTTAACTAATTTGTAAAATAAAGAGAGTTGGAGTAGATTACTCTGTCTCTTCTACCTCCAACATTCTATTTCACAGATTTGTTTACTCTTTTTACTTGAAGCAGTTCTGAGGTTTGGAAGTTTAAATTGGTAAAGAACATACTGGTGGTGCTCTTGAAAGTCAACTATGATATTCTGGATTTTTGTTTTTTTTGAGTTATTGTGAATTTAACTGAGAATGGTCCTTTTATAAAAATTTAGAATTTTTTGCTATTGGGCCCCAGTCTTTAAACACTTAGAAGAAGAGGCAGAAATGACTCTTAAGGAAGCCCTTTTAAAACAAAATAATATTTTCTAGAATTGAATTTAAAATCTAGATTTTAAAAGGATTTGTTATGATAAAAAATTAATGAGACATTTTGAGTTTTAGGGCTGGCTAACATCTATAACTTTTATGAAAATCAACCCCCCCCAGTTCACAGAATTTTTTGAAGTTATAGAGGTTTTTGGTTTCTGCTAATATTTAGAAGTATTGGGAGATAAAATTTTATGTTTCTCATTACTTTTTATACTCTTCCCTAATAATGTCTGTTAGAACCAATATATGGTTGCTATTAAAGTCATTCTAATATATTATTTCCTCAGATTATAGAATTAAATTTAATAACTAATAAGATCCCATTCTTGTAATGTTTTACAGTTTACAGTTCTTTCAGACATATCCTCTGATTCACTTAATTACTGGTAAAGTAATTAGAGGAGGATTTTTACTCCCCTTTTTATAGATAAGAAAACAAGCCTTAAGAGGTTAAATGGCCTTAGATCATGCAGCTAGTCAGTGAGGACCTGAAATTAGAACTTAGATCTTCTGACTACCAGTCAGTATACTTTTACTTCTGCATCACATTGCCTCTCTCTAGCACCTGTATATTATTAATTGATGAAATTACAGTGCGTTAAATTGTTTCTTGATACTTCACAGCTGGCAGACACACCAAAATCTGAAAGATATGAGCATGTTCTGGAGGCATTAAATGATTACAAGACCATGTAAGTTGATTTATTTTATGTATCCCTATGAGGGAGACATTTAGTAAGTATAAGGAATAATGGCATTGTTTAAGGATTGTGGGATTGGTATTCAGAACTAGTACAAACCATTTTAAGCTTTTTAATGTCCTATTCTTTTTCAGTCAGAGTAAAGTAGTGGTTCTCAAGGGTTGGAGAAGGAAAGAGCAATCCTCTGGGAATGGTGGATGGGAGGCAGGCATACCAATATCTCGGGAATTGGCCTGTTCAGTTGAAAAACGTTCAGTAATGACTTGTTTTTATAATACAGTCTCCTGAAAATAAAATAAAATCTTAGGTGGTGGGAAAATGCAAACTATAGTGGAAAATACTGTAGCGAATGTTGGTTTTAAAATGATCATGAGATCTTCTATGATTTTAAGATTAGTTATTGTCAACAGTTACAGAAAAGTAGTATTAGTACTAAGTTTTTGATAATTGATTATTGTTTGATATAGTCTTGTATAGGGCTTTCCTTTTAAAAAAAACAGCATATCTACATTTTAAAAAAATATTTAAAAATTGCAATAGAAATGTTTTAAGGGTATATGCTGGTTCTAACCAACCATTAAGCTATTTTATAAGATTTTTCTTTTTTTGAACTGTACAGCATTCCCTCCTTAAAAATATTATAATTACTAGTGGCTAACTAGATCTTTTGGCCAGTTCAAAAAGCCATAAAGTGCCTGAGCAGTTACTGTGCTGGTAAAAATACTTTATGGGACATGAATTCTGTAATCCAATTTAGGGTACCAGAAATACATCTATTCCTATTATGATAGAAATGGGAGCTCCCCTTTCTCAAACCTGCATAACAGTGGAAGAATATTCCAAGCATTTGGTAGTGTGTTCTTAAGGTTAGGCAGGGTCTAGTAGCACTAAGGTAGGTAGGGTGTTTTGGAGTAAGGAGCCTGAGGTCTTAGGGAAACAGTTATGGAACACATTTTTCAGAGACCTAAACCCACACTGAAATAACTTTTCTCTGCTCCACGTTATTTTCAGTTCTAGATCTGACACACTAGACACTGCTTTTATTTTTTGGACCTCTCATAGTGGGTCCTCTTTTCCACTGCTAACACCTGTTACTTTCCGACCAGGGTTTCTCCCCTCACAGAACCACTCTGAAATGGAATTTTTCTTTACCTAAACATTTTTTGAGATCTTTTAAACAGATGACACTGAAATATGGAAAAACACATTTTAGGACTAAAAAGACACCGCTCTTTACTCTTCTTCCTTTAAAAAGTTAGAAGTGGACATGTGCTTGTCTCCCTTCTGATCCTATCCCTCCCTCCTTACTCCCCCATTATATCCTACTGTGGATTAGCTCTGGAGCAGAAAAGAATCAAGGAAAGCAAAGGGAAAGAGTGAGTTTTGTAGTTTTGGGTGGACTTTCATGTATAAAGGCTTTATATCTGAAAGTTATGAGTTAGGGTCTGCCATGTATATGTGTTCAGTTTTTAAATTTTTAGTTAATTTTTTTAAAAATTTAGGTTTATGTCTGGGAAAGAAATAAAGAAGAAGAAGCATTTGTTTGGGTTGCGAATTCGTGTTCCTCCTGTGCCACCAAATGTGGCTTTCAAAGCAGAGAAAGAACCTGAAGGAACATCCCATGAATTTAAAATTAAAGGCAGAAAGGCATCCAAACCTATATCTGATTCAAGGTAAAAGTTGATCTGTGGCTTAGTTTTTCTCTTTAGCTTATTTGTAACTAAAAATGTGTTACTTAGTTTCATTAGTATATTTGAAAGTACAAGTGGTAGTTACCTTGATTTGTTTTCCTGTTTATAATTTGTCGCTTAGACAAGGTACAAAGAGTTAATTTAAATTAGATGTTTACTTATTTATTTTAGATCTCAGGCTTTCTAGGAATAAGTCCTATTGATTTTGTTAGCAGACAGTTTAAGTACTGGCCTGTTCATTTGTTTGTTCATTTCTCATTCACTCATCCATCCATTTATTCATTCCATTTATCAAGCACCTTACTATCTAAGTGCTGGGGATATAATAACAAGACAGACTTTCTTTCTGCCCTGGTGGGGTTAAGAGTATAGTGGGGAAGAAATGTGATAAAATAATTACAGGTCATGCTAGTGCCATCTAGGACATAGCAAATGGATTTAGATTGTTCTGGGATGGATAGAGGTGAAATAGTCTGTTAAGAAGGAGGCTCAAGGAAGGCCTATTTAAGATGATACTTAAGCTGAAACTCAAAGAATGAGACTAACCAAAAAATGCAGAACAAAGGGAAGAATATTGCATGTGGTGGAAATAACAAGTATGAAGGCTTGAGGCATGTTCTAGGAACTCACAGACTAGTAAGGAGTGAGTGAGGGCTAGAGAGTAGCATCAGGTGTTGAAAAGTTTGGGTGGGGCTTGATCATGTAGAATTGTGTAGGTCTCCTAAGGAGTTCGGGTGGTTTTTAATGATGGGGAGCTGTTTAAAGATGTAAGCAGACTGAATTATCCTTTAAAAAAAGATACATCTTTGTATGCTGTTTGGAAAATGGATAGGTATAGAGGTAAGAATAGAAGCAAGAGAAAGGAAGACTCCTGCAGTTGTCTAGGTGAGAGATTGCCTGGGTAGGTGGTATCATTCAAATGGAGAGAAAATAGGTTCGAAATCTCTGTTGGATACAGAATTTATTGGCTTTGCTAATGAATTTATGAAAAAAAGGGAGGAATGAAGAAGTTATATAATGCTATATAATGCTCAGATTTCTGGCTTGAGCAACTGGTGGGTGGTGATGTCTGTTATCAAGACCTGCAAGAGCAGATTTGGCAAGGTGAGTGAAGCATTCTTCTGTCTCATACTAACTGAATTTGAGATTTTTACAAGGGCTATCTAAGTGATGATGATGGACAGCTGGGTCTGTAAGTCAGGAGCTCAGGAGAGATCAGGACGCATGAAACAAATTTGGAAGCTGATTTATAAGGCCATGAAAATGAATGAAATTACCTAGGAAGCAAGAGCTGGGGTGAGGGGGGAGTACTGTGGCCCAGATAATGCCCTGTTATCATTTGGAGATTTGGAAGAAGTGAAATAAATGAAGGAGGCTAAAAAGAATGATCAGTGAGACAGGAGGAAACCAGGAAAGTTTGGTGTGTTGAAAACCAAGAGAAGGGGAGTGTTTCAAGAAAGATGAGCATATTAAACAGTATTGAATGCTGCTGAGAGGTGGATTTAGAATGAGAGAAAAATGTTTATTGCAGATAACATGCTGTTATTAGTGACCTTAACAAAAACAGTTTTTTGTTTGTTTTTTTGAAAAGGTTAGGATAGAAATCAGTTTGGAGTGGGTTAAAGTATGATTAAATCCAGCACTGCTCTCAATTAACATGTCAAAACTGGGCTTTTTCTACAAATAAGGGACATAGGCAGATTCAAAATAATAATGATGATAATAAAGGAAAAGAGGAAAATAGGAAATAATCTTTAAGAATTCTGAATGAGAAGAGAGAAAGTGGAAAGGGAGGGCATGTGTCACCAACACTCCAAAGTAGTTTTATTGTGAAGAGAGGTAGACAAATGGAAGCTGAAGAGGGGAAGTGCTCAAGTGATGGATTTTTAAAAGATGGAAAATTAATTGGAACCTGTTTTTATGTGCTAGTAGGAATGATCCAGTGGAGAAGAGATTGGTATAGGAAAGAGGGAAGGTAATTGAAGATATTGTAAAGTCCTTGAGAAACTAAAAGGGAAGGAATTTAGAATGTGGGAATGGCTTTTGATAGGACTTACACTCTTTTGTTGAGGTGAAAATGGGTACAGATGCTAATTCTATTATAGATTTGGCATTTGGAAGATGACTGAAGTTACTGCTTGGTAGCTTCTATTTTCTCAATGAAATACTGAGGTATTAAGATGGCTGAGAGGGTTGTGCAGAGAGGGAAATTTAAGGAGCAAATAAAAGGTATGAGATAGTCATCTTGGAGAGTAAAAAAGGTAATTACACAGTGTTTCATATCCATTTGAGTTTGTAATAAAGTAGATACTGCTTTCAAGTTTTTTTTTCCCCTAAAGGAAAGCATACTTATTCTTAGCACTTTCAGATTTTGTCATTAATCCTTTGCTATCAATTGCCCATGTTCTGAATTAGAAAAAAGGTTTACACAAATTTTCTCATTCCTATCATGATATTAATAAGACACTCCATCTGTGTTAGCTCTCAGGTTTTCATTCGATGCCACCAGGAAATGGTTCAGCTTTCTTTAAAGGCATTCTCTATTCCTTCTGGGTCTTATGTATGAATTGGTCCTTTTAATCTGAGAGTACTTTCTTTAGTCCAGGAGTCCTCTATAAATGTTGATTATCTTTCAAAAATCTATACCCCATCTACCTTATCCTTGAGACTTTTGATCATAGTTCTACTTAAGCTTTGTTCCTCTAGTTCCCTTTCTCCTTCCTTGTACTTTCCCAGCTTTAGTTTGGTGTCTGGAGTAGTTGTCTTCTAATTTTTTCCATTCACCTCTTTCTAGCTTATTATATAGTAGTATTCCTCCTTTTCCATGTTTTTTAACTAAATTTTCCTCGGTAACTTTCTTATAGCACTGAACCCTTTTTATTAGCCTGCTTGTATACACCTTTGTCAACTTCTGACTATACTGTGAACCCCTTAGCACAAGGGAAGATCTTTGTATTCCTATTATCTGATATCTCTTTTCTGTGGTAGATAATGTTTGTTGAATAAATGAAGTTGATGTTCTATATGTTGATATTTGCCCTTCTATTAATTAGAGATGTCTTTGTTGCTTCTTTTCCCCCCTTCCTATTGCTTGACATTTGCTTTTATATCTCAAAAACAGTTTTCTAGATCTTTCTCATTGTGCCTTTTGAATGACTCCCTGCCCGATATGAAGAATTCCTTACTCTACACTCTTCCATCCTGGGCTTCATTCTCTTTCTGATAAACATCATTCAAGGATACATATATATATATATCCATATATATACATATATATATATCCATTTCTAAAGGCAACTTGTGTTTATAACTAAAATATTTTAATATAGATACTTCCTGGCTCCATGTGGGTAATTATTAAATTCATAATCACTTTTAGTATAAATTCTTGAAATATCTCCCAAGTACCCACATAGTAACAACCTAAACTACACAATTGAACTTCTGGGAGTTTTGAAATCTTCCATCCAGTGTAGTAGTCTGTTTTTGTTTTTGCTTTTTAACTTTTAGGTGCTATATATTTTTCAGAATTGTAGTAAAGAGAACACTTTTTTTTTCTTAAAACTTTGTATACGTAAATATTTCTGAAGTCAAGAAATGTATGTTTAAATTGGAATGTATTATCTATGCACTTGACTAAACTTGTAGATTCAACTTATATTTAATTTTTTTGTTTTTATATTACCATTAATATAAAAATAAGTATAACCTAATTATTACGTAAGTAGAGTGTGTGTTATCCATTGTCTTTTTATTTTCTTTATGCAGAAATTAAATACATAATGGTTTTATGTTTCAGGGAAGTAAGCAATGGCATAGAAAAAAAAGGAAAGAAAAAATCCGTAGGTCGTCCACCTGGCCCATATACAAGAAAAATGATTCAGAAAACTGCTGAGCCACCTTTGGTAAGAGGATGTGTTGGTATATGTTCTCAGGGAGGAAGGATGCTTGAAATTAACTGAGAAATGAATATCTTTTTCATTTACTTTAGAACCATGCTTTAAATGTTATTTTTTATTTTCCAGGATAAGGAATCAATTTCAGAGAATCCTACCTTGGATTTACCTTGTTCTATAGGGTAAATAGAAAGTTATTTTTTCCTATCCTAGGAATTTTCTTTTGGGGGGAAATGAGTATTTCTATTGTTATGTAATATAGTCGTTATACCATTTAAATTTTTTTGTCTCAGGAGAACTGAGGGAACTGCACATTCATCTAATACCTCAGATGTGGATTTCACGGGTGCTTCCAGTGCAAAAGAAACTACCTCGTCTAGCATTTCCAGGCATTATGGGTAGATATTTTATATTCTTATTCCTTACTAATTTTCTTCTAGATAATTTTTCTTTGTAAAGTAATATTAAATAAATTTTTAGCAATCAAAAGTTATATAAGTATGCCTTTCATTGTTTGAGAAGCAATCTATATGTAGATTCCTTAGGTTGTTAATATTCATCAGGAAATTTTGCTGTGTGCACAGAAAAGAGGTATACTGGTGTTTATAGGCTGTGTTCTTTTCCTCGAGACCTTTCTATGCTTTTATAGTATTTAGGTATGCCTTGCTTTAGAAAGACTTTTTCTTTTTTTATTATCTGAATCAGACATACAAATCCTTTTGTTACTAAAAGAATCTTAAACTCAGGATTTCTATCAGTAGCAGACTTCTCTAATATTTTAGTTTACCTGACTTTTCAGAAGGATACCTTTCCTAAAGCATGATATATCAGGTATGAAAAGGTAGTTTACTTGGGGTCAGAACTGTGAGTTGCAAGTTTTATACTTCCCTTAGTTTAATTTTTGTTCACAATTCAGAAACTGCTCATGTAAATCATACAAAATTCAGAGTATTAAAAAGCTTAAAATATAACTCATTTTTTAATGAATTGTGAAAAATAATGTGAACTGTTTTTGGCCTCTTACCCAAGCATTTTGCTAATCTTCCTACATACATTGTCTTATTTAATTCTTAAAACAATCTTTTGAGTTGTAGGTCCTGTTATTCCCATTTTAAAGATAAAAAAACTGAAACTTGAGAGGATTTTAAGAAACAAGCCCAGACTAGCATGTTTATTAACAAGCATAACAGAGCTGGGATGTTGAATTGAGCAGTGTGATTGTAAAGTCTTTGAATTTAGCTGTTATGCTATATTCTCCGCTTGTTATAAGATTAGAAAATCATTGAATTCCTGAGCTAAAAAGGACCTCAGAGATGATCTGGTTCAACCCCTTCACTTAATCTCTTCACAGAAGGGAATACAGAGGATATGAGATTTGAATTTGGCCAATATCACAGAGCTAGATTCGGGGTACCCTGATTTCTAGTTTATGCTTATTCCAGTTCAGTACATTACTTCACTAGGGCTAGAACTGGTAATAAGAGAACATTTATTCTAGTTCTACCATCTATTTAATTTAAGCACATGGAACAATGTTGTGTATAGAGTAGGTGCTTATTAAGTATTTACTGCATTGAATGAGTGAATGAACTGTCTTCTTTTTAATGATAAGACTGTTGACGATATCTGACTAATGAATAGGGCCTCTTCTTGGTAAGAATTTGTCTCATTGGCCTCGTAATTAAAAACTTCCTCTGATTCTTTTAAGCTTAATAGTACATTGTTAAGGAAGAAAAGCTCTTCAAAGGTCAGCCCCAAGAAGGTGATGGAATCTAACGAAGGCGAGTGATAATCCATTTATAAAAATAGCATGTATTGTTTTGGTTTGGCTGATTTTTATGTCAGCAAGGGTATATACTTACAGTAGAGTGATAGAAAAAAATCTGAGAACATATTGTTTGGGCAAAGGATGCTTTATAAACTCAGTAGACAATTATGGTCTTTCTTGTTCCATAGATTATCTGACTCCAGAAAAAGAACTCGTACAGGAAGATCTTGGCCTGCTGCAATACCACATTTACGGAGGAGAAGGGGTCGTCTTCCAAGAAGAGCACTCCAGACTCAGAACTCAGAAATTGTAAAAGATGATGAAGGCAAAGAAGATTACCAATTTGATGAACTCAACACAGAGATTTTGAATAACTTAGCAGATCAGGAGTTGCAACTCAATCATCTAAAGAACTCCATTACCAGTTATTTTGGTGCTGCAGGTAGAATAGCATGTGGTGAAAAATACCGAGTATTGGCTCGTCGGGTGACACTTGATGGAAAGGTGCAGTATCTTGTGGAATGGGAAGGAGCAACTGCATCCTGACTGTAGGACTGAACATTATGTTCACTGCACTCTCATTTTCTGTAGGTACAGTTCAAAGCCCTAAAGGATAAAGGAGTCTGGCTTTTACTATCTTTCTTAAAAAAAAAAAAAAAAAAAAGTCAAAAAAATTCACAAAAGGAGATAATAACTAGCCTTAACATGTACCTGTCAATGTTATGGATATTGTCATAAAAAGATATCTTTTAAAAATCAGAACAGAGACTTAATTTTTTAAATCTTAAGATTTGTAGAATGTTTCTAGGATAGGATATTAAAAATGATTCAAATCCATGCATGGTGTTAGATAATTTTTCTAATTATTCCATTGAGTCAGTTTTTGTGATTAGTGGTTATCAGATCAAACAGATCATGTAGATAGATAGCACAAGTATTTGGAGAAACGTTGTCTGTTTTGTTACCAAAATGTTGGAAAAAATTTATTTCAATACCTTTCAGATTTCATAAAGTGCAGTGTATATAATGCCTACTAAAAGACTGTAAAATATTGAAATTTTCTTTCAAGCAAATGTAAAAAATATATTGAGCCTGTAAATTGCTCTGTGACTAGACTTCATTGTCGTCTTAATATATTCTTTGCATGTGCATATATATACACAGGTGTGTATATATATGTGTGTGATTATGTGACCTATGCAATACAAATTATGGGAATGGGCAGCTTTGGAGTATATATCCCATAATTCTTTTTTCAGGAATAGTTGCAGTATTTACACAGCAGCATTTCTTCTCAGGCTTTTATTGGGTGCTGTTGCTTGCTATGTATGAAGAGAAATGTGTCAAACAAATTTAAAGTTTAGTGTGTTCTGAAGAAGGGTGTGAACAACAGTGTTCATGGGCTTTTAGAATGCTTTTCACTTTCAGTCCTTGTAACTCAGCTGTTCAGTACCTAAAACCAATTCAAATAATATGAACATTATCTCCTACTAGAAGTAACGTTTTCAAGTTTTCATGGCACATGATGATTGTAAATGTCTCTCAGTTTTAACAGTAAGTCTATAGGAGTCCCGTGAAGATTCCTGAAATGTCTGTAGTAACTGTTAGTCATGTTGAATAAGTGTAGTATGAACAAAGTATTTTATTGCACAGGGTTAACAAACAGTATGTTGCCTGACAAGGCTACTGCTGTTTTATTACAACATTACCTCTTGTTTTTATAAAATGTACCAAGATTTAAATTGATAACTTTATTTTACATGTAAAAAAACAGTTTCTTTTATCACCAGTGTTAGTTGTCTTCTGTTTCTTTTTGTTTTGTTTTGTTTGTTTGTTTTCTTTTTTAGCCAAAGAGTAAACAGAAGAATATTCTTATTTTGGTGGCTATTCATTTTACTCTTAAAAGTGATTGGTGGATTTTGCCTAAAAATTGGGGAATTTGCCGCCAAAATGAAAAATATGTAAAGTGTAGTGGTTACAGAGCGGTAAGAATGTGGGTTAGTACTTATTTATTCCATTGATTGATTATTTGACTGTTTATAAAGAAAGTTGCTTTATTTCTTTAAACATCTTCAAAAGATGACCTTTTCTTGTCACATTATAGCCAAAAGAAGCAGAGAACTTCGTTGTCCTGCATTTGGTTCCTGGTTGGCCAGGTATAAATGAGCTTTACAAAAGTGCAAATTAAAAACTGTCACTTCTGTTTACCTCCACCAAAACTTGATTTTCCCCTAGCTATTAATTTAAAGTTGCCTTTCCTGCAGCTGCAATATTTTGAATAACACACAGAGTTTGTGTTGATTTTGAATGTTTGTTTATATCTAGGGGTAATGGAAAATGTAAATCCCGTGTAACCTTATTCACTCCACCTGTATCATATTATTTCATTTTTCCCAAAGTCCTTTAATTCTAACTGAACACCAGCAGTATTTTAGTAACTCTTTCTTTAGTATACCTGGAAGATGATTTATTAAGCTGAACTGTCTTTAGACGTAATTATTGTGAATGTCTGTTTTATTTTATCATGGTGGTTCCACATGGCTCTGATGTTCAGTTTGTATTTTTGGAATTGCTTTACTTAGAATTAAAACAGACCAACATTAAATGTGTGTATTTTTTAAAGAGCTAATGAGTTTTGCTTCTGTATTTGCTTGAAAATACACACTGATGCAGTGGATGACTGCTTTTATTTAGTCAGGGAGCTAAGGATTTTCCAATTCCATTGTAAATATGTTCACTTGAATTAATCTTTATGAAACTTGGCTTTTATTTTCCGCTTGTCCCTCAAATAATATTAATAATTATTGCATGTTCATCTAAAATGATCCTTTAAAAAAAAAACTGCTTAATCAGCTCGTACACTTCCTGCTTGAAAGACAGTATATCTCCCTCTATCTACCTTGTCCCCAAAATTCAAAAAAAATTCAGACTTTTCAACTGTTTTTTTCTTTTTGCTTATGTAGAAGGTGTCAGATTCACATCAAAGGATTTTGGTTTTCTTTCCTTAAAAGCTTTGCTCCTAGACTGTAGAAGGAAAAGATGTAAAAATAGTATGCCTTACTCGTTTTAATTACATTTTTATTCAAAACAATACGTTTTTATAAATATCCTGATGATGATTAAGTATGGATTCTTATATGATCTAACTAGATCAGAATATGAGCTATCAGTTATTCTATAAATTCTAATGTACGAGTAATGAAGTCAGATCTTGCTAGTCATCTTTTGTTACTAAATGTTTAACAAGTGAATGTTTACTAATGTGTGAGTTGAGGATTCCTCTCCCCTTATATTTTGCAAGTTATGTCCAGCTGTACATGTTTGGTTTCTGTTGTGTATATATTCAGAAGATTTCTGTTAATGAGCCTTGGGGGTAGAACTAATTCTTCTAAACTACTTGGTTGAGTTTCTACCAGGTACTATTAAGTTTTGGTTGGAGCATGATCTGACTTGCATAGTTACAGCAGACTGTTGTATATGTAGTTCTAGAGTTGTTTGAATGAGGATGTGATGGCACAGGAAGATGTCCCTGCAACTTTGGGAAATAGTAAAAAAAAAAAAAAAAATGCCCTGTTTAATGTGGGGAAGTTTTCCTCTTTAAATTATATTTGAGTACTTCTACAAATACCCACTCCCAAAAGTCTCCTTTGGTTTCTTCTGTGGCAGTCGATCAGTCATCTTCTTTCCTCAGGAAAATAAAAACTTGGCAGTTAAATGTAAAGTGAGAATTTTATCTGCATGGATTCTTTTCTAATTAGTAGCAGTTAAGAAACCAGATGTCAGACTGATAAAAATTTAGAGATGAGAGAAGCTATGAAAGCAAACTGATTGGCTCTCTGAATATCAGCAAATAGAATGGGATTAAGTACAATATTTGTAATTTTTAAGTTATATCAGGATGTCTTGGAGCAATAGCTAGATCAAAATATTATACTGTCTTTATGTTTAAAATTAGAATAAGACTGCAAATAAACTAGCTCACTCTATTTTTCTCCCCTTCCCTTCTTACCCAGCAAAATCCCTCTTTGCTTCCTCCCCTTGCATTTTCTCTTTCTTAGAGATGATGAGTATTGAAACTGTATGCTTAGTAATAGTAACTCCTCACTTTTGCAACATCTTCAAGGAATGTGATATCTCGTTCAAGAAAATTCCACTGGATTTAAGCAAACAAACAAATGAACAAAACTTCCATAGATGATAAAATGTACTTATTGGATAAAACAAAACAAAAATATATCTTGTTCAAAATCATTAGTCTAATTTTTGTTCCTTGTATTTACCAAAAAGTATTCAGTCTTTTCTCTCTTTTTCTTTCATGCTTTCACAGTAAGGGTGATACAGTCTCAAAACAGGCACAGATTGGTTCATGGGGGCCAGAAGGCAGAAAAAGTCTTAGATAATGGTTTGTGGCCCTCCAGAGCTCAACTCTATCCAACAAAAATCTTATTCCTTAGTATTTAATTACTTTCATTGAGTTTTCTTGAATATCACAGGAGTAGCACTGACACTGAGTTCATGGAACAAAAAATATGCAAGATTGGTGCTACAAAACTATGGTAGATAATGGTTTTAAAATTTGGAGGGCTCTGTTCAATCTTAAAGTCATAGTGTGAGAGATAGTCTGCACATGCCTATGAGCTTCTGCTGTCTCCCTTGTGGATGTTTATGTTTGATCCTTAGTGCTTTTGTGTGTGGCCTAGGCTTGGGAATTAAATAAAAGTAGCTTACATTTGTTATTGAGTTCTACCAAGTTTATTCAACCCATCATTAATTATGTCAAGTGCTGAAAAAAAATGTTGGTATTATCTGAGTATCTAGCAGCTAGTTGAAAGGTTTATTTTATTTTATTTTTAAGATTTTTTATTTATTTACTTGAGAGAAAGAGTGAGAGAGAGCGAGTGGGCACAAGGGGTTGGGGAGAGGGGCAGAGGGAGAGGGAGAAGCAGATTCCTTGCTGAGCAGGGAGCCCGACGTGGGGTTCAATCCCACGACCCTGGGAACATGTCCTGAGCCGAAGGCAGACGCTTAACTAACTGACCCACCCAGGTTCCCCTGAAAGTTTTTTTTTTAAGTAACTTTTTCATATCAAGCAGAAGTTAAAAGTAAGCTTACCAAAAACAGTTCTTTTAAAAAATCAAGTTTTTCAAATGTTTGGAAGTCTTAATTACTATTATAGTGTTTCTATAAATTAATAATTGGCATATGTAATTTTAGATACATAACAATTTATATAAGTAAATAAATTACATTAAATTAAATACTCAAAATGAGGTTGTAAATTTAAGTTAAATGTTAATAGCATCTAGTATAAATAATATATGCTTAGTGAAGGATTATGATTAGTATTGTTTTGGCCGTTAATTGACCCCTTACATATTTTATCTTTAGTACTATTAGTGGAATGTAAGGGAATTTTACCTATACAGAATTTGAGACAAAAACAAGATTTTCTGGGGCACCCAGGTGGCTCAGTCGGTTAAGCATCTGAGTCAATTTCAGCTCATTTGGGATCTCAGGGTTGTGACATCAAGCTTGAGATCGAGCCGTGTCAGGCTCTGCACTGAGCGTGGAGTCTGCTTGAGATTCTTTCTCCCTCTGCGGCCCCCCATCTGTGCTCACTTGCTCACTCTCAAATAAATTAGAATCTTAAAAACAAACAAATGAGAATTTGGGTCCCCTTTGCAAAATATATAAAGCTTGCTTAGATATCTGTGAAGTTAAACTTTTCCTTGAGGATGAAGCATATTGGAGAGGGTTTTGGAAAAGAAAGCCTATTAGCTCATCTAAGATTTGTAGAGGCACAGTTTGGTTCCTGTATTCTTTTATTACCAAATCTCTTCCAGAATCCAAGAGCGGATCTGTAACAGGTCTGTTTTTTACTTTGTATTATAATTTTGCATAACCTGGTATTTTAGACTTTTTATGTTATTTTTTACTTTTTATGTTATTTTTATCTTTGGATGTAAAGTTTCCAGTGAAGAATTTTGTCATCAGAAACTCGTTCTTAATACCTCTTAATAAACTATAATTTGTTCTTTAAGCAACTTTTTTTCTTTTAAGATATTTATTTATTTGACAGAGAGAGAGAGTGAGAGCACAAGCAGGGGGAGAGGCAGGGAGAGACTGCTGGATCCCAGGACCCTGGGATCATGACCTGAGCCAAAGGCAGATGCTTTAATGACTGAGCCACCCAGGCGCCTCCTTTAAGCAACTTTTAAGCCATTAAATGAGACCAGAAGTATTTAAAATGCCACTTTATTAGAAGATTTTTCTAGAATGTATTAAGTACTTCATGTTTTTAAAACACTATCTTTAGCATGTTAACCTTCTCCTAATTACTGAGAGATTGTGAACATTTATTTTATGTTGCTGTAATATGGTGGTACTCTCAGGGGTCTAGATGTGGGTAGGGGCATCAGTCATTACTCTTTTTTTTTTTTAAGATTTTATTTATTTATTTGACAGAGAGAGACACAGCTAGAGAGGGAACACAAGCAGGGGGAGTGGGAGAGGAAGAAGCAGGCTCCCCGCAGAGCAGGGAGCCCGATGCGGGACTCAATCCCAGGACCCTGGAATCATGACCTGAGCGGAAGGCAGATGCTTAATGACTGAGCCACCCAGGCGCCCCAGATCAGTCATTACTCTTAATGACTTAGGCTAGGTGGTGCTTTTATATTATTCTTGTCTGCTTTACTATATCTTCTGTGGCAGTGCCTATGTTAATAAACCACATTTATTTACAGTGCATTGAGTGGCTTTCTCCCTTTCCTTTCTCCCACCTAGCTTCTAAACATTAATTTGCTGTAGAATGGAAAAAAATTAAGCAAGGTTTTCTGGGACAAAGAGATAACCACATAAATAAAATTTTAAACTTCATTTTACCCAACTTCTGATTTTTTTGTTTTAGATTCTTGAGTGGGTTTTCAAGAGTGATTTCCTTTGAAAAAGTAGCTGGCTTTTTAAATATTCATTACTTAAAATAATCTCTCATTTTGTTTTTCTTGCTTCCTATTTTATAATGTGTAAGTGGTTGAGATTTTTAGAAATCTGACAGCGGAGTAAGTTAAGACTGTAATGTAGGTTATTTTGTGCCTTAAGATAACTTCTTGGAAAACAGCACCATTGTTTTCTATTAACTCGTAAGTGGAGTAAGATAAAAGCAAAATTGCAATATCATTGGACCAGTTATAAATCTGCTCTTGGATTCTGGAAGAGATTTGGTGATAAACAGGAACGTCGGAACCAAAACTGCCTCCGTGGCTTATAGTTGAGCCAGGTGGCTTTTCTTTTCCAAGAGGTATTAGATTCAATGGCTTATGCCCTCTCTGTATTATGGAAAAGAGAAAATAGTGTCTTGTCTAGTGTGGACTTGTCATATAAGGATGGCAAATTGACATGGCTTTATTACATGCACATACATAATGGTCATAAAGTAGCTTAAAGGAACAGAGAAGAGATGGTATTTCAATCAGAGCAATAATTAACTACTAATTTCCATAACTTTATAGGTTAAATGAGTGCAGGAATTGATACTAGTAATTTAACTTTTTGGTGTTTCAAGTGCTGAAGTTGACTGCAATTAAAATGTCAAGGGTCAGAGGATCGTAATTTCTAAGAAAATAGGTGTTTTAGCAAAATCATGTAAACTAATGTTTGTCAACTAAATTTATTTTTTGTTTGTTTGGTTTTGGTGCAAAAAGGTGGTTTTATTAAAGCATGGGGACAGGACCTGTGGGCAGAAAGACTAAATTTGGTTTGTTTTATGAACTTGGCTAAAATCAGGAAAATGTAAAATTTTAAGTTACCCATGCTTGTTACTTTTTTTATGTGGAAGGTATAATTTAAAATGTTTCGGTGGGACTAAACTCTTGATTTTTTAAAAAAATATTTTTGAAATGATTTTCAAAAGTTTGAAAATACTTTTTTTAAAATTTTTCTTTTTTAAAGATTTTATTTACTTGTCAGAGAGAGAGCGAGTTGAGCACAAGCAGGGGGAGCAGCAGGCAGAGGCAGAGGGACAAGCAGACTCTGCCCTGAGCAAGGAACCCGATGTGGTACTCGATCCCAGGACCCTGGGATCATGACCTGAGCCAAAGGCAGATGCTTAACTGACTGAGCCACCCAGGCGTCCCTGAAAATATTTTAAAACTAAGTTTGTACTTAGAAGGTAGTACTTAATATAAAGGCTCGTGCTCTTTAAAATACAATTTACATTTATTTGGGGGCCGTTCCTACACAAAATATATATGCTGTCAGCCATGTTATTATAATAGATTTTATCTGCTAATGGAAGATGCCAGTGTCTTAGATAAGCAAAATTAGCAAAATACAGTCATACATATATTTGGAATCTGAGGGCTTTATATTTGGTTTAGGCTCACTGAAATTAATTTTGTGTTCCTTAAGCACACTACTTAAAAAAGTAAAAGTAGGATAACTTAGAAACATGGCAGAGTTAAAAGGGGAGTGCTGGGTTAAATTTTTTTAATAGAGAATAACAGAATATTGATCCATACCTAATACCAAGTTAGGTTGAAAATGTAAACCTTCACTATTAAGAACATTAAGATTTATATTGCAGTGAAAAGACCATGATAAAATAGAACTTCATCTATTCATCATGATTATTTGCTTTAGATAATAGCATGATTTTTTTTTTTTAATTACAGCGTATATGAGAATATACTTTGGTTTTACATCTTTTAAAATTGTATCCTTAACACAGGACATTTTAAATTGAGAAGTTGCACTGAACTCAGTTTAAGATAAGCCACTGCTTATTTACAAATAAAATTCATTTCATAAATTTAGGTAAAATATAGTTTTAGTAAAATAAAACTCAAATCTATTTCCTAAGAACTTCATTATTGTTCTTTGAAAATAAAAACAAAGTTTATTTTTCTGGATGTTTCAACTGCTATTCTACTGAGGTGTTTGTATTAGTTTCCTAGGGCTGCCTTAACAATTTACCACAAACTTGGTAGCATAAAACAACAGCAATTTATCTCTCACAGTTCTTGAGGCTAGAAGTCTGAAATCAAGGTAGTGGCAAGGTTGATTCCTTCTGGGTAATAGCCAGCAATCCTAAGCTGTAGATACATCACTCCATTTCCTGCCTCCAATTTTATAGCTTTATCCTCTGTCAAATCTCTCTTCATAAAGGTGGCAGTTATTGAATTAAGGGCCCACCCTAAAGCCAGGATGATATCATCTCCAGATCTTTAACTTAATTACATGTGCAAAGACCCTATTTCTAAATAAGGTCCATTCACAGGTACTTTAGTTAGGACTTGGACATTGGTTGGGGAGGGGGGAGATACAGTTCAACCCACTTCAGTATTATTACAGGATTTTTTTTTTTTTGTATGTTTCAGTTCCTTAAAATGGTGTTGCAAACCATTTTGTGCTATTGTTTATTCAAATGCAACACTCATTCTTGGAATACCTACAAGTTGCTGTGAAGAAAGATGAAATACTAGGAGCCTTGGTCTGAATTCTTAAGTTATGAAGGGCAGAGACATAAATACAGCTAAATTTAAGGTGAAATGTGGTAAGTACTATGGAATATTTGTCAGAGTTCCATAGGAACCTGGAGAGACATTAGAGAAAGACTTACTGACTTATTATTTGGATTTGGCTTTGAAGGAGGGTCAGCTTTTGACTGGCAAAAATAGGATAGGATAAGAAACAGTATAAATAAGTTCAGAGATGGATGTTGGTTAAGGGGGTTTTAAGAGGTATAGAGAATGGCACAGTTTGGGGAGGTAGGTCATAAACATGAGAAACAACATTGGAAAAGATGACTACAAGTATCCAGATAGGTGCTATATATATCACTAGAGAAATGAGATTGTGTTGGACTGCAATATTTGTTAGGTTGTACCTTGAGGAGTGGGTTAGCTTAAATATACAGGCTAAGGGAGAGAAAATCTCAGCAGTTCAAAATGAAGGAGCAGAGTAAGAATAGGCCTGGAGTTGAGACTGAACCATCTCACTTGGTATTTTGGTGTCTGTTGTATTTCAAGAGACTACTGGGAGGAAAATGTGAAATAGAGTTACCTTCATCCCTTAGTGTTCTCTTTCCTGGGAAGATAGGAATGTGTATGTTCAGCTATTGAAAGGGGTCAGAGTGGCAAGAGGATTTGAGAAGGGAGAGGTTTTTTCCTGGGGCCTGGCTGTGGAGGACATTTGAGAGAAAGGAATTACTAGGGAAGACTTAATGAAGGAGTTTAAACTGGGACAAGAATGATCTGAACCTGTAGAAAAGGGAGCACAATAGGGCATTACAGAGTGCAGGAGGAAGAAGCGAGGTCATGAAGCATACACAAAAGGGTTGTGATCTGATGTGGGTGAGGCTGGAAAAGATGAGGATTCTGATGGGCCTGCTGTGATGGGACTGCCACGCAATAGTATGTTTTGAGATTACTTTGGCACTGGTATGTAGGATCACTTAGAGGAAAATGGTGTGAATGCCAAACCTAGATTTACATGGAGGTGAATTTGAGGTAGTAGAAGCAGTGGGAATGCTAGAAATATGAGAGTGATTAGGGAGCTGAGCTGACAGTACTTGATGACTGAGCAGCTAAGGGGTCTTTTTAAGTTTTGAGAACCTGAAAAGCCTAGTGATATTAAATGGAACAGAGAGGAGCAGGCCTACTTAACAGCAAAGAAGGAAGATAGGCTTGGTTGGAATAAAAAGTTCATGCTTGAAAGTAATGGAAGAAGTAAAGAAGTAGGTGGGGTTAGGACCATGTTACTGGGCATTTCCCAGAAGCTTATGTTCTTTATTATTAAAAATTTGTTCATTACCATTCATTAAGCAAAGACCTAAAACTTGAGTAAGTTCCTTTATGGTGGTACTGTGGCAGGTGTGTAGAAAATTTTCAATAAAAATATGAGAGTTTTCTGTCTTAGGTATTATCATAGAGAAATAATTAGTTTAGAGCAGATTTATGGTGTTAGCTGAACAAAAGCAAGTAATAACCTGTATATATCGTGGGAAACTTGTGATTTATTCTGAAGCAAAAGCACTTGGGGGTCTTTCCAAGAGAATACTTTGTGGGGCTTTTTAGGTGGACACTTGTGGATTTGGAAGCCCGTTTTGTGCTCTAAAGTGGTGTTGCATAAAAAGGTTGTAATAAAAATCGTAATTGGAAATAATTTCTGAAAAGAATATTGAAAATAATGTGCAAATAGTTTGATTTTTTAAATGAATGAGGAAAAGAGTGTACTGGAAAGAAAAATTAATGATAATACTTAAAATATTAATAAGATATTCATAGTGATAGTAAAGTGTCAGGTGGTTTTCTTGGCTAACACTAAAAAGCAGCATTAAAATATTTCAAGTAATTACTGAATCTGACCTCATTGAAAAATTACACTATTTTTTCTTTGGTATTGAGAAGTATAAATTTAGGTTTAGAAAATGACAAGCATGTTGCCATAGCCCGGTAATAGGGAACCTTAAAAATTAACTAAATATTACAATTAACAAGTAATTCATCCCTTTTATACGTAACCTGGAGTAGTTTCCGATTCTGGATTTTCCTGTTATAGAAATTATTCTCACTTGGGGTGAAGAGTACTCCTTTTCCATAGCTAAGCCTGACTTGGAGGAAATAATGCTAATGTTTCTAACGTATTGCTTTTCTGCTTAACCCCAAATTGTTTCTCAGCTGGCACCAAAAGGGAGAATTAATGAAGTAGTCCTAAGAGAATGAAGCTGTGGTTTAGAAGAAAAGGGCATTGGATGTGGTAGATGAGAAAAACAAGGGAGGAAATCTTCTATCAGTTTTTTTCCTTAAAAGGAAAAGCTTTACTCTTTTCTAACTATGATATAAAAGTAAATTCGTACAACACAAAACTCTGAAAATCTTTCATTCTACAGTCCAGAGATAATGGTATATAAATATAGCCTTAAACTTGTAGACTTATTTATTTTTACTAAAAGGTTATGTTTTGAAACTTCACATTTCACTTAATAAACGGCCTCATCTTTGCATTAACAAATACTGTGTTTTAGGCCTTGGGCTGGGTGTAGTGGATAGAATAGACATTCTCTCTGCCTTCAGAGATTAGAGTCTAGTAGAGGGTTTGTATACATTAATTATGATATATTGTGGTCAGTGCTTTGAAACAGAAGTGTAGAGAGAGCACATAAGAAGGATACAACCTAAGTTTGAGGGATCTGGCTAAATTCTTGGAGCAATGAATGACAAAGCTGACTTAGAAAAATGAGGAATTGGTGAGTCCTGAATACTAGTCTTTCTCCCCAGTTTCTGTCACCGCTTGAGGGGCAGATTCTTTGCTTTTGTGTTCAAAGTACTAGACATAGTAATGCTCAAATTTTTCTTATTCTAAAATATTAAACCTTGCCCTAGAATATTGTGATAATTGCAACTTGTATTAGATGCTTTGAGGATATAAAAGTATTGCATCCTGAACTTCCCTTGGGTGCCAAAAAGGAAATACTCTGATAATATATGGGCCATTTGCTAATGTTTTCTAATCTTTCCCTGTTTCCCTGTCTAAACAAACTGGTCTTTGTTCATCCTTTTCTTCTTTGCTGTATGTATAAGGGATAGTGGAGTAGTAATTGCTAGCATATGTTTTTAAATTTATGTCCTTTTGGCATTTAAGAATTTGCAGTAGCTTGTATTATATTTAATAAGTTGCTTCTCAATCATATCTGCCATATACCTTAATTCTAAGATCCTTTACAGCAAAAAGACTTTGTTACTTTCATGGGTGAAGGAAGCAATCATTCTCTGTTCAAGATTTTCATTATATACCTGTATACCCGGATTGTCCACTGAAAAGTCAGCATTTGAAAAAGTAAAGGATAGCTCGCTCCTCTGTTGAGATTCACTGAATGCTGATCCTGCAACATTGCAAATAGATGTGGCTTTCCCAAGGTGGTGTTCTGATCACCACTTCATTGTAGTATAACCTCTGGACACATATTTTAGAATATAGAATTCCAAAAGAAAAAGGTTGACTTTTCTTTCATATTTCATGTAAAAACAATCAAGTTCGATTCCTTAAGTTCCCTGAAATAGAGTTTCCCCTTTCTACTAATAATTCTTAAGGATTGAGGTAACACCTAAAACAACAATCTGTTTTTAACTGAGAATTTTTTTTAAAAGGAATTAAATTATATCACTCGTTCCTGTCTTCATTCAGAAATATGTACATATATATAACAATACACTAATAATGTCTGTTTCGGGTATATCCATCTGTACCATTTTGTTTTAAAGTTTTATTTGGAATATATATTCACAAGTTGCAAAATATACACACACATAAACAGACACACAGGGAGTCCCTGTGTACTGTTTCCTTCAATGGTAACATCTTGCATATAGTACAATATCAAATCCAGAAAATTGATGTTGGTACAATCCAGAGTTTATTCAGATTTCACCAATTTTACAAACATTTATTTGTGTGTTTATATAGTTACATGTAATTTTATACATAGATTTGTGCAATTACCACAATCAAGTTACAGAATTGTTTCATTACAAGGCTGCCTTTATAGCCACTTTCCCTTTCTTCCCTCCATTCCTAACACCTGGCAATCACTAATCTCTTTTCCATCTAATTTTGTTATTTTAAGAATATTACATAAAAAGAATCATACAGTATGTAACCTTTTAAGATCCCCCTCCCCCCACTAAAAATTCCCTTGGGGTTCATTCAAATTATTACATGTATCCATAGTTCCTTTATTGCTGCATAGTATTACATGGTAAGGATGTATGAGAATTTAACCATTCACTGTTTTTTTTTTTTTAAGGGGGGGCAGGGCAAAGAAAATCTTAATCACACTCCATGCCCAGTGTGTGAGCCTGACGTGGGGCTCCATCTCAGAACCCTGAGATCATGACCTGAGCCAAAATCAAGAGTCAGATGTTTAACTGACTGAGCCACCCAAGCGCCCCCTACCCATTGACTCTTTGAAGGGCATGTGGGTTGTTTCTAGTCTGAGGCTGTTAAATATGAAGCTGCTATATGTAACTTGTGTATAGCTTTTTATGTGCACACTTTTATTTCTCAGAGTAAGTGTCCAAGAGTATAAATGCTGGGTTGCATGGTAAGTGCATGTTTAATTTTATAAGAAACTGCTAATATATTTTCCAGTGACTACCACTTTATATCCCACCAACAATGCATGAGTGATCTAATTTTTCTTGCATCCTTGCCAGCATTAGGTGACTTTTAAAAAATTTTAGCTAATGTAAAATGTTACCTTAGTTTCAGCTGTTGGTAACTTTTATTTTAGCCATTTGGGTAGTGATACTTCATTATGGTTTTATTTTTTAAAAAAAGATTTTATTAGTGTGAGCAAGCATTTGTGAGCATGTGCACAAGTGGGGTGAAGGGCAGAAGGAGAAGCAGGCTCCTCCCCGCTGAGCAGGGAGCCCGATGGGGGACTAGATCCCAGGCCCCTGGGATCATGACCTGAGCCGAAGGCAGACGGTTAACTGAATGAGCCACCCAGGTACACCTTCATTGGTTTTAACTTGAATTTCCCTAATAGCTAATGATGTTGAACATCTTTTCACATGCTCCACGTATTTCATGTTTTTTACCCATTTTATAACTGATCTGTTTTTTTACTTTGAGCTTTGAGAATTCTTTATGCAGTTCACCTGTGAACAACACGAGTTTGAGCTGTACATGGTCAACAGTATAATCTAGTCCTTTTTTCGGATAGGTAGTTCGCATATATTTTCTCCTTTTCTGTAGCTTGCTTTTTCCAACCCCATAACAGGGTCTTTGGTGGTGCAAAAGTTTTTACTTGTGATGAGTTCTAGTTTATCAGTTTTTCTTTTTATGCATCATGCATTTACTGTCAAGTGTGAAAATTTAGTCTAGCCCTAGCACTTCTAGGTCCTGAAGATTTTTTAATTTTTTTGAAAAGCTTTGCAGTTTTCTTACATTTAAATTCATGTTTTTACCTGTTTATTCGAATTGCCATAGCACTATTTAAAAGGCTGCCTTTTTTTTTTTTTAAGATTTTATTTATTAGAGAGAATGAGCAGTGGGGAGGGGCAGAGGGAGAGAGAAAAAGAGAGGGAGAAGCAGACTCCCCACTGAGCAGGGAGCCCGGTGCGGGGCTCAAGCCCAGGACCCCGGAGATCATGACCTGAGCCGAAGGCAGAGCTTTAACCGACTTTACCACCCAGGTGCCCCTAAAAGGCTATCTTTTCTGTATTGCTTTTGCACCTTTGTCAAAAATCGGTTGGATTTGTTTGGTGTATTTCTGGAATCCCTGTTCCATTATATGTCCCTCCACCAGTATCACAGTGTTGATTACTGTAAATTTTATTCTTTTTAAGAATTGTCTTAGTCCTTTTGTCCTGTTCTTAGTGTTTTGCCTTTCCATATACATTTTAGAGTAAGCTTGTATTGGTCTACAAGAAAATTTTGCTGGGGGTCCCTGGGTAGCTCAGTCAGTTAAGCGTCCCACTCGATTTTGACTCAGGTCATGATCTCAGGGTTGTGAGATCAAGCCCTGCAGCAGTCTCTGTGCTCAGTGGGGAGTCTGCTTGGGATTCTCTCCCTCTCCTTCTGCCCCTGCACTTGCTCTTTAAAAATAAATAAATCTTAAAAAAAAGTCTTGCTGGAGGCGCCTGGGTGGCTCAGTCATTAAGCGTTTGCTTTTGGCTCAGGTCATGGTCCCAGGGTCCCGGGATTGAGCCCCGCATTGGGCTCCCTGCTCTGCGGGAAGCCTGCTCCTCCCTCTCCCACTCCCCCTGCTTGTGTTCCCTCTCTTGCTGTGTCTCTCTCTTTCAAATAAATAAATAAAATCTTAAAAAAAAAAAAAAAAGCTTTAAAAAAATCTTGCTGGATTTTGATGGGAATTATGCTAAATTTATAGATTTGGAAGAATTGACCTTCCAATCCATGGCACGTGGTACATTTCTGTACTTACTTGGGCATTTAATCTTTCACCAACTTTGGTGATTTTCAGCATACAGGTCTATTCATGTTTTTTTAGATTTACACCTAACTATCATTTCCGTTGGAGTGATTGTCAATGGTATTGTGGTTTTTTTGTTTCCAATTTCGTTTTGAATATCAAGCAAGAATCCAGCAAAATGGAACCCTGAAATGTGTCTTTTTAAGCTGTCGCCTTTTCTTTCAGCTTTCTCCTACAAATAGCGTTACTAGTCCTTTTAGAATTTAAGTAAGGGTAGAAAGGTTATGTTTTTTAGTCCCTCCTCCCACTTGATATCCAATGTAAAAATAAACCCTTTGACATGTGATCATTACTGCCACTTGAAAACTTCCAGGACTGGGGAGTAGTCTCTTAATATAGAAAGGAGTTCATTTCAGTGATGGATACTGATTCTCTGTTCATTTTGCTGTTGACTCACGGTCATTGAAGACCTCCACATTTTTCCCTGCTTGGCATTTTCTCGCCTTTTTCTTTCAGATACAGGGATCCAGAGTCCCACCTCAATGTGCCCTCTTTTCATGTAACATCATAAAATGATGGTCTGGATTCTTTATTCTGTGCCCCTTTTCCAGAGAGACATTAAGTGTAGCGTAGCTCTAGTTTTTAATGACACAAACCTTCCAGAAACTCAGACACCTAAAGGTGATGGGAGTGCAGAAGCAGAAAGGTGCCTAAGGAATTCTATCAGCTTGTAGGGGAAGAGTGTCTTGTCTGGATGGTATGAAGGAAATGACCAATAACCAACTTCCACCAAGCACTGGACTCTCTTATATGTGATTTTAACCAAGTTTTAAGATGCTATCTAAAATGTTTCTACACACAATAGGCTCAAAGGAATTTTGATTTCCCAGTATTACCCAGTTAGCAGATGGTCCAAAGATAATAGACACCAGAATCCCAAGTTGTGTTGGTTAAAAATTAAGATTCTAGAGCCATATTAGAGACTAAACAATTTATGGTGTGGGGTTAGAGGAGTGGAACAAGCTCTTTGAGGGCTTATTTAGCATTCCAAACTTTTGGAGGTGATCTTTGCCTTTTTCCCCCCTGCTTCTGTATTTTGAGCACCTTATAGTTACAATGCATATTTGGGCAACAGATGAATAAGAACACATGTAAACAGAACTCCAATGCAAGGTAGAATGATACACAATCAGAAGTACAAAGAACTATGGGTTTTCAAATGGGAGAGCACACCTGGCTAAGATGAGATCAGTGAAGGTTTTAAGGATTAGACAGCATTTACAATAACTGGTAGATCAGTAAGATTTTCTTTGATTGTAATTTTTATTATATATATTCAGAACAGTATTCATTGCTCATTTAATATGGCTATTCACAACTCTAAAGAAATTTGAGCAACACTGCGTATTAAGATGAAAAGTTATTACATGCTGAATCATTTTTTTTTTAAATTTAAGATAAAGAATTACTTGGGGAGGCTTACAATTATAGGTACTCATTTTTTGTTAATTTTAAGACAATAACAATATTTAAGGATAAAAACACAACATAAAATTACATCTGAATTTGTAATTTATTTCCATGCTATTTCAACCACTTAATTGCCTTCTATACCTTGACATTCACTTACCTTCTATACCTTGACATTCACATGAAAGAACAGCACATCATTAATGACCCAAATGCAAATAAGAGTAAAACTCTAGGCCTTAAATATTGTAATTTAAGAGTTTATATAACTAAAAACTGAAGACAAAATCAGTCATTAAATGGTAAGTTGCTTAATCTTAGCGTAATTTTAATTTCAAAATTGAATACTGACATTTAAAAAACCATCAGGCAGATAAACTATATGCCTATAGAAATATTAAAGAATTTAGTTCTTTGCTAATTATACTTTTTTTGGTTAATACAAGTAACATCCTTCTTAATCCCACTCTTCATTTTGTGCCTATAAAAATAAAATTATGTCCTCAGTATTCCTAAATTCCTTTTTTCCAGATAAGGCCATTATAAGACGTTACTGAATCATAGGTTTAAAATCGGTGGCGCAAATCATCTGTAGATAATGTAACAAGTTCATTGTTAGGTAAGGAATCAGAGTATAGTACAGTAACCAGCCAGAGGTAGAGTTCTTGATCACAGTTTTATAGAAAAGATGCAGTAGTTTATATCTGTACTGTTTTGCTAGTTTTAGTATGGTAAGGTTGCTTCTCATTATGAGTTTAACAGAAGGGGGGAAAGGGAGGTCTCTTCATAGGTGATTGTTGGCCCTTGTTTTGCATGTATTGTAGGCACTACTCCTGGACACTTAAAACATTTTCTTGGCCAGTTAAGGTAATTATATATGGCATTTACCTCATTTTTTAAAAGTTTCATATAGGGATAGCTAATCTTTTTGTTCTCCCAAGGGCATAAGGAGGGAAATAAATCTCTTTTTGTACCACTCTGACTGTAAATTAGTAAATGAAACCATTCTCTCAATATCATTGCTTATTAAGAATTCCAGCAGTACTAATGTACAGACAGGTTCTATACTCAAATTTTTAAGTTGATTTCTCATATTTGTCTTAATATTACAAATGGGTATAACCTAAAAATTCTATTTAATTCATGATGTAGCTAAATTACCAGTATTTAATACTCCCCAGATCGCAATAAGCAAGGATGGCAGAGACTTTACATAGAGTTATTCACATACCGACTTTACATTTGGGATTCTGTGGGCTTTCAAATCCTTACTTGAATGTCAATAAATAAAGTGATCAGAAAGGTCATTTAGTGAAAGTTTTAACAATTGTAATGTATGTACCCAGTGCTAAACCTTACAGTAGTTTGTTTCATAAAATGTACCTGAATACTTAAGACAATTAAAAACAGAATAAAACAACTGTAAAAAATAAAACCCTAGCCAAGTATAGTTTCTTCAGTTATCTGGAATTTAGTTTCATGATTGGTATTAGGATTGGGTCATTATGATGAACCAATCAGATTCCAGATACTTAGAGTTTATTTAAGTGACCTTAATTTTGATCAGATGTTCTCAAGCTTACCTAAATTCTTCTTTATTGATTGTTGTTGTTGATTTTGAGAACTCCGAAAAGGAGATACTTATTTATGTAAGGCCCAGATTTTTAAGCAGTATTTCCTTCACAACTGCTGTTAATAATGTATTATCCAAGTCATTAATCATGTTAAAACTAACAACACTGCTGATAGGTAATATAAAAATAAAATTATTTTTCCTCACATTTAATTTCAAAATTCTAGTTCTGAGTTAAGGACTAGACCAAATGTGTCCTTATGGAGACTGTGAGCAGCCTTTAGCTATTTCATTTCAAAGAGAAAATTTGTTCCAATTTTAATAATGACTGAGCATTTTTAAGAATTATTAAAATGTTGGCCTTTGGGGAATATAAGCTAAGTATTTAATACTTTTTGCTAATATTTTAAATTGAAATATATTTGGTTATAAAAATCTCACAAATCTGTTTTTCACAGCTTTGCTTCTATTTACATTATAGGAGAGATATATATGTAAAAAGAAAAGTTGAGTTTTTGTCTTCTAAAGATATATCCAATCCATGATTAGGTAATTCTCAGATGATTTATAACTTACTATACTGAAAAATTATATAATCGCCACATTTACAAAGAAACTTCAATATACTGAAAACTTCTAATTTGTAATTGCCACATTTACAAAGAAACTTCTAGGTAAGACAATCTTTTAAAAACAATGTTTGGTGTTGCATTTAGGCCCAAAGTTCATTTATTTAAATCACCTATGACATCTGCAAGATTTTTTCAAACTTAGGAAAATGCTGATTAATATGGCTTCATTCAATTATACCTATACTCTGTGAAATATTTCTGTTATACACTTAAGTACAACTGAAGCAATAAGATTACTTGCACAGACGAAAGTGAAGACTCCTTTCACCTTATAACTATACTTGTTTCACACTTGTGGTAATGCCTGAAAACATTTTTTGAAAAGACTATTAATGGTCTTGATTATAACCGTGTATTGCATTTTTCCGTCTTTTTTTTCCCCCAATGTTAATTACTCTAGTTTAAAGTTTTAAGTTCTACTTTTCCTCTTATCTTCAAATAGACTCTTTAGCATATACACTTGAATTGCTGACACTACCACCATTACCACTAAGTTAACCATAGACCAGAAATTGACTCTGTCAAAGTTGCTTTCTTGTATGTTTCGATCACGAGCTTCAAATGCTCTAAGCAGAGTCTGGATATGACCACTTTTGCTTAGTCTGGCCTTGATACTGTTGATGGATTCCTGGAGATAAATAAAATAATTTTACTATCAAAGAATGCTCAGTAATTTTAAGTTGAACATGTGATTCACAATACCCTAACATTCATATTAGTTTTACATCCAAACACGATTTTAATTAAGGGACAGGTACTACTTGGATCACCTAAAGATCTGTAAGTTTATGTAATAGTTCTCCTGATATATTTAAATTATTGTTTACAAATAGTTACTTAACAGAGGAACAAAGCTAATATAAATTGAAAATAAATAATGTGAAAATATATTTCAGTGCATAGTGCCAGGAATTTTATATACACTATTTCTTAGCCCTCACAACCATAAGAAAAAGACTGGTTTTTAAAAACCTAACTGATGAAAAAAAAAAAACCATTAACAGCTTTTAGATATTTATCTTTATATAATGCACTGTCTTTATAATATTTTCTTTGAATGTTAATCTTGTCCAATTTAGTGTCTAGCAAAACACCCAATGTTTTCATCTCAAAATAATAGTGAAATTAGAAAATATTCCAATTTTTGATATGCATATTATACATCCAAAAGTATAATCTATTTTTAATACAAAAATGTTCCAAGATTACATTTGTAAAACAAGCTTATCAAGATGCACTCTTTAAGTTGTACATCTTCTGAAAAACCTGTTTTTATAGCAGGGTCCTGGTGAGAGAGGTGATTTGAAAACTATAAGAGGGCTATATGAATATCAGTTAAAATTAAGTTGAGATTTGAAATGATGTCAAAAGTACATCGTCGACCACTTGAACAACATGGGGGTTAGAGGGGCCAACGCCCTGCACAGTTAAAAATCCACATAAAACCTTTGATTCCCGAGAAACTTTACTAATAGTATACTGTTGACCAGAAGCCTTACATAAACAGTCAAAACATTGTTTTCTGTTACATATATTACATACATTATATACTGTATTCCTACAATAAAATAAGCTAGCAAAATGAAAAATGTTACTAAGAAAATTGTAAGAGAAAATATATTTACTGAAAAAAATCTGTGCATTAAGTAGACCTGCAGAGTTCAACTGCACTTTGTTCAGGGGTCAGTTGTACTTATGGCAAAAATAAGAAAATACTAGAAACAGATTTTCCTGCATAGTCATCTTGCTTAAAATCCTTATTTAAGCAAAAACTAAAATTTCAGACTTTCTGCTAAACCTACAAAACTACAAAGTGTAATATTTATCATTTGGGCATATTTGTAAAGCAACAGTAACCTAGTAATGCAAATACTTTCTAGAAAAATAAGGAGTTCAGATCCCCAAATAAAAAAGATCATGCAGGGGCGCCTGGGTGGCTCAGTTGGTTAAGCGACTGCCTTCGGCTCAGGTCATGATCCTGGAGTCTCTGGATCGAGTCCCGCATCAGGCTCCCTGCTCGGCAGGATGCCTCTGACCCTCCCCCCTCTCATGTGCTCTCTCTCTCTCATTCTCTCTGTCTCAAATAAATAAATAAATAAAATCTTTAAAAAAAAAAAAATCATGCATAGTTCTTTTCAATATTACAGCAATGATAGCCAAATACAAAATTATTTATCAAAGTTTGCTGTTAGGATACAAAATTTGGGGGGAAATAAAGCTCCTGGAAGACATTTTCCTTTAAAAAGGGCTTATAAGTATTTTAAGCCATATTTAAATCTGAACTTACTGGTCATTTTGTTGAACCATGTGAATGAATTCAATCTCTTGAGAATGCAGTGAAGTACTAATAAGGTTTATAAATACTAGTGTTTTAGTCTTATTGGCAAAATAAATTTAAAATGGAAGAATAAGTTAAGATGATTGAAACTTAAAAGATATATACATAGGAAATTATGGAGATAAAAAACTGTCATGGTAAAAATTCATACCAATCAAACTTAATCCTTTCAGTTTGCATTCATAGTAACACCAGTGGAAAAGGTAAGAAAAGTAATATTTATTATGCCACACACTGTTTAAAGCACTTAGAGACATGATGTTTCTTATTTCATCCTCACAACAACTCTAGAGGTATTATCCCCATTTTGCAGGTGAGGAAACCAAGGCTGTGAGGGCTCATTCACTAAGCAGTCACACATGATAATACATGATCGTCTAATTTTCTGACTTCTTAAGCTTACCGATCTACATATAGTATGTCTCTTCTGCTGTTTGACAGCTGCTTTCCTAAAAAACCTCAAGTGATCAAAATACCACATTATTAAAAAAAATTCAGGTTATAAGACTATTAGAGATTACACAGTTTCAGTTGGCAATGACCATGTTATTTCTCCTGCAGGAATTTCTATAATACAGCTATATATGCTATTTACAAATACCACTCAGTAAATTCTGTCATTTGATTACATCTACCTGTGGCTGAAGGGTAATGAGCTTTTCCCCCATCACCAATACTATTATGGACAAATAGGTTCTTACACATGCACATTTCATTATGCATGTAAATGATAAGGCAATTCAAACAAGCCATATTCTAAAAGTTTTCACTCCTGAATGTAGTCCTAGTTTCTGATAACTGCTAGGTCTGGTCTAAGTAATGTAAACAGTGTTCCCAAATTAAGTAATATTAAATTTCATGTTATAAAAATTATGCTGTGAGAAAAATGCCTATAACATCTTAAGTGTTTACAAATTGCTCACTTTTTTTCTATGTGCAAGTATGCTATAGATCTTTACCTTCTTTATTTGTGAACATTCTAAGGGAGTTTTATAGTTAAGAAGAGCCTGTGTTCAAGTTCTAGTTCCCCCCGTTTCTGGTTATGTGACAAACATTACTTACTCTCCCCTAAACCACAATTTCCTCATTGGAAAGATGGAGATAAATAATCCTCATAGAGTTAAGTAAAGATTACATGAGATAATGCAGGGAAAATGATTATTTCAGTGCCTATCACACAGGCCTTTGGATAATTTTTATTTATTAAAAGACCATACTGACCAGGATGTCTTCCAGTTTCATGTCCAACATGTCTGTCCCAGTAATATATTTCTTCCAGTCCTCTTGTTCTTGCTCCTGTTCTCCCATATTATCCAGGATTAATTCAAAGAAAATCACCTTCTCAGAAATGGTGCTGAATGTATTATCAAAGCAGAACATGTAGTCACCATCTTCAGTCTCTACCCTGTATTAAAAAAAAGTACATGTCTTCAGTTATCTGTACCTCTATTTGGGATCAAAGGAAAAACTATAGGTAAGAAATAACATGGTTTATAGTAATTGGATAGTTTGCTGATAAAAACACGTACTTAGTATTGAAAGATAATTTATAATTTCTTAGGAAAGAGGCAACCTGGAAATACGTATGTAAAATATTTAAGTAGTTGCAACTTAGATGTGCTTGGCATTTACTCAGGAAATACGGTAAAAGATCTTGACCTAATTTTTGGAAAAGGATAGGATTAAAAACACTAAAACACAGATACATGATACCACACAATGATCTTTAATATTTATATATTAAGAGTAATTTATCATGAGTTCAATTCATATGCAAATATAACCACAAACCTCCCCTTTAACTTAGATTACTTTCTAAAGTGACTTGTTTTCAAAAGCAGTAATGGATTGTTCTAAATGTTTTCTTCCAGGCCTCCTACAGGTTAAGACTATCTTTATAACACAGGTTTACAGAGATTCGGGATCAGTGGACAACAAACGAGCTTTACACTCAGTGGCATTAGCTTTACTGAATAAATGCCACTCACATCTAAGTTAAACTTGTATCTTGGTCTCATTAGCTTCACATTCAAGATAACTGGCCTACAACATGTGATTCTTCTAAGTCAATCGCCATTTCTTTTCCACCCCTGTATCCAATTTATTTAGTTTAAGCATAAGAGAGAGTACTCAGCTATTTGATCAGATCTTAACATAAATATATAGCCAATACTTATATACCCCTTTATAATTTACACACTACTTTAACATATTTTAATTCTTTTAATCCTTATAATCGTATTTTGAAGTAGGCATAACTGACTTTTTCAAGGTAAGTAAAATAAAGTTCACATAAGTTAAAATACTTGCCTATGATCACACAGCCTGTCATAGGCACAGACGAAGCTTGGTTTTCTGACTCTCATGTTAATTGATCTTTCTTTTCTATAGTACTGCTCAGAGCCTGTCTGCATTCCTTGTAATCTCCTCAGTCATGACAAATCTTTGTCTTGAGGATGTATTTAACCTTTGGAGGAAGCTTGAAGAATATACTGGCGAATACAGTGGGGAACAATTTTAAAAGGAAAAAAAATGATATGACTATTATGTAAAGTTAAGTTCAATTAATCACTTTTAAATTTAACTCTTAATTTTGTTTAGTCTTAATTTTATTTAACTCAACTTTATTTAGCCATTCTTAACCCTGTACTGGATAAAAAGGGGAAGCTTTGTACCTACTCTTTTTACATGTACAGATCTACATACAATACAAAAACTGTGGTTTTAAAATTTCATGGGGGGATGATAAGGCAGAAAAGTCTAGAAAGGTTGCATGGGGACAAGAGTAAAAATGAAAAAAGTCTGAGAAGCACTGACTCACATGGATGAGCTTCAGCATGTGTATAGAAAAAAAAAGATATTTTACTACTTTATAGTCATTCCTATACTAATCTCTAAATCTGTTGACTGCTTTTAGTAGAAAGGAACTTTAATACTATAAATGATACAAAATATTATCCAAATAAAAATTGCAGAGTTAATTTTCCCTTCAAGTAGAATAAAGAGCAACAGTAGTCCAGAATGGATAAATTCTGGCGTGAGTTACAGTAACGTTAATTCAGTTGTCTAGAAAAAATACAAACACACAGACTTCTCATTCCTTGAAGTGCCAGCAAATAGGTATTACTTAAGCTGTTTATAGTTCTGTTTGGAGACATTTTTACTAACCCTGCCTTCTGAAAGGACAGTATTTAAAGATTCAATTGAAGAAAAAAACTATTTCAGTGCCATAACAGAGATATTTTATAACCTGCCTTTAAAAAGTTAATATAGCTAAAGATAAAATTTTGCTTAAATCTCATTTTTTAGAAAGCAGATTTGTAAATTTGGTGTAGTGATTAAGAGTAAGTTGGACAGCCTCCTTTTAAATCCTGGGTCTGCTGTTCACTAGATGTGTAACTTTCATTAACTTACGTTAGTGCTCTATGCCTCAATTTCTTTATTGATAAAATGATAATATCATGTACCTCATAGGACTGTGGTAAAGTAGAAAAAAAATTAATAAACACAAAGTGCTTAGAACAGTAGCCTGGCACATCAAAAGAACTCAATAAATGTGAACTCTTATAAACTCATTCTTTTTTCCCATTGGTTTAATGAGAGGTAATTCTATGCAAGAAACCAATAAGATACCTTTTCTCCCAACAGTTAATCTTAATTTATCTCTAAAGGAAAGGAGAAAATTGGAGGAAAAAATGACAGAAATTCTACAGATTTTCTAGATTCTGAAATTTAAAGATGAGCTACATTTTTAGTTCCTGTTCATATAACTATCAAAGAGAAAGCATAGTTCCAAGTATATCAATAGAAACTGACTTTTTAAATTACTGTTTCTCTATTTTATTAATAGTTTATACAAATGTTTTTTTCTGAGCTCTGCATAGGTAAAATGCCATTTTAAAAAGCACTTTAATAAAATAAAAAATAAGAAATTAAAAAAATTTTTAAATAAAAACTTAAACTTTAAAAATTAAAATATAAAAAATTTAAAAATTAAATAAAAATAAAATAAAGCACTCTGAAAAGAGTATTATAGTTGAGATATTTTCCCCCTCATTCATTCATACATGTGTTTAGTATTTACTATCAATTACATGCCAAGTATGCTGGTTAACAAAGACCAGTAACTATAATAACTAGTATTTACATAGTGCTATGTGCCAGAGATGTTCTAAGCATCGTATGGTAGAAAGCAAGAATTTTGATCCATCCTGCCTCCTCCTCTTAATAAATGTATATCCCTGCAGACTTATTTTAACTTCTCTGAGCCTCCTTGTCTGTAAAATGGGAATTGGGGAATCAAAGAATCTCTCATAGTGGGTTGGAATGATTAATTTGAAGCATATACAATGGAAAGCCTCGTTTATGGCAAATATTAGACTGTATTTGCTTTTCTTCTACCTGTAAATTCCGAGTTTAGTTTTAATGCAATAAGTAAACAAAGTGCTGTAGTAAAATGATAGAATGAATAGGGAAACACACTACTGAGATATGAAAAAGAAGTGAAATTAAGGGAGCATATATAGCCTTTTGTCAAACTGTAAACTTCTAACAAGTTTCTTTCTGGTTTCCTATGGGCAGATCTTTTACTATCACATCTTCTAATTATCTAAAAAGAATGAGGTCTGAGTAAAAAAAACCCAACTTTTACAGGCATACACACACAACACATACGCACAAAGATGTACTTGTTTTTTTAAGATAGTAAAGTAAATAGTGGGCAAAGATGATAAAGCCAGCAGCTCAAACTATAGGATACGTACCTGGAACAGTAACTTAAAATGGAAAGGTTGTGCTAGTCAGAAAAACAGGTTTAAAATGCCACAACAGACTGAATGCAATACCTAGGGCATACTCTCTTATTTAACCAAAGCAAAGAAAAAATTTAGGATCAATACAAAACTATTAAAAAAAAAGAGAAAAAAGTTAATGGAAGACATTTTAGTTTATGATAGACCACTATCTAGGACTATTTAAAATGTTCAAATGGAATCATTTAATACTGATGTTTGTATCAAATGTGCTAAATTTCCCTGCCCTGCAGATAGCCCATTGGTATTACTCAGCCCAAGGAACTCAACTAAGAGATCACTTACGTGTGAACTCCATCTGATTTTCTTTGTTCAAAAACTAAGGTTCTTCCTTCTGGAGAGGCAAGATGGAAATCAATATCTAATCCTGCTCCATCTAAAACCTGTAGAAAAGCACAAAAGAAAAGAGCACATTATAAATTCTGAAAATAAAAAATATATAAAGTAGATCATATGATGAAAAGAATTTCTTTCTAAATCTAGAGAGGTAAAGAAAGTCAACAAGATGCATTTAAGGGCTAGAAAGGAGCACAAAGATCATCCAATTCAATTCTATTCATTTTGGAACTTTCTTGCCAATTCCTGTTGCCATCACCTAACTTTAGGCCTTATAAATATTACTAAAATAATCTTCCTAAAATGATGCCTTGATTGAGAAGCCCTGTAGAGTGGAAGGAAACACAGAAGGGAGTTCAAATGGTAAACCTTTTTACTTAGGCAAAATATAGCAATACATGCTATATAACTTTTCTGAGTTTGTTTCCTCTTCAATGAAATAGTAATTAGCTATTTCTTAACCCAGAACTCAAAACTACCATGATCTGACTCCAATTGACTTCTTCAGTGCATACACTTATTATTCCCCAATATGAACTAAATATGCCAAGTAGGCTATTGTTTTACTTGCCAGTGAACACAGTCTGTTCCTTTACAATCCCAAAATGATGATGATAATAGCTAACAATTACAGTGTATGCCACACATTGTTTTAAGTGCTTTCTCTGGGCTAATTTCCTCAAAACAACTGTAAGAAGTAGGTCTTACTACTGTTCTCAGTAAAATAGAAGAACCAATTAACAGAACAAACAAACAAAAACCACAAAAAAAATGAGGCACAGAGAAATACTTTTCTCAGGTAGATATAGTCAATGAATGTCAAAATTTGAACTCAGCAGTTTTCCTCTGATAACTACTCTTTTTCTTACTTAACACTCCATTTTATTTTTCTTGGTGGCTTTAATGGAATGATACAAAAAATTACCTGTTCCTGTGCTATACTTACTTATCAACAAAAGTAGTTTCAAATAGCCGGCTAAATATATATAATTCTCTTTCATCTTCAAATCCCCCCAAAAATGAAGAAAATATATTGATACAAATAACAACACTGGAAATCTAGGAAGACTGTTAACAGACATGAAGAGTAAGGAATTTCTGGAAGATAGTCCACTGAGCAAAGGATATATATATCTAGCTAACAATACCTATCAATCTCAAAATTCTCACTGAAACAGACTAGAGAAACACATTTGTTGAAATCAATGCCCTCTTTTTCATGTTACTGGTTTTACTGAAAGGATCAAATTCTGAAAAAATAGTTAATATAAACAGACTTCAAAATGTTTCTTCATAAGTATATATCCTCAGAGAAATTCAAGAATGTGTAATCCATAAAAATGAGGTTGCTGGTATGAAAAATAAAAAAGATAAAAAATGTTGCCAAAATAAAGTCTTAACAAATGTAATGACAGCAGAATGAATATGGATAGAGACTAAAAATCAGCAAACTGGAAATAACCAAGGAATTCTCAGAACAAGGTGAAAAAAGTACAGATGAAAAGTATGAGAAAAATGGTAAGACCCTTTGGGAAGGACAGAGCTAAAGATTTCAAATATCTAACAAGCATTTCAAAGAAGAAAACCAAGAGAAATGAAGGGAAGAAATCATCAAATAGAACAAAAATTCTTGCTTCAAAAGATAAAAATCTTGAGACTGGGAGGGGCTAATAGATGTAAAAGATAAAAAAATTCCTACTGACTTTCCAAAGGATTTAAAAAGAACAACCTAGAAACTTCCAATGTTAAGTAGTAGAGAACTACTACTTAAAAGAATTGGGATTGGCATCAGAATTCTTACATACAATACTAGATACAAAAAAAAAATACAGCCATGTCTTCAATGATCCCAAGTAAAAGAAAATTATATTTACTAAAGTGAAAGCAAAAAGTTTGTCCAAGGACTCAAAGCATTTTATTTTTTAAAAATTTATTTATTTAGCCATCTCTACACCCAACGTGGGGCTCAAACTCACAAACCCGAGATCAAGAGCCACAGGACTCAAAGCATTTTAAAAGAATTACTCAAAGTTATCCTCTAAAAAAGCCAAAAAAAGATACCTATTAAATCAGAAAATAAGAGATCTAACAAAACTAAACAAAGATTTCAGTAAAAGATTTAAAAGATATTATTGGAAGTGGCTGTCAGGCTTAATGAAATTGTTAAAAATGATAAGAACACAGAAGATAACTAAAAATATATAAAACACAATTTTAAAGCATAAAAATATTTATTTAAAAAACACCATGGGCGCCTGGGTGGCTCAGTTGGTTAAGCAACTGCCTTCGGCTCAGGTCATGATGCTGGAGTCCCGGGATCGAGTCCCACATTGGGCTCCCTGCTCGGCAGGGAGTCTGCTTTGTCCTCTGACCCTATCCCCTCTCATGTGTTCTCTCTCATTCTCTCTCTCTCAAATAAATAAATCTTAAAAAAAAATAAATAAATAAAAATAAAAAACACAATAATCTGAAACTAAACTTCCTGATGATTTCACTAGAAGATGATGAGTGCCACTCTCCCTAGTCTGTACTGTTGTTGTAACAGTCTTTCAGTTCCTCAAAGGCTTTCTTCTTTCTTCCTCAATGCAAATTTAAATCACCCCCTTATGCCTAATAAGGCTGATTTTTCTACAGATCTGAATTGTACTTCTGGAATGTCTTCTCTCAATTCCCAGATGAAATTAAGTCCTCCTATTAAATCTTCTCATAGCTGTATATACCTACCTTCATAGCACTTAAATTAGAGTTACAATTTTACATTTATTTGGAAACAGTTTGATTACTCTTTCCATAATAGATTGTATGGGAACATGGACTATATTTTTACTCACCGTTATATCCGTAGCACTTAGCATAGTGCTCCAACAAATTAAGCACTTAGCAATGATTTTTAAAAAGTTAACTGAACGATCTAGTTTATTCCTAAAATATATGTATTGACATTTAAAATTTTCAAGAACTTTTAATATAATGTGGGGCTAGTCAATTATTCTAAAAGTGTCCCCCTAAAGCTGGAAAGTAAGAAATGGTTAAAATTTTTCAGTATGTCACAGTGACCCAAGGGCAATGTCTGGAATGTCTGTTCCCTGACATTTTAAAAATGAAGACAAAAAGCAGTAGCTGGTGTTATTGGAAAATTAATCCTGGAATTGGAAAATGCAAACAAAAAGGTGAAGATTACCTCTTACTCTACAAACCCCTCAATGTTGTCTAGGACTACAGACATTAAATCATTTTACCTCTTTCTTCAATCAAAACAATTAAGTTGTTTAGGGGGATTACTTCAGGGGGAACAGTCCTTTAAGAGTGACTAAAGATGCAGAGAGCATAAAGCTAAGCCAAGCCAGCTATATAACTCTAGAAGTGTAAATGTAGAAACACCAACATTCACTGCTTATTTACTAGTGTCAGGGATGGTCTATGAACACATATTAACACATTTCTTAAAATCAACTCTGTGAGGTAATTACTATTATTTCTATTTTACAAGCGAGAGGTTAAATAACTTGTTCAAATCACAGAGGTAGTAAGTGACAGAGTTAGGATTTCAACCCAAGCATTTTATCTCTACAGATTTTATATCATAATCATAAGAGGCCAGTAGTTCATATACATTTCCTCCCTAATACCAATACCTGGATAAATACTAAGGAATTTTCAAATAATACAAATTGTTTTCTTAACCTCCAGTTGGGTTTCCTTGCCTCTAATTTTGCCCTCCTTTTCCCACACTGTATCCAGTGATCTATCTGGAAAACATTTCTGTTACCATGCTGCTTCTATCTTCAATGGCCCTTGTACAGAACAAGGGCAAAGCCACTCAGCATGGCACACAAGCCTAAAGATTCATGATCCATGATCCATGATCCAGCCTCCTGACCTCTCCAATCTATTTTACTTCTACTCGCACCCTAGACTTTAGTCTTCAGGTCTAATAAAAACTAAGCACTTGTAGTGTCCACATACTGCCCAGCAACAAAACACACTATGCATTTTATAACTATTCGTGTTTTGTTCCTTTTCCTGAAATGCCCCGCCTTCTTTGCATTCTTGTCTCACTTAAGCATCTTTCAGGATTCAAATTTATTTTCTCCAGGAATCCTTTTCTGAAACACCAGAGAAGTGGTTGTCCTCTGACAGCACTTAACGATACTTTATTGAAATTAGCTGTTTATTAGCCAGTATCCCTTAAATAATAAGATCCTTGAAAACGGACTCTTTTTTTGTCCATGTCATAGTTGGTCATCTCATCCACACTCCTCCCATCCCCCTTCCACCCCTGCACATGGTAAATGAACTTTTGAACTACACTGGAGATCAATAAATGTTGCGTTCTAGCCTCAGTTTTGCTCACTATATGACTTCAGATATTGCGCTCTCTATTGCTTTCCTTAAATATCTAGAAATAATTTAATTCTAAGGTTCCTTCCGATGAAAATTCTACATAACTTACTTTGCTCTATAGGCGACAGTAACTGTTGAAAATAATTCTTTGCATCAACTTAAAAAATTATGATTATAAATTAAATAATCTGGGAAAAATTAAAAGGTGAACCACACCAACGCATTTTTTTTTTTTTTTTTTTTTTTTTTTGCAGTGCTACCCAGAAGCATCAAAATTAGCTGTGTGGAACTAACAAGATTTCTTCTAAGAAATTACCCTCTACCAAAATGACTATATAAATTAAGGCAAATCCCTACATAATATTATGAAGATACTAAAAAGAAAACAATGATATGGGAGAAATGCTTATAATGATGAACTAAAAGTTATAAAGTTTTAATATACAATTAAATATTGCTTGGTTTAAAAATATATAACTGAGAAGGAAATGTACCCATTAAATACATCAAGAGCTCCTTTCAAAATATTCCAAAATCGGATTTAGGGATAATCACAAGTTCACAGTTCAAAAAATCCTTAAATGAAGCGATGAGAGTGAAGATTTATAATACCGGAATTGGGTGAGCGTGGTCGGGGTAACAAAACAAGTGGCATCATCTCCTCCAATGATGAAGGAGAACGTGTTACCAGTCCTGTATTGAGAAATTCCCAGTATCAGAGCGTGTGCTGGTTAGCAAGGCGATGGGCGAATTATGAAACAAAAGGAAAAACCACCGAGATCACCAGTGCTGGCCTCTTTCCGACGGGAGGAAAGGGGAGAGGGCGGGTAGTCAATTCCAGGTCCCGCCTAACTTCTGGGTCCCCGGCCCCAGGCGAGCCGAGCCTCGCGCGCCTGCGCGGAACGGGCCGGCTACGGCGGCGGCCCTCGTCTCCTCGCCACCCTCGCGGTCCACAAGAAGTTTCTAAGCGGGTGAGAGGCGAAGACGCGGGCAGCTGGGATAGAGGAAGGAGGCTGCTTCACCCTCCGCACTTACTTGGTACTCAATCTCCAGCGACGCCTTCAGGGGCATGGGCTGGTAGAAACACTCCTTCTGGCCGGCCGGAAGGGTAAACGTGAAGTCGCTGTCTAAGGAGGGCGTGAAGCCGGCCGCCCCCGGCAGCAGCACTGAGAACAGAGTGGCCAGGAGGAACACCGGGCAGGGCAGCCAGATCTTGTCGCCCATCCCTGCCGGGGCGATCTCGGGCTGGAAGAGACGCGGGAAGTGTGGGTTATTGGCGCCTAGGCTCCGCTTTTCCTCCCTGGACTCCTCGTGGTTGGCAGGGAAACCTGGAGCCTGAAGAAACCAGGTGGCGGCCGCGGCGGCGGCGGCGGCACAGGATCCCTCAGAGCGGGAAACGCCGGCCTCCGCGGGGTAGGGGCCGAGGGGCGGGGCCAGCAGGCCTTTTCCGCACCCTTCTCGGTCTCGGCCCCCTCAGGCCTGGAATGAGCGCGCTCCGCCTCACACCAGGGCGGCAGGTTCCCATGGCTTCTCCCCCACCAATGGGCGTCTTAGCGGTAATTATGGGAAATGTAGTTCCAGGCGAGCGGGCTTGTACGCGCTCGCAGACCACGATCCCCGACAGGCCCCACGCCTCTGCGTCGCCTCACGCAGAGCCTGCGCGGGGCGGGGGGCGCGTCCCCAACGGCTCCCGCGGCGGTTCGAACTCGGTGCAGCCGGAGTTCACTTGTTCCCCGCGTGGAGTGTCTGATGCTTCCACGCCCCGAGCTCAGGAGAGGGTCCGAGGCTTCCGAACGCGGACGAGAGGGCGGCGTGCGCTGTTGTCAGGTGGGTCTGTCCCCCAGCTACGACTTGGGTGGTGAGTGACTGCTCCTTGGAGGGTGAGAACAGGCCTACCTGGCGGAGTTTTGTTCCTTTCCTTCCCAGCACCCTCGGACGCGCTTCGCATCGTCTTCACCCTTGCTGCGTACGCTGCTCTGCAGACTTGTATTTTATTTGAGAAAAAAGTGAGGGAGACGTCATGTTTTCCTCCGCTTCTTTCAGATGAACGTGGGATCGATTCTGTTAAATTGAGAGTTCTTAATAACAGGACCATACAGCATAAATCTATAACCTCCTTCCAAATGGAGGAATTTTTTTTCGACTACAGCCCATCCTATTACATACAAGGTTTATAAACCACACCGGTTTTTCGGTGTTGGTGGGTGCGGGTGCGCGTGCGCGTAAAGCTACCAACGCGTAATTAGCAGCAGAAGGTGATAAGGTCAGGGCCTGTCGGTAGTAGCATGATGCACTTTTCCACGTATGTACAGGCAGTGAAGATAGACTTTTATAACCTACTGTAAGTTGAAGGGAAGAAAAGTTTTCATGGCTCAGGAGGAAAAAAAATTAAAAGCAAATGTATTCATTAGTACGTAAGTGTTAGGGATTGTTACATTAAAATACACAGAAGATGTTGGACGTAAAACCTGATTTAGTTGAAACGTAATATCGAATGACATTTTAGAATTCACCCAAATTGTCTGTACCCTTTTTTCCTTCACCATTCTGTAGGAAGCTAGAAATGTTGAAAAAATAAAGCAGAATGGGGACCTGATCCATTGACTTTTGTATGGGAGAGTCTTCTCATTTAAGCAGAAGCAAATTTGTGCAAACGAAAGGGGAAAAAAGAAACATTTTCTCTGCGATTACATAGCGTCTCATTTAATTTCCTGCCACAGTTTCTTCCAATAAGGTGAGGGGTTTCTTTTTAATCTTCCTTCTTATATCTGAGAAATTTTGAGTGGGGAATAAATTTGCCTCTCTATTTGAGCTGGATGAGGGGAAGGAAGGGCAATTCAGCAATCATCATTTATTCACTGAACATACTGACTTTCTGTAAGTGGCCTTAATAGTCCTGAACATAATACATAAGATTCCTAACCTTTTGGAGCTTGAGATGTGGTCAGAATTCTAGAAGGGTGATGAAAGAGAGGTGCTACAATGACAAAGGTAAATGGGATCTGAAAGAGGAATGTAACTTTAAGATGCAAAAAGATCTACAGTAGTAGAGATTTTAAAGCCTTAGTTCTTAATATATTCTTAATATGTATATGTACATATTCTTATATGTATTTTATTTAATTTAATTTATTTATTTGAGAGAGAGAGAATGAGAGAGAGCACATGAGAGAGGGGAGGGTCAGAGGGAGAAGCAGACTCCCTGCCGAGCAGGAAGCCCGACTCCAGGATCATGACCTGAGCCGAAGGCAGTCGCCTAACCAACTGAGCCACCCAGGCGCCCCTTAATATGTATTTTAATACATAATGATTATATGTGTTAATTATTAATAATAAAATGTGGCCCTTTATCACGATTTTTATGTGTAAAGGTTATTTAGTAGAGAATTTCACAACTCTAGAGATACTCATCAGTTGAAGAAAGAAAAACTTTTCTTCATGTATTTCTGAGTTAACTTGCCAAATGCCATTTTGATCTCTATGGTTGTGATGTGAAGGTGTGTGTTTTTTAAATTTTATAACTATTGTGAATGGGAGGAGGAGATAACCTTTATTTGGTAATAAATCGCCATTAAGGAAATATGAGTGACTGTAATGATACCAATTTTATCAGATTTCCAGAGCTTGTAACTTGAGTATGTAAGTTCAAAAGCTCATCTTGAAATTGATCTATAAGTTAGAAATTGCAGTGTGACATAATTAAAAGGTCTTTGGATCCTGATGACTTAGGTTCAAATCTTGTTTCCACCATCTACAGTTTTTGTGACCTTGAGCAAATTCTTTAATTTGCCTTATTCTTAGTTTGTTTTAACTTTAACATGGAATAACAATATTTAATGTGCACTATTGTTAGAAAGATTAAATGTGCTTAGAAAAGGGGGAACTATTGAACTTTCTATTTCCTTGGCTTTACACTGCAGAGAAATTCATTGTTACTGGGTTTTTGTTTTGTTTTGTCTTAAATTACCATGAAAGATTGCACAACATTTGAGATAAACAGAAAAATAATGAGTTAAATTCTATTAATGTGAGAGTATTTTGACACCACAGATTCTTTCTGGCAAGGTACAAGAAATACACTTCTTTTTTTAAGAAATGGAATCTAGTTCATCAGACTACTGTAATAAAGACAATGAAGAAGAAAGTTTGCTTGCAAATGTTGCTTCCTTAAGACATGAACTGAAGATAACGGAATGGAGTTTGCAGAGTTTAGGGGAAGAGCTATCCAGGTACGTAAGTAAAATCACATATGGACTTCAGAATATGACTTTATGAATGTAAAATGTATGGATTTCATTATTATATATTGTGTTTCTAATAGAATAGAATACGAAATAATCTGTAATTTTTAATATAATTCTTGGTTTAGGAAAAAAATAGAAATGTTAGAGAAGTGTTATACGTTAATGTTTATACATTAAGTAAACACCTTTGCTATATTAGGACTCAGTATAAAATATATGTTTGGGCTTAATCTTTTATTATGACTGTTTTTTGAATCTTAAGTAATCCTACCATAGAGTCTCTTTCTAACTAACAGATTATTAGTTGAAAACTCATTACAATTTATTAAGAAATTTAGTTGAAACATTGCCTTAAGTTCATAACTGAATGTGATTTCCAGCAGAACTTCAGGTGCTTTTCTTTTTGTTTTCTTATTTAATGTATAGAAATTTGGAGTGAATACTTAAATTAGGAACTAAAATGTATTTTTATTTTTTCTCTAGTGTTAGTCCAAGTGAAAATTCCGATTATGCCTCTAATCTTTCAAGATCTGAAAAACTCATTCTGGAAGATCTTTCTCATCCTAAGCTTGGACTTTTGAATTACGTACCTTATAAAAAAGTTTGTAAAATGCCCACTGGCAGTACTGATTTTCAAAAAAAGCCAAGAGATAAGGTTATTGTTTTTAGACCTGTCTACTTAAAAGTAGCTTTAGTTTCAGACCTGTCTACTTAAAATACTTTTTCTTTGAGTTTTTTCTTTAAATGCCTGTTTATGTTTTCCATAGTCTTTTACCATTGTGCTTAAGACTCTTGAATTTAAATATTATGGTTCTTGTTGTGTCCTCACAAGAAAGTAGTTGCTTTAGTGTATTACTCTATTTTTAAACTTCTATATTTATTACCTTTTTGCAATTAAATGTCTTGCTTTCCCCAAGTAAATTGTAACCCCTGTGATTTTGGGCACTATACGTAATAGGTAATCAGTTATTAAGTGGTTAAAATGTATTTAGTATATTTAGCCAGGATCAAGTGCTGTATGATGGCATGGCACTGTTCTTTTTTCATTATCCCTAAATTTTCTGGATGATCTTAGACATCTTTACTGGTCTGGAATTTTCTCCTTCTGTCTTTTTTATTCCGTCCTATTATCTACCTTGTTGTGTTTACCTTTCTTCCTTACTCAGCTCTTCAATCTCCCTTTCTGCTCTCTTCTTCCTATTCTTTATTACCTCACCACCAGCATGCATGCCTGCATATGGTTGCATATGCACATCATAATCTTCTTTCATAAAAATGTGCTCTTCTGGGGTGCCTGGGTGGCTCAGTCGTTAAGTATCTGCCTTCAGCTCAGGTCATGATCTCAGGGTCCTGGGATCGGGCCCCGCGTTGGGCTCCCTGCTCGGTGGGAGGCCTGCTTCTCCCCCTCCAACTCCCTCTGCTTGTGTTCCCTCTCTCGCTGTCTCTGTCAAATAAATAAATAAAATCTTAAAAAAAAAAAAAAAAATTAAAAAAATGTGCTCTTCCCACTTCAGAAAGCTAACAATTGAAAGGTTTTCTTTTTGTAAGGAAGCTGCTTAATGTAGCTATGTGTGCCTGCAATTTAGAAAATAAATTCAAATTTCATTTCTACAAAGATTGTGTAATTCTGGGAAATTTGACCTGTATCCTAACTCAAATTGCTGATCATTTTTGTTACATATATGTTTTAATTGAAATCATTGTGTTTTACCCTAAACAAAATCAAAAGACTAATGACAAATTGGTGGGGAAAATATTGGTAATGCCTATTAAAGACAAAGAGCTAATATCTAATATGGGAAGAGCTTCTAGGAAGATCAACAACCCAGTAGAAAAATGGACAAAAGACATGTGTGAAAGAAGAAATTAAAATGATCTTCGAACAAATAAAAAGGTGTTCAGTCTCATTCATAATAAGAGAAATTCACAATGAAACTATACTTAGGTACCAATTTGTACCTATCATACATTTGACACTATTTTATTGGTGAAATTAGGACGAGATGGGCATTCTCATACATTGCTGGTAGCAGTGCAAAATGATACAACCCCATATGGAGGGGCATTTGGTAATGTTTCCCCAAATCACAAACGCGTTTACCCTTGACATGGAAATCCCTCTTGTAGAAGAAAACATGACAGGTATGCCTGCATGAGTACAAAATGAGGCTTTGTTTGTCTTAACAGGTTAGAAATACCTCAAGTGCCTATCAGTAGGGGATTGGTTGAATAAACATGCAGTGGAAACTGCAGCTGAGGTGGGGAGATGAAAGAATAGGAGTTTCTAACTATATTGATTGTGGAGAGATTGGCAGGATATATTTAAGAAAAAAATGCAAGGTATAGAATGACATATAGAATGCTAGTTTTTGCATAAGTCACTGTGAGGGTGGGTAATTTGTATTGCTTGCAAATGAAAGTGGAAACACTAGAAGACTGTGTTGAAGACCATAACTTAGCTTCCCTATATAGGCAGGTTCCCTTTTTTTTTTTTTTTTTTTTTAGGATTTTATTTATTTATTTGAGAGAGAGAGAGCACAAGCAGGGGGAGTGGGAGACTCCTGGCTAAGCAGGGAGCCTGATACGGGGCTCGATCCCAGGACCCTGAGATCATGACCTGAGCCATAGGCAGACGATTAACCATCTGAGCCACCTGGGTGCTTCAATTCCCTATTTTTTGCTGTATGATTGGTGTTATATAAAAATTTATAAATAAGAAATTTAAAGGGGTGCTTGGGTGGCTCAGTTAAGCATATGACTTCCGCTCTGGTCATGATCTCAGGGTCCTGGGATGGAGCTTCATGAGCCTCATGTTGAGTTCTACTTCTCCCCCACCCTCTTTTTCTGCCCCCTCCCCCTGCTTGTGCTCGCTCTCCCTCCCTCTCTCTCACTCAAATAAAATCTTAAAACTTATAAAAATGGTTACCTACCTACTAAAAATGGGAATGAGGCTTCTGTGTGTATCTTTTATAGTTTTGAGTTCTGAATTGCATATGACTTTTTCAAAAAAAAATCGTATCTTAAAAACCTCAACCCTCAGGAAAATTAAAATAATTTATTATAAAATATATATTCAAAAGTATAATAAAAATGTGTATAGTTTAAAGAATTTATTCATTATCCATTTTGTTGTTGATGGTCATTTGGATTCTTTCCATTTATTGTCTCTTATGGACAAATGTAGTAGGTATGAATATTTTTATATTTTCAGGTGTAAAAGTTTTAGATTTACACCCAGGAGTAATATTGTTGAGTGTTAGCATCTTCAACTTTACTGGATAATACCAAGAACTTTCCCAAAGTGTACCATTGTTTTTTAAGCTGTACTTATTTATGTATACATCCACTAGCAGTGGAGGAGAGTGCTGATTGTCCCGCACATCCTCACCAGCACTCACTAAATATCTTAACTCATTTTCTGAGCTACTTAGTCATTTTACTGACAGTTCATCATTTTCCATCACATATAGTGCTTAATGAAATAATCCAAAATAACTTGCTCTTTCTCATTTTTCAGATGTCTTTTTCATTTGCCCCCATGGACCAGGAGATCAGAAATCTTCGAGAGAAACTTAACAAACTCAGGCAACAGAATGCTTGTTTGGTCTCACAGAATCATTCTTTAATGACTAAAATGGAATCTGTCCACTTTGAATTAACACAGTCAAGAGCAAAAGTATGTTTCTTGAAGTGGTGCCTATGCCAATAAAAAGCAATTTGAATCATTTTAAGATTTATAATTGGAAATATGTTCTGTGTATTGCCTTAATGTGTTATATATAATAATTTTTATTATGATAATATAGGATCAACATGTTATGGAATCAATTTAACATGAGTTTAAAATCTGCAAATGATTTAGGAGAAATTGTATACTGTGTGTTTACATAAGTCAAAGCTTCTTAAAATCTTAAGATTACAAATTTATGTGGTTTTCTTTTTATAAAGAAAATACAGCTTATTTATCTTCCTTTTTTTTTTTAAATTTTTTTTTTTAAAGATTTTATTTATTTATTTGAGACAGAGAGAATGAGAGACAGAGAGCATGAGAGGGAGGAGGGTCAGAGGGAGAAGCAGACTCCGTGCTGAGCAGGGAGCCCGATGTGGGACTCGATCCCGTGACTCCAGGATCACGATCTGAGCCGAAGGCAGTTGCTTAACCAACTGAGCCACCCAGGCGCCCTATTTATCTTCCTTATTAAACTAATACATTCTCATTGTTGAAAACTTTGAAAATAGAGAAGAAAGGGAGAAAGATCACCCAGTTTCCACCAACGAGAAACTACTTTATTGGTTTATTACATTGTTGAATCCAGACTGTTTGAATAGTTTTCTTTTTTCTTGTGTTTTTTACTTTTACATCATCTCAGCATTTTCTGATACATTTACTCAGCTTTTCCAATGATCATTTTATCATAACATTGTTTCCTTTATGTGATTATGCCATAATTTAATTAATAACTCTCCTCTTTAAGTGGCTATTTTTATTTTTATTTTTTTTAAGTAATCTCTACACCCAACATGGGACTCGAACTCATGACTCCAAGATGAAGAGTTGCATGCTCTACAAACTGAGCCAGCCAGGCACCCCTAATGGTTTCCTATTTTTTGCTGTATGATCGGAATTATACAAAAAATTAGAAACCAAAATGTCCAATAATAGAGGGATGGTAAAGTATGATATATCCATATAAGGGATTGCTACAGAGCTTTTTTTTTTTTTTTTGAGGTAAATATATCAGTTCTAAGATGCAAGGTTGTTTTATGAAACATTGTAAGGTTCAATAATAATATGTGAAAAGTCACCTAGAACGATGTCTGCATATAGCACTAATATATTGGGTGGTAGAGGAACATTACAGAGCAACACACATAGGCAGTGATCCCAGTTTCGCTTTTTATAAAAGAGCAAATGTGTCTGTATGTTTGTGTGTATGTATATAGATATATGTAACATATGTAAGAACAGAAAGACTGTGCTCCACATTGTTGCTAATTTTGAGAGGGATTGGAATGTCTTGTGGTGAGGCTTTCACTGTTTACTTTTATAGATGTATTGTTTTAAGTAGTAGGATTATGGGAGATTTTTTTTTTCTTTTGTGTGTTTTATTTTTTTTTTAATTTTTTAAAAGATTTTATTTGAGATAGAGTGAGAGAGTGAGCGAGAGAGAGTATGAGCAGGGAGGAGGGGCAGAGGGAGAGGGAGAAGCGGGCTCTCCACTGAGCAGGGAGTCATCTGCGGGGCTCTATCCCAGGATCATGACCTGAGCCCAAGGCAGACGCTTGCCCGATTGAGCCACCTCTTCTGTATGTTTTAAACAAAACAAAGTGCTATTGGAGATAATTCCAGCCTAAGGAGAAAAAAATGCTCCAGTGAACAAGAAACTTCTTTGTATTTGGGATTATTTCTAGGATAGAATTTTAGAATGACCAAATCACAGGGAATTTTTTTTTTTCCAGAATTTACTGTACTCTGCATTCTCCTGAGGGTTTTTTTTTTAAAACATTTTATTTTTTTGAGGGAAAAATATTTTGTTTTTCTTGATTTCTCACAAGATTTACCTTTTCAGTATATTTGTTTGCTGTGTAATTTGTTCACCTTTTTTGTTTATTGATTTAATTTTTCTACCAACTATAGATTTTTTCTGAAGTCATAGAAGCTTAATTATTTATTTATTTATTTATTTATTTTATTTTATTTTTTTAAAGATTTTATTTATTTATTTGAGAGAGAGAATGAGAGACAGAGAGCACGAGAGGGAAGAGGGTCAGAGGGAGAAGCAGACCCCCCGCTGAGCAGGGAGCCCGATGCGGGACTCGATCCCGGGACTCCAGGATCATGACCTGAGCCGAAGGCAGTCGCCCAACCAACTGAGCCACCCAGGCGCCCAGAAGCTTAATTATTTAAAGGCAAAGAGATGTTAAGAGAATTTTACTAATAACTACTGAACTAATGATAGCATTTTGTTCCTTTCTTTTAGTATATAGACACATCAGTGGTTATTTATTCTAGGCAATAGGACAGTTATTTATATTTTACTTCCCATCTCAGCATTTTCTACATTGCCTAACAAAATATTTTTAGGGAGATTCCCTTTTCTAGGGCAGGTCTCAGCTTTTGCTGTTGCATATATACCACTATTGGAAATCTTGTGCTGGAATTCCTCATTGTATCAACCAGTATATTCATAATTTATCTTTCCCAATGTTTGTAGTTACACTTTGGAGCCAGGCATTCAGCTCTTCCCAAGCTTATTGCTCTCCAGGCCTGCTGTCCAGCTGCTCTCCTGGGACTTGTCTTTGATATTCTGGGTTTGATCTACTGTTCCCTGGATCCTGTGTCATCTTCTTTCTTGGTTTAGTCTTCCTTTAAGTGGAACATATTTTTCTAGTAACCCCCTTGCCTGTCTGAAATGTCCTAATTTCTCCCCTGACATTTCTCCCCCAAATTATTTTGCCTTAGAGTTTCTAGGACATTGCTTTCTTGTTTTCCATCTTCTGCTGCTTCTCTGAAAAGTCCAATGCCATTGTGAATCAATTTCCTTAGTATGTAACTTTTTTCCATTTGTTTTTCCTTTTATGGTAGTTTTAAGGATCTTCCCTCTTTCCTTGGTGTTTCAAAATTTCAGAATGACATATCTTTGAATAGACCTTTTATTCAGTGTAGTAGGTACATGAGGACCCTTTCAGGCTGGAATCTTGTGTTCTTTGGTCCTGGAAATTTTTCTTATGCAATCTCTTGGATAATTTTCTTCCCTCTGTTTTCTTCTTCTTCTTCTTCTTTTTTTAAAAGATTTTATTTATTTGACAGAGAGAGACACAGTGAGAGAGGGAACACAAGCAGGGAGAGTGGGAGAGGGAGAAGCAGGGTTCCCGCGGAGCAGGGAGCCCAATGTGGGTCTCCATCCCAGGACACCGGGATCATGACCTGAGCCGAAGGCAGACGCTTAACGACTGAGCCACCCAGGCGCCCCGCCCCCCCTCTGTTTTCTTCTATTTTTCCTATTAGGTGAATATTAGATCACCTCGATTGGTCCTCTAACTCTTTCAACCTTTTAATCTATTAAGGTTTTTTTTTTTTTTTCCTCATGTTTTCTATCTCCTTGTCTTCCTGTGATACTGTTTAGGAGATTTCTTAACACTATCATCCACACCTCTGTTGAATCTTATTTTAGCTGTCATATTTTTTTCATTTTCCAGAGCTTTCCCATGTCCTCTGATTCTTTGCTTTGTATTAAATAATATCCTGATGCAGTGTCCTCACTTAGCTTTCTGAAGATTTAATGATGTGTGTGAATGCGTGTGTGCATACTTGCCTTGCTTGCTGCCAGTTGCCTCTTTGTTTTGGCCTCTGACTTTTATGTTAGCAGGATTTTTTTGCAGATGTTAGTGTTTTAGCTATTTATATTTAAGAGAAAAGAACTTAGGGGTGCCTGGGTGGCTCAGTTGGTTAAGCGACTGCCTTCGGCTCAGGTCATGATCCTGGAGTCCCAGGATCGAGTCCCACATTGGGCTCCCTGCTCAGCGCAGAGCCTGCTTCTCCCTCTGACCCTTCCCCCTCTCATGTGCTCTCTCTCTCTCTCTCATTCACTCTCTCTCAAATAAATAAATCTTAAAAAAAATGTTTTTTTTTTTTAAAAAAAGAGAAAGGCACTTAAATGCTGTTTAGAACCTCTGTGTACAAAGGTGAAGTTTGTTGTCCAGTAAGCTTCATATGTTGGTGATGCCTAGGGAGATGGCTCTTTTGTAGGGAGATACCTTGTCTCTTTCATCCAGTATCAGTATGTGAAGTCTTTTTCTTTGGAGCTGTTGAGTTTCTCCAGCAAAGAATCCTTTGATTTCCCACCTGTGGGATAGCCCTAAATGAGATGAAATACTAGTGGGAAGTTGACTGTTTTATATTAATCAATTTGTTTATAACTACTTCATCCCTGCTTATCATAATACATAGTGTCCCAGAGTTCTAAACCCTTCCTGTTCAGTTTCTCCAGATAATAAATTTTCTATCTCTTCCTGATAGGCCATCATTTGACTGTTGGTGTTTTAGGAATGGGAAAAAGAGTATTGATTTACCAACAGAGATATTGAGCTGTATTCCAGGCTTTCATTCCTGGACTTATGCTTTTCTGTATTTTCTAGGTTTTTTCTAGTAAGCATGTATTCTAAAATAAGGTCTTCAATTGTAAAAAGATTCAATAGGTGTTTTTTTGTTTACATTTTTATGACTTGATCTTTTATATTTAATTTTCTGATTTATGTGAAATTTATCTTTTTGGATGTTGTCAGTAGAGATTCTTTTTTCACCCACAAAAAGCTAATCAATTATCTTGGGATATTAAGTTGAGGGTAATGGCAAGAGCTTACACGCTGACACTGGCTTGTGATGATGACACGCCCATGTAAATTGTTGATCAAAGGAATAGATAGGGTGAGCTTCACATTTGACCAGTGATTAAGGAGTTATATCGGACACCCTCATCAGACAGAAAAAGAAACAAAGGACCAGTTAGATTAATTTATCTTCTGAAAGGAAGTGCTCTGAAAGTTTTTTTTTTTTTGGTTTTGTTTTAGGTTTCTATGCTTGAATCTGTTCAACAACAGGCAGCCAGTGTGCCAATCTTAGAAGAACAGATTATAAATTTGGAAGCAGAAGTTTCAGCCCAAGATAAAGTTTTGAGGTAAGAATACTTTTTATGGCTTTAAAATTTTTATTTCTTTTGCTTTTTGGTGTATCTAGTGAAATCTTGTTCCCTACCCCAGTAAATCTGTAGTGTCCTGTAGACTGTCTTAGAACTTAGGAAATCTGTTCCCCAATCCATCATACCTCCTCTTGGCTCCAGGATGCATGAAGTTTAAGGGGGCTAAAAAAAGACTAAATCTTAGCTGAGATGCTTATTTACATGCTTTTATTGAAAATGAACTAGTTCCTTTCTTGCCCTACAGAGTAGTACATGCTGGTGTTTCAGTGGGAGTTCAAGAAATAAAATAGAAGGAATCAGGCACTTTATAATTTATCCCCTTCTTCTGCTTTGAGTAAAATGAGAAATATATGTATACTAAATAGCCCATTACTCCATTTTGATGATTTTCAAAGTGTAGTTCTGGGACCAGCAGTATTAGCATCTTCTGGGAACTTGTTAAAATTGTAGGTCTCAGGGGCACCTGGCTGGCATAGTCAGTTGAGCATCCGACTCTTGGTTTTGGTTCAAGGTCATGATCTTGGTTGTGAGATTGAGCCCTGTGTTGGGCTCTGCGCTCAGTGGAGAATCTCTGCTTGAGATTCTCTCTCCTTCTCCCCCATCTCTCTCTCTCTTTCTAGAATAAATAAATAATAAATCTTTTTAAAAATTTGTAGATGTCAGGTTCTATCTCAGATTTACTGAATTACAAATTCTAAGAGGTCAGTAGTCTGTGTTTTAATAAGTCCTGCAGGTGATTCTCATGTACACTAAAGTCATTTTTCATGACCATCAGAATTTTGTAATTTTCTTTGTATTACATGTAATTTTAATTTTATTCCTAGGTATTTTATATTTTTGGTTGTTGTGAATTTGTTCATGTTCTGTTCATTGATGGTATATAGGAAGGCTGTTGCTTTTTGTGTAATATAATTATTTTATAGTTAGACTATTTGTCATACTCTTTTATTCTAATAATTTTTCATTTTGATTCTCCTCGATTTTCCAGGCAGCTAATGATATTATCAGCAAAAAAAAGAAAATATTGTCTTTTCAATATTTATAATTACTACTTTTTCATTTTTCTTTTTGTAACTGTTAGAGAAATCATTGAATATAGGGGTGATAATAGTCATCCTTAACTAGTTTCTGAACTTTATGGTTATGCTTCTAGTATCTGACTATGAAATAGGATATAAGCTGTTATTTCAAATATATGTATCATTTCATTCTTTATAAAGACTCTTAGTAGGCAAGGGATGAATTTTGTCTATTTTTTATTAAATATTGGTTTCTCTTACCTCAGTGATTTAAAGTGATAGAATTCCTAATATTGAGCTATTCTTGCATGCCTGGAATAATCTCTTTAATAGCCTTTAAAAATATTCTTTACTGGGGCACCTGGGTGTTGAGCGTCAGACTCTTGGTTTCTGCTCAGGTCATGATCTCATGGGTCGTGAGATGAACACCACCCCTTCCCCCTGTCGGGCTCTGCAGGGAGTCTGCTTGAAGGTTCTCTCCCTCTGCCCCTCCCCCCACTTGCCTGCACATGCACACACACACTCTCAATAAATCAATCTTTAAAATATGTATATATATTCTTTATTTAATAGAGAGGCAGAAGATAAATTAGAGCAGAGCCAGAAAATGGTGATTGAAAAGGAACAGAGTTTGCAGAAATCCCAAGAGGAATGTATAAAGTTAAAGGTGGACTTACTTGAACAAAGTAAACAAGGAAAGAGGTATGTGTTTTCAAAGCAAATTGTTTTTGTAGATGGAAAAAAAATATATTACCTATTTAAAATTATAGCTAATTTTTAAAGTGAAAAGAATTTCAGAAACCTAGTAGTAGGATAATTTAATGTTCTTTTTGTCTATTAATTATTTTTCATTTTCTATTAAAAATTTCATGTTACTGGCATCTGGATTGGGATTAGAAGCCTGATAATGATAATCAGTGTAATGATATTTACTTATTTCTGAAATTAAGTTGTATGACCTACATAAAATTCATGAGGAAGTGTAGTTGGGTCTTCCTTTAGGAATACATGAGTAATGCAAAAGTATTTTTTTTTTTAAGATTTTATTTATTTATTTGACAGAGAGCTAGAGAGCATAAGTAGACAGAGCGGCAGGCAGAGGGAGAGAGAGAAGCAGGCTCTCCGCTGAGCAGGGAGCCCGATGCGGGGCTTGATCCCAGGACCCTGGGATCATGACCTGAGCCGAAGGCAGATGCTTAACCGACTGAGTCACCCAGGCGCCCCCAAAAGTATTTATTTTATATAAAACATGTTTTAAGATAAAGTTTTGTAGGTAGCCTTGAGTAAGGAACCATTAACTCTGAATGTCAATTAACTTTTAAACTAATAAAGATTTAAATTTTTTTAGTTTAATAATATTTTCTAATATCATAATATAATTATAGCAGCTTTTACACAGGGTAAAATGATAATCTGCATTTTGATCTTCAAAAAATTTTTTTTTCTTGGGGGGCCTGGGTGGCTCAGTCAGTTAGGCATCTGACTCTTGGTTTTGGTTCAGGTCATGATCTCAGGGTTGTGAGATTGAGCCTCTCGTCTAGCTCCATGCTCAGCAGGGGGCCTGCTTGAGATTCTCTCACTCCCTCTCCCTCTGCCCCTTCCCCCACTCGCATGCTTGTGTGCTCAGTCTCTCTCAAATAAAAAATAAAATAAAATCTTAAAAAAATTTTTTTCTTTTTCAAGTTTTTATTTAAATTCTAGTTAGTTAACATACAGTTTAATACTAGCTTCAGGTGTAGAATTTAGTATTTAATCACTTACATACAGTAGCCAGTGCTCATCACAACAGGTGCCCTCCTAAATACCCATAACCCATCCCCTACCCACCTCCCCTCCATCAACCCTCAGTTTGTTCTCTGTAGTTAAGAGTCTGCTTTATGGTTTGCCTCCCCCCACCCCACCCACGTTCATCTATTTTGTTTCTTAAATTCCACATATGAGTGAAATCATATGGTATTTGTCTTTTTGTGACTGACTTATTTCATCTGCAGTAATACTCTCTAGCTCCATCCACATCTTTGCCAGTGGCAAGATTTCATTCTTTTTGATGACTGACTAATACTCCATTGTATGTACATACCACATCTTCTTTATCCATTTATCAGTTGATGGACAGTTGGGCTTTTTCCGTAATTTGACTATTGTTGATAATGCTGCTGTAAACATTGGGGTGCATGTATCTCTTCAAATCAGTATTTTTGTATCCTTTGGGTTAATACCTAATAGTGCAATTGCTGGATCATAAGATAGTTCTATTTTTAACTTTTTTTTTTTTTTTTTTAAGTAGGCTCCATGCCTAGTGTGGAGCCTAGCACGGGACTTGAACTCACAACCCTGAGATCAAGACCTGAGGTGAGATCACGAGTCAGATGCTTAATTGACTGAGCCACCCAGGAACCTCTATTTTTAACTTTTTGAGGCACCTCCATACTGTTTTCCAGAGTGACTGAATCAGTTGGGCAAGGATATGAAGAAAGGGGTATCCTCTTACACTGTTGGTGGGAATGCAAAAAAATTTTTATTTTCAAAAAATGTATACTATCATAAAGTAAGGTTATGAGAAAGTTTTTTTTAAGAAAGTATTTTTTGAAAAGTTGTCATAAATAGGTTAAGTATTTGTTTGCATGTGCATTTAAACTTCTAAAAACTGCTCAAAATCCCTAAGTCATTTTTCATTAAAATGAGCTTGGAATGGGGCGCCTGGGTGGCTCAATCGTTAAACGTCTGCCTTCGGCTCAGGTCATGATCCCAGCGTCCTGGGATCAAGCCCCACATCGGGCTCCCTGCTCAGCGGGAAGCCTGCTTCTCCCTCTCCCACTCCCCCTGCTGTGTTCCCTCTTTTATTGTCTCTCTCTCTCTCTGTCAAATAAATAAATAAAATCTTAAAAAAAAAAAAAAAACTTAAAAAAAAAAATGAGTTTGGAAGAACATTTTCCCAGCAGTATTTGGTTAGTCTAGTTCAAGTTTTAGTATATATTTGGAAGGCACTATTACTTTATGAAAATATTTAGGTTTTGGAGTTAACCAGATTTTATTTCTCAGTGGCTCTGTTATCTTGGGCAAACTATTTAACCTTCTTGAGCCTCAGTTTGTTCATCTATTAAATCAAGATGATATTATATCTATGTGAGGATTAAATGAGAAAAGAAATGTAGGGTGCCTCTTAATAAACAAACACTAACAAAGGTAGCTATTTTAAGTATAAACCGTGGGGTTAAATATTCTGAAATTAAGACATATTCAGATAAATTTTTACTTAGATAAACATTTTGTGCATGGTTATTTGAAAAAGTGAGATGATAATACACAAAGACTAGCTTCATAATATAGCTAAGAAAAAGTGCAGAGGACGAGTGACTAGTTATCTCTGTAAAATTTAAATAAGAGATAATTTTTATGGTAGGGTGTTGACTTTTCACAGATTCTGGACAACATGTGCAAAGGCATAGAAGTATAAAAGCATCACTGCTGAAGAACACTAGGGAGTTTTTTGTACTTATAAATGGATAGGTGTAGTAGGAAATGAGGCAAGACAGAAAGACAGGCTTGGTCTAGACTGTAAATGGCTTTGTTTTGCCAAAGTATTTGTATTTTAATCTGGAGAGCATATATAGGCAATTGAGATTTTTAGGTAGAGATGCGACATCTAAATTTTTTAGAGCTTTTTGAAGCTCCATCCATCTAGAATGGGTGTTGGCATTCTGAAATTGAAACCTTTGCAAAGACATTTTTGGGGTGCAGAAGATTAATCATAATCATAATGGGTTAGAAAGCTAGTGTAAAGGAAGAGATTGTTTAGCTTTATGCTGTTTATAAGAGACATACCCAAAATATAAGGACACAGAAAAATTGAAAGCAAAGGAATTAAAATAAATATTTCAGGCCAATAGTCACTAAAACAAAGTAGATATAGCTATATTAATATTACACAAAATAGATTTAAGTGCAGCAAGCATTACTAGAGTTAAAATGACTCTTATAGGGGTACCTGGGTGGCTCAGTTGGTTAAGTGTCTGACTCTTGATTTCTGTTCAGGTCATCATCTCATGGTTGTGAAATCCAGCCCCATGTTGGGCTCTGTGCTGGGTGTGGAGCCTGCTTAAGATTCTCTCTCCCTCTGCTCCTCTACCCACCACACATCTCTTTCTCTCTGTCTCTCTCTCTCAAAAAAAAAAGACTTACATAATGTTTAAATAACACTTAAGCAGGAGCCCTAAAGATTCTAAACTTGTATGAATCTAATAGTAAAATTTCAGATGGAAATGAACAAATCTGTAATCATACAGGAAACATTTTTACACATTTACTAGGAATTATTAGATTAGTAACAAGAAAGCAAGAAGTTGAAGAGTTGAATGACAACAATCTTGATCTCGTGTGTATATATGGAACCCTATACCCAACAGTATGAAAATTCAAATTCTTTCAAGCACTTCTAGAACATATATAATCTCTCACCTCACTGTGCCAGAAACTATGAGTTTCAACAAACACCAAACGATTGATGTTGTACATATCACCTTCTCAGACTGTTGTACAATTAAGTTAGAATGTAATCCCCCGAAATCATGTGTGTTTGGAAATTTAAAGCCAGCCTTCTTGCTACTTATGGAGCATTGAAGAAATTAGGATAAAGATTAGAAAGCTCTTAAAATGGAGTGATATAAAAAATATCACAACAATAGAATCACCAGAACCTAAGTCTGGTTCTTTTCATAATCACCAAACTAATGGGTATCAGATAAGATTAATCAAGGAGACAAGGCACAAAAGCAATATTGGGATTGAGAAGGGACTTCTAAATTACAGATTTAGCTATGATTTAAGAAATAAGACCAAATACTATGAACCATTTTAGAATGGTAAATATGAAAACTTAGACTGAATAAATTTTTTTTTAAGATTTTTTATTTATTTATTTTTTATTAGACAGTACAAGCAGGGGGGCAGCAGCTCAGCAGGGAGCCCAATGTGGGGCTCGATCCCAGGACCCCGGGCTCACGACCTGAGCTGAAGGCAGATGCTTAACCATCTGAGCCACCCAGGCGCCCCTGAATAAGTGATTTTTCAACAAAATATAATTTAACAGAATTTAAGAATAAATTGAAAACCTGAATAGATATATAGCCATTACAGGTATTGAATCAGTTGTTAAAAATTTGCCTACAAGAAAGTAAACCAAACAAAACAATGGTGACAAAAGGAAAGAGGACCATAATGGCCCACAGTGGCTAAAATGAAAATGACTCACAATATCAAGTTTTGGCAAAGTTGTGGAGCCTCTGGAATTTTCATATATTTCTAGTAGGAGTGTAAATTGGTAGAAACCCTTTTGGGTGCTTGAAATATTTTGTATCCAATCTTTGGCTCTTACACTCAGGGCCAATAATCCCGTGCCCTAATTACCTCAGGACCAAGTAGTAGACAACTCAGGACAGTCTTACACTCCAGCCCACTGAAATTATTCATACTACCAAACCTGAACCTGCTGACCCTGCCTTAACTGTTCCTTCCCACAGACACCACAGTAACATCTCTTGCTCACATTTTTCTCCCAACTTTCTCTGTCTCCTGACCAACCCTGATGCTTCCCTGCACGGCCCCCTGCATGGCCTGTCATGTCTCCTGTTTCTATGGATTTGTGAGTTTAATAACTTCCTTCTTCATGACATTCATTTCCATGTCTGTGTGTCTCACCATACCTGATTAAAACAAATCCTGAGCACATTTTAAAATATTCATTAAGACTGTACATATTTTCTGTAGAATTTTTATTTAGTTTTTATTTTAATTTTTTACTGAGTAAAGTGCAGAAGTCTTAAGTGAATGAACTTCTGTGTATGTATACATCCACATAACTACTATCCAGATCAAATACAGAATATTTGGTAAAACATATTGAAGTGACCCTAAATATCATATGTAAGAACAAGGTCTAAGAATAAGGGAGGCAATTTTGAAGCTGTGACCAAAGTGGAGAACATGCGTATAGATACCAGGACTTCTGAAGTTATATGAATTAAGTTAGTGTGATGTTGGTATAGGAATAAACAAACAAACAAAAAAAATCAGTTGTATGGAACAGACCCTCTTTAGCAAATACGCACACAGGGGAAACTTGATATGTAACAGGTGGCATAACAGATCAGGGGAAAGAATGGAGGAATCAATAAGTTAAGGTGTTGGACAGACTGACATCATGTGTTTCATATGTGGTATAGTGGAAAGGGTACAATGTCACTTATGTAGTATGCTCACAAGAATGAATAGTCTGAATCTACTCATAAGGAAACAGGCAAGGTTAAGCAGGTACTTAGCAGCATGCATTCATTGAATTACTGGATTTCTCACTTGGTACACATCAACCATCTAGAGAACAGAAGAAAACCCTAGTTTGATGTGTTTCTCTCATGGTGAAGCTTAAGAAAGGCTTACGAAATAGTAGGTAGTTGAGAAAAAAGAGGGAAGCAGGATGAGAAAAACATGTTGTAGTGATAATCTACTTCAGATAGCTTGAGTGGCTGCAGCACATTTCTGGCAGCTTTAGTCATAGGTCATTTAACTTTATACTTGATCACATTAGGAAGTAAAAGAAGGTAGAGTCATTGAATCTGGGGGTTCACAGTCAACATAGAATTGACCATCAGCTTCTGGCAGTTGAAGATCTCATCTGTGTGACTCTTCAATGGCAATGTCAGAATAGACCTTTGAGTAACCTTTGTGTATATGTGTGTGTGTGTGCAAAGGTTTTTTCTACTTATTAAACAGAGAATGCTCATATTTCCCTATATAAGAAAAAATTACTTGCATAGCATGATTCTTTTTTTTAAGATTTTATTTATTTATTTGACAGAGAGCGAGTGCAGGAACACAAACAGGGAGAGTGGGAGAGGGAGAAGCAGGCCTCCCACCCAGCAGGGAGCCCGATATGGGGCTCTATCCCAGGACCCTGGGATCATGACCTGAGTCTAAGGCATACGCTTAATGACTGCAAGCCACCCACGCACCCTGCATAGCATGATTCTAAAAGCACATGTTTTTTTTGTGTGCCTTATTTGACATTTAATTTTGTATCAGTAGTCCGTGTACCCCAGTGGTTGAGAGCAAGGGCCCACCTGCTTCTTAGATTCATACATTGTGTTTACTACTTAGTATGTGTGAGGGCATGCCTTGAGCATACTGTTTAATCTTTCTGGGTGCTAGTTACAGATAAAATAAGGATAATGTCCGATTAACTGAGTTGTGACCATTTGATTAGGTATATAAAGCATCTAAAGTTGTCTGTGGCACGTAATATATGTTGAATAAATTCAAGCTATTATTGTAAAAAAAAAAAGTCAGTGTCATGAAAGACTTAAAAAAAAGCTGAGATATTCCAGATTAAAGAAACTAAAGATATAAGATAACTAAAAGCAGTATGTGAAATAAATAAATAAATAAATAAATAAAAGCAGTATGTGATGATTCTGGATCAGAAGAAAAAAAAAAGATCTATAAAGAACATTATTAGAATAGCTGATAAAACTTACATATGAATTATATGTTAGATAATAGTATTGTAACAATTTTAGATTTCTTGAATTTGATAGTTGTGGTTGTATGAGGCAATGTCTGTTTGCTTAGGATACATGATAAAGTATTCAAGGCTGAAGGTTACTAATTTCTCTAGAATGTAGTTCAGTACAAAAACATCTCAGGTGAGAGACACAAGCAATTGTAGCAAAATATCAAAAATTGGTGAATCTGCATTAAGGGGTACCAATTTGAAATTTAAAAAACAAAAAGTTCAAAAAATGTTGCTGGGAGAATTCATTACTGATTTAAAAAAAATTAAATTAGGGGTGCCTGGGTGGCTCAGTTGTTAAGCGTCTGCCTTCGGCTCGGGTCATGATCCCAGGGTCCTGGGATCAAGCCCTGCATCGGGCTCCCTGCTCTACGGGAAGCCTCTGTCTCCCTCTCCCACTCCCCCTGCTTGTGTTCCTGCTCTCGCTCTCTCTCTGTCAAATGAATAAAATCTTTAAAAAAAAAAAAAAAAAGAAATGAAATCCCTGCTTTGTACTTGTAGGAGTGCTGACAATACTGACTCTGTTTTTGGCTCTTCATCTTGTTCATGTTCACTGGATTACCTCTCTTGGGGCTACTTGTTCTGGGCCCCTTGAGATTAGTATACATACCTTAGAAATGCCCATCAAGGTAGGGATAGGGGGAGGTTTGCTTTGGCCTCCCAGGAATCTGTTAGAAATAACTTAGTCTTTCCCCTTTCTGATGCATAGGTAGGCCACAAAATCTAATTAATGGTTAGCTGTCAGGTGCATGCAAACCCTCTGATCTCACTACAGTGTCCCCCTCTCCTCCCTGCCACGTGTCCCCCTGCTTTATAAAATCTATAGGCTAAAGTCTGGACTTTATAGAGAATAGCTATGGTGCTATGTGTTTTTTTGCTGATGGTTTTTTGCTGACGACCACGGATATGGCCCCCCCACCACTTAAGTTACCCTGAATAAAACTGTATAAACTGTATGGAGTGGTGTGCTTCATTTTCTGGTCTCAAAGTGCCTTCTTAGTTTGGGGGATACTTTACTGTCCCTCCTCTACCTTCTAACAATACTATATCTGTATACAAAAAATTATTCCAGATGGGTTAAAGACCCAATTGTGAAAAGTAAAACTTTTAGAGAAAGTGTAGAGGAATAGTTTTCATGATGTCTCATAGAAGGGGGAAGAATGTTTTTAAATGAGATTCAGATATATGTTAATTAATTGAATTAAAATAAATAAATAAATGAGATCCAGAAAGCATAAATACTATAGGAAAAGATGGCTAAATTTAAAATCCATTAAAATAAAAACTTTCTCTTCTATAGAACACATCATTTTAAAAATGAAAAAGACAAGACAGATATTTGGGGAAATATTTGCAAATAATTTAATTCACAAAGATTAGTATCCAGAATTCATAAAAAACTCTAACAAATCAGTAAGAAAAGGGAGGGGAAAATCTAGTAATAAAGACAAAGGATCTGGGGGTGCCTGGGTGGCTCAGTCGTTAAGCGTCTGCCTTCGGCTCAGGTCATGATTCCAGGGTCCTGGGATCGAGCCCCGCATCGGGCTCCCTGCTCGGCGGGAAGCCTGCTTCTCCCTCTCCCACTCCCCCTGCTTGTGTTCTCCTCTCTCGCTGTGTCTCTCTCTGTCAAATAAATAAAATCTTTAATAAAAAAAAAAAAAAAAAAGACAAAGGATCTGAACAGGTAAGGACGAGAAATCCAAATGGCCATTGAAACTTAGAAACTTGCTCAACCTCAGTTGATCAAAAATGCAGATTAAGGGGTGCCTGGGTGGCTCAGTTGGTTAAGCGACTGCCTTCAGCTCAGATCATGATCCTGGAGTCCCGAGAGGGCTCCCAGCTCAGGTCCCGATCCTCGGGAGTCCCGAGAGGGCTCCCTGCTCGGCGGGGCATCTGCTTCTCCCTCTGATCCTCTTCCCTCTCGTGCTCTCTGTCTCTCATTCTCTCTCTCTCTCAAATAAATAAATAAAATCTTTAAAAAAAAAAAATGCAGATTAAAACTATAACAAGGGGCACCTGGGTGGCTCAGTTGGTTAAGCGGCTGCCTTCAGCTTAGGTCATGATCTCAGGGTCCTGGGATCAAGCCCCACTTGGGGCTCCCTGCTCAGCAGAGAGCCTGCTTCTCCCTCTCCCTTTGCCTACCGCTCTGCCTACTTGTGCTCTCTGTCAAATAAATAAAATATTAAAAAAAAAGAAGAATTCACCCTTGATAAGCAGAGAGTCACTAATTTCCTTTACACTGGAAAGAATATGATGAGGTTTATTTAAATAATAGAAAAATTTTTAGGTGTGGGTATGATATTGACTACATTTCAGCCCAGTAGTCTCAGTTCAATGTCTAAGTATGAGGAGAGGTCAGGGTTAACTAAGGCAGTGCTTTGTAGTGGTTGGATTTTGTTGTTCAGATTTTTAGATATGTCTTCTGAAATACCTTTTTGAAAATTTACTTGCCCTTTGCAAAGGTCACAGGATTTACTGAGTATTTTTAATATATTAGACAGTGGACTGATTCTGTAATAACTGATCTTTGAAAATTTATACAGCCTAGGCCACTTCCCTTAATCTGTCTTTTCCAGACAAAGAAAAAAAATTGCCAACACATACGAATGTATATATGTTTCAAAGTTTATGTATTTTACATCTTATTTTTCATATTGATAATAGTGAGGAAATTCTTGTAGTCTCTCTTCTTCATTTTGCAGTTTAAGCCTACTATTCTTTTTTAGTACTGCTCATCTCTTAATTTTTCCTTCTAATAAAATACAGGTTACTTTGGAGTTTCACTAGTCAAATGCAGAGCATTCTTTACTTTTATTAATCATCCCTTTTTAAATTTTAGAGCTGAACGACAAAGGAATGAAGCACTATATAATGCTGAAGAGCTAAGTAAAGCTTTCCAACATTATAAAGAAAAAGTGGCAGAAAAACTGGAAAAGGTAAGAAGCAGATGTGCCAATTCAGTGTTTTGTGTTACTGTCTATATTCTAAATATAAAAATAGACATAAATAGAATATGTTTGTTTAGAGTTAAAGCAGTGAGTAATTTTTATGATCTCATAAAAATTGTTGGAATAAAGAATTTATAAATACTGGTTAAGACTGGTGTTCATAATCTTCTTATAATGAGCAAAAAACTTTTTTTTATCCAAAGTGGGAAAAGAATGGAGACAAGGGGAAGAACAATATATAGATAAAGGGAAAAAAATGCAGAGAAAGATGAGGTGAGTGAGCAGAGGTTGGAGCTGAAATTTGTTCCCATCACCTCGATGAAAATGAAGGCAGAGTAGATTGTATAGCCTTCAGTTGGTCTCCCTGGACCTACCACCCTGGGAGGGTCTGTCTTCTGCTTCTCAGAAGGAAGATCCTTGAACAGATTTGCATAGTAGTATAGTGGCTTTATTACATTCATTTAATATTTTCAAGTAATACCATATGGGTAATAAAACCTGTTTGGAGGAGGCCACATGCTGAATATTCAGATGTTGAGCTCAGAAGAGAGGTCTGGTCAATAGATACTAATGTGAGAGACTTTCATCTTGAGATAATTGAAACAGAGGGAGTTAATGATTCCGTTCAAAGGAAGGTAGAAGGGTAGAAGAAATATTAAAAATTTAGTAAGAGGGTTGCTTGGGTGGCTCAGTCGTTAAGCGTCTGCCTTTGGCTCAGATCATGATCCCACCCAGGGTCTTGGGATCGAGTCCCACTTCAGGCTCCTTGCCCAGCGGGGAGCCTGCTTCTCCCTCTCCCTCTGGCTGCCGCTCTGCCTACTTGTGCTCGCACAGCCTCTCTCTGTGTCAAATAAATGAAATTTTAAAAAACAATTTAATAAGAGGGGCGCCTGGGTGGCTCAGTTGGTTAAGTGTTTGCCTTCAGCTCAGGTCATGATCTCAGGGTCCTGGGATCAAGCCCCACATCGGGCTCCCCATTCTGCAGGGAGTCTGCTTCTCCCTGTGTCCCTCGCCCCGCTCTTGTGCTCTCTCTTACTCCCTCTCTCTCAAATGAATAAGAAGAATCTTTAAAAAAATTTTTTTAAATAAAAATTTAATAAGAAAGACAAATACCATATGATTTCACTAATATGTGGAATCTAAAAAACGAACAAAAAGCAAAATCAGACCAATAAATAAAACAAACTGATGGTTCACAGAGAGGGAAGGAGCAGGGGGAGGGCAAAATGGCTGTACCCGTAGGAGGTACAGGCTTCCAGTTAGGGAACGAATAAGTCACAGGGATGAAAGGCACAGCATAGGGAATAGAGTCAATGGTATTGTAATAGTGTTGCATGGTGTCAGATGGGAGCTGCACTTGTGGTGAGCATAGCATAATGCATAGAGTTGCTGAATCACTGTGTTGTACACCTGAAACTAATGTAACATTGTGTGTCAACTATTTTTCAATGAAAAATTTTAAAAATCAGAATCCTATTAGGTATTGGTCTTCAGTGTAAATTAATCAGATCACAGTTTTGAAAGCCTTGGAGAAGGTCCCTGTGGGAATGAGATCGCATAGAAGGGATTTTTAATAAGGTAATCTGTAGGGGGAGGTAGAATACTCAGTGGAGAGGGAGGACTTTATACAGGAAAGAGAGGAAAATGTAAGATGATTTTTTTACACTTCTCCTTAGGATTATCAGTTTCAAACCATGCTCAGCAGAGCCCTATAATTAGGTAGATGTAACAGAGAAAGTGGGGCAGATCTACTGAGCCCTCTTCTCCTACCACTCCAACCTGGGTGCTTATCTTTTTTTTTTAAAGATTTTATTTATTTCTCTGAGAGAGAGAGAGAGAGAATGAGCAGCAGGGAGGGGCAGAGGGAGAAGCAGGCTCCCCGCTGAGCAGGGGGAGCCTGATGTGGGACTCGATGCCAGGACTCTGGGATCACCACCTGAGCCGAAGGCAGACGCTTAACCGACTGAGCCACCCAGGTGCCCCCTGGGCACTTGACTTTTATCTGTTTTAGATTTGAACTGTGATTTCAGTGGGAGTATTCAGTGGCTAAAATTTCAAAAATTATTTCTCTAGAACGTTTGCAGTATAGTTAGCCTTTAGTAACTTGATGCAGCGTCACTACCTGAGTCGCTTGCTTTGCCCCTGTGAGGCCAGAACACTAGCTCTCAGATGGTAGTGCCGTGGCCCCTCGTCATAGGCTCTTAACCATATCTGGACAGGTGGTAGAGTCTCCCTACCTGTCCTATGTCACTGCCCAGGAAGTTTACTTTGCTCCTTTCACTACAAGATCAGGAACTTACACATGTGGAATACTTACTCTACTCTCCTGTTTATTTCTGAAATCACTACTTTTTAGTTTGAAACACCTAAATTTATGACCACAGTAGTATGTCCACTTAAAACAAATTATTGTTTTAGGTTCAAGTTGAAGAAGAAATATTAGAGAAAAATCTAATTAGCTGTGAAAAAGAAAATAAAAGGCTACAGGAAAAGTGTGGTCTATATAAAAGTGACCTTGAAATTCTGAAAGAGAAATTAAGGTACAGTATCTTGTTGTGGAAAAAGGATTTTTGTGTGGAAATGGAGAAAGAACTGCAACATTTTAAGATAGAATATTTTGTGTATTTAGTTATGGCCTTAAATTACATAGAAAGATAGGTTTCATGACTGAAATTGTTTTCTAGGTATAACATTAGGGTTTTTAACCAATAAAACATGTTGATATTAATATACTTGTAAATACAGAGTAATATGATCACCATATTTACTTTGCATATATTTAGAGAAAATGAACACACACATAATGTTCTTGTAGTGTGACATTAGCTGGTTAGTAAAATATGTGTTCTTCAAATCATGTGAATCACCTAATCCAGCCTTCTCATTTCAGAGACATTAAAAATGTGAAAAAGGACACTGTGAATGCATTGTGATGTATATCAGTATTTCATTTTTTATTGTTGAATATTATTCTGCTGTATGGATGTACCACATTTTTTTATCCATTTATCCATTCACCAACAGTTCTATAGATTGTTCTAATGTTTGACATGTTTTTATAGCTATATATGTATATATTTGAAAATAATACTGCCTAGTAATCAGTTAATGGTTGATTAATATTTTTTAGAGTTGTGGCTAATAGTTCATGATTTTTCCTTATATAGTCTAAAACTTTCTTCATGTTGCAATATGTTGAATTAGGATTTTGGAGTTAGATCTCCTGTCTTACACTTTTCAAAAGGGAGCAGAAGGCTTTGAAGATAATGGAGTTATCCTGCCCTCCTACTTACTGTGAGACACTGGCAAAGTTTCATAACCCTTCTATACCTTGGTTTCCTTATCTATAAACAGAGAATGATAATAGTGCTGCCCACATAAAGTTGTGAGTTTCTGGTGTGCAGAAAGTAGGCATTCAGTAAATGTGAGCAGGTGTTACAGTTCTAGAATTAAGGCTTTAAAATACTTTAAAAGTGCGTTTAACTAAATATAACTACTGAAAATGAATGTATATTTTATTTTCATTTTTATGCTTTTTTCTTTATAGGCAGTTAAAAGAAGAAAATAACAATGGAAAAGAAAAATTAAGGATCATGGCAGTGAAAAATTCAGAAGTTATGGCACAACTAACTGAGTCTAGGCAAAGTATTCTGAAGCTAGAGAGTGAATTAGAGGACAAAGAAGAAGTACTTAGAGAAAAATTTTCTCTAATGAATGAAAACCGAGAATTAAAGGTCCGTGTTGTAGCACAGAATGAGCGACTGGATTTGTGTCAACAAGAAATAGAAAGTTCAAGGGTAGAACTGAGAAGTTTGGAAAAAGTTATGTCCCAGTTGCCAGTAAGTATGGGTGAAAAAGAAAATTTTACTGAAGTGCTTTTTAAAAGGTCATCATCTTGTGTTTGCTTTATTAGTATGTATGTATGTGGGTATTTATTTTTACATATCTGTACTTTCAATCTTGAATTTCTTTTCTGTCTAATCCCTTTTGTTTTTCTGCACTTAACCTGTCTACTCTTCCACCCTTTCTTAGTCTCTGAGGTGCCATATGTAAGAACAACACAAGATTTTTTACAAATAGCTTTTTTTTTTTTTTAATGTAGAAAAGCAATTTATTCCATTGTAAGCACTTACACAGCTAGTCATCGAAAGTAACAGGCCTGCTGGTGAAACAGGTCACCCAAAATAGAGATGGTACCAAACTAGGGGTCAAAGACTAACTCCTAAAAAAAAAAAGCAACTCTTATCCAGGATTAATTTAATTTTAAAAACAAATACAAGCTATCAATTCACTCTTCTCAACTCAACTGGACAGTCTACCTGTGGTATAACTGTCAGGTAAAAACATACATCTTTACAACTTGGTAGTCCCAAGTTTTAAAAAACCATTTCACAGAAAGGAAAGAAATATGAAAACAGCTCAAGAAATACACTAACAAGCAAAAATATATGGGGGAAAGAGGAACACATAGTTTTGACTTAACTGAAGAAACTGAGAGGAGACTGGTCTACATAGGAAAATGTGCATCCTGGAAAGTCAGGTGTGAAAATTTTACAACAGGAATTTATATGACTTGAATCTCCCCCATTTCCTGAATAAAAACGACATCTTGTGGTATTTATACCTCATGGCTCAGACATCTACCTCACTTGTCTCTACTCCTTCCTTCCTTTAGCCTTTACTTAAAGGAGTCTGAAAAACTTGGGGTTATAGCCTAAGAAGAAAAATAACCACACATAATATTCCCCTTTCTGTGGCTACTTTAGACCTTTGTTACTAGAAAACTCCTAAAGAAAATTTAAATATAAGTCTGTGGCTTTACTGAATCAAGTCCCCCAGTTAATATTTAGAAAACACCCTCTGTTTAGGCTAATAACATTGTTGATGGTACCTATCATAGAGGGATAGCCAAACAAAGTCTGTGTCTCAAAACCAGTGTTAAATCAATCTCAGGGTTGAGAGGAATAAAAGGGGGAGTCTAAAATCACAAGAAGTGCAGGCATATCTAGGACCCTTGTCCTTCTGGATCCACGCTTCCTTCAGGATCTTCATCATTATAAATGTTCTCTGGCATTTGCCACACTTGCATGATATTGTCTTCTGATAGAGAACAAATCACCCAAGATTTATTGGGATTCCAGGAGAAATCAGATATCTTGGCAGTGTGACCACCATGAATAAACAACAATTCTGGTGGCCCATCTTCTGCATCTTCTGGGGATTGTTCCTCTCCAATTTTACTTAAATCCCAGACATTCAGTCTGCAATCAGTACCACTGGAAGCCAAAATAGTCTCATTGTGAGGCGACCACTGAACCTGGAATATTTCATCCTTATATGATTCAAAGGAATGCAACTTAAGTTTCAGATTTCTCAGATCCCACAAGGCAACAATCTCGTCGGCTACCCTGTGGCCAGAATGAACTCACTATAAGGATTGAAAGATAGGCAGTTCACTTCAGCAGTGTGAGCATCAACTGAGTGGCTTGGTTTGGAAGCATTGTTTGAACGAGTATCCCAGATCATAAGTTTCTGATCATCAGCAACTGACCCAAACAGAGACTCATGGAGCAGATGCCAGGAAACATCTTCTACTACCGCTGTATGTCCTGTAAAGATGGTCTTCGCATCCACCACTTTTCCTTCCTTTGGAACAGCACTGATGTCCCAGAGGCAGATGGTATGGTCGTCTGAAGCACTAAGTAAGTGCCCACTGAGATTTGGGTTCCAAGAAAGTACATAACCTTCCTTCTGATGTCCACACAGATGCAAGTCTGGGTTGCACTCTCCAGAAGGGTCTGGTTTGGAAGGATGTTTTGTATAGTCAAAAATAAGAACATCACTGGATGGAGTCTTTGTTGCAATAATGCAAGGGTTCTGGGGCATATAACGTGCCCGGTTTACTTCTTCCATGGTTGATCTTGATTTCTATTTCAATTTTTCCACTATCTGAGCCAAAACCTCCAAATTCTCCTTTCTCACTGTTGTATTGTGAAGCATCAAACTGAGCATCATCGTTAGGGAGCTGCACACTGGCTATCACAAGATGGTTTTGTTCATCTGACGTGTGTGTTCCCAGGACAAGTCGAAGAATGCTGAAGTCTTTCCCTTCTGGTCTGGTTACATCTGGAAGCCACTGTGCAGTTAGGCTAGGCCACTCCAGAGCATGGGTCACCAAATCATAAAGAAAAGGGGTGTTCTTTTCCATATTTTGTACTCTTCGTTGCTCACACGTTCTACTGCGTCATCAAAGGCTGCTTCCTTGTTGGCCATGGCCGGCAGGCAAGCCGGGGGGGATCCCGGGGTCGAGTGTTGCCGGAGGGATGGGGAGGCTACAGGTGCTCGCTCTGCGCGCACGGCCTCTCTTGTTTCTACAAATAGCTTTCTTCAAGTAACATTGACATACCATAGAATTCACTCATTTTAATTGTACTGTTCAGTTATTTTTAGTAAACTTACAAGTTTTGGAACAATACCACAATCTAGTTTTCAAACATTTTTATCATCCCCAAAAGATCCCTTGTGCCTATTTATAATTAGTCCCTGTACCCACACCCACCCCTAGGAAACCACTAATCTGATTTCTGTCTCTAGAGATTTGTCTTTTATGAGCATTTCATATAAATAAAATTGTACAATGTATGGTCTCTTGCATTCTAAAAATTTGGGGGGATCATTCATTGTGACATATATCAGTACTTCATTTCTTTTTATTGTTGAATATTAGTCCATTATATGGATATACCTCATTTTATTTATCTATTCACCATTAGATGGACATTTGGAGTGCTTCCACTTCTGGACTATTAAGAACAATGCTGCTGTGAAAATTTGCATACAACTCTTTGTGTGGACATACTTTCATTTCTCTTGAGTAGATAGATACCTAGGAGTAGAATTTCTAGGTCATATGGTGAAGTTATGTTAAACTGTTTTCCAAAGTGGCTATACCATTTTTTGTTCTCATGAGGAATGTACGAGGGTTCCTGTTTTTCTGCATCCTAGCTAACATTTTTTATTATCTGTCTTTCAGGTTTTAGCCATCTTAGTGGGTATAAAGTGGTATCACATTGTGGTTTTAATTTGCATTTTTCTAATGAATAATAATGTGCAAATTTTCATGTACTTATTAGAATGCACAGAACAGTAAAATGTTTTTATGATAGCAGCTGGCCACCATTTCTCTTTCAGTTATACATATGACCATATATAAGTGAGATTAGGAAGAAAGTAAGTATAACTGTATCAGAAGTCCATAATTGATAGGTGTAAAATAAAGGTGAGATCAGGAGAAGAGTGTATATAAATGCGTCATGGCTGGTTTCAAATATATTTGAATGGGTGGTAGACTCTTAACCAATTTTAAACTGTCATGGAATTAAGCTGAAAGGGAACTTAGAAATCATCTGATTCAACACCATCATTTTATTGACAAAGAAATGTAGTGCCAAGGAAATAAGTAACTTTTATAACTAGCTAGCAGCAGAATTAAAACTAGAATGTATGATTCTTGATTCCCAGCCCTCTGCTATATCTACTTTCCTAGGATCCTGATTATTTGCTTAGGTTTTAAATGTTCTGTTTACTTTTGAAATTTGATAGTAATTAGATGCAGATAGCATTCATTTTTAAAAATTTTTTTAAAAGATTTTATTTATTTGAAAGAGAATAAGTGGGGGGAGGAACAGAGGGAGAGGAACAAGCAGGCTCCCTGCTGAGCAGGGAGCCCATGCAGGGCTCCACCCCAGAATCCTGGGATCATGACCTGAGCCAAAGGCAGATGCTTAACCGACTAAGCCACCCAGGTGCCCCGATAGCATTCATTTTAAACTGATATTCTCATTTGACTCAATATCAAGAATTACTTTGTATGTGATTCTGAAGTTGGTGTGGTAATATGTTTGAGCCTGTGTTTCGTGCAATGCTAAGAATAATGTGGTTTGGAAATGGGAATTTTTTTCATTTCTAGAAAGCTTGATTTGGTTATAGTTTGAAGATAGTAGTCATTAAGTGCTTATCTTGCCCCTTTTCATAACTAATTTAAAAAATTCTCTATTGTTCAAACATACAGAAAAACAGACCAATGCAGCACACCATTTGCTATATCTGAGTAACATATTGTGATATCCACTTCATATTTTTTTAGAATAAAGTTTTACAGATAAATAAGCCTCCTTATATACTGTGTTAGATCCCAATTCTTTCCATCTCTCCACAGAGGTAGGCACTATTCCGAAACGCATGTGTATCCTTCTTGTCTATATTTTAAATGTTGCCACATATGCATGCTCTAGAAAAACATACATAACTAATATATTTTGGAAAATACTACATGTGCCTCTGTTGTTTTTCACTTAATGTAGTGTTATACGATGTCTCCAAATGATTTATATAATTCAGGTTTATTTTAACTCTTGTGGTGTTCCTGTTACCTTAATGTTTCATAATGTATTTATACATTTATCCTATTGATGGACACTAGGTTATTTCTATTTATTCACACAACTTTTAAAAATTGGAGTTCTGAATAATGAAACAATTGCATCATAGATGTTGTAAGTTTATATATGTTTGTTTTTAAATTTGCAGTTAAAAAGAGAAATGTTTGGTTTTAAATCATCTCTTTCTAAACACCAGATGAGTAGTTTGTCAAACAAGGAAGACAATTACATTGGCTGCTGTGAGGCAAATAAAATGGTGATTTCAGAATTGAGGTATGGTTTTCAGATGCTGAAGTTGTAGCAAATACAATTTTTTTTTAATTGGTAATTAAAATCTTTGAGAAGATGAAAAATGTACAGAAAAGTTCTGCAAGTATTATAACAAATATCTGTGTTTCCATAACTAAGAATTGATTATTCTTAACATTCTGTGATATTTTTTTCAAATGTTTTTAAGTAAAAACTAAAAACATTATGGGATGTTCTTTCCACTAGTTTCATTCTCCTAAGTATCCACCATCCTGAATTGGATGTATATTCTTCAATCCATTTTGTATATGTTTACATCCACACATGGAAAATATACTATGTGTTTATATTGTTTGTAATTTTGCTTTTTCACTCAGCATTATTTTTTAAATTCATACATGTTGAGGTAGGTAGTTAGAGTGACTAATCAATGGGTGGATTAGTATGGTTAGTTTTAATAGCTATATAGGAGTCTATCCTATAACTGTATCACTATTTATTGATAGCTACCTTGTTTCTAGTTTTCTTCTATTACAAACAGTGCTGCAAAGTACATACCTTTACATGTTTCCTTTTACAATATGCCAGTTTCTCCAGTGTATATTCCTAAAAGTGAAATTTCTGGGTCATGGTGTGTGTACATTTTTAGTTTTACTAGGTACTATCAAGTTTTTAAAGTAGCTGAATCAATCTACATTAAATTTTTTGCTAACTTGAAAGGTAAAAATGGTATGAGATATATATATATAGGATCTTTCTAATAATTTTTGGTGTATTTTATTTTGTTCCAGGATTAAGCTTGCAATAAAGGAGGCAGAAATTCAAAAGCTTCAGGCAAACCTGGCTGCAAATCAGTTATCTAAGAGTCTTTTTGCTTGTAATGACAAACAAGAAAGTGGCAAATTAAATAGTTTAGAGACAGAACCGGTAAAACTAGGAGGTAATCAATTAGGTGAGTGTATAAAATTGAAATTTTTAATTCTAAGTCTTTTTTTTAAAGATTTTATTTATTTATTTCAGAGAGAGAGAGAGAGGGGGAGCACAAGTATGAGTGGGGAAGGGGCAGAAGAAGCAGGCTCCCCGCTGAGTAGGGAGCCCAGTGCGGGGCTCGATCCCAGGACCCTGGGATCATGACCTGAGGTAGATGCTTAACCAACTGAGCCACCGAGGCGCCCCTTAATTCTAAGTCTTTTATGATAGTTTTTTAGAGAAATGGATTATCAAAAGTTTAATCTGTTAGTACTAGTTTGGGTTGGTAAGACAGCAAAAATTTCAAAATTGTTGAACTTTGCATTTTAGGGCACCTGGGTGGCACAGTCAGTTAAAATGTCCAACTCTTGGTTTTGGCTCAAGTCCAATCTCAGGGTCATGAGATCGAGCCCTACAATGGGCTATTTGGAAGTTTTCTTTCCATTTCTATTTTTTGGAACAGTTTGAGAAGAATGGGTATTAACTCTTCTTTAAATGTTTGGGAAGCCATCTGGCCCTGGATTTCTGTTGGTTGGGAGATTTTTTTTTTTTTTTTTTTAAGATTTTCTTTATTTGATAGAGACCCAGTGAGAGAGGGAACATAAGCAGGGGGAGTGGGAGAGGGAGAAGCAGGCTTCCCGCAGAGCAGGGAGCCTGATGTGGGGCTCGATCCCAGGACCCTGGGATCATGACCTGAGCTGAAGGCAGACGCTTAACGACTGAGCCACCCAGGCGCTTGGTTGGGAGATTTTTGATTACCAATTCAATTTCTTTGTTGGTTATCGGTCTGTTCAAGTTTTCTGTTCTTCCTGTTTCAGTTTTGGTAGTTTATATGTTTCTAGGAATGCATCCATTTCTTCCAGATTGACTGGGTGGCATATAATTTTTCATAATATTTTATAATTATTTGTATTTCATTGGTGTTGCTTGTGATCTCTCCTCATTCATGATTTTATCAATTTGAGTCCTTTCTCTCTTTTTTTTTTATGATTTTTTATTTATTCATTTGAGAGAGAGTGTGTGAGAGCATGAGCAGGGGTAGGGGCAGAGGGAAAGGAAGAAGCAGAGTCCCCACTGAGCAGGGAGCCTGACGTGGGGCTCAATCCCAGGACCCCAAGATCATGACCTGAGCTGAAGACAGACGCTTAACTGACTGAGCCACCCAAATGCCCTTCTCTTTTCATTTTAATAAGTCTGACTCAGGGTTTATCAGTTTTATTCTTTCAAAGAACCAGCTCCTGGTTTCATTGATCGTTCTGGGTTTCTTTTTTTGTTTGTTTCTATATCATTTATTTCTGTTCTAATCTTTATTATTTCCCTTCTTCTGGCTTTAGGCTTCATTTGTTGTTCTTTTTCTAGCTCCTTTCCAATGGCTTTCTTTTTAAAACAAAAATATATTTCTTTTTTTTTTTTTTTGAGATTTTATTTATTTGAGAGAGAGAACATGAGAGAGAGAGAGAGTGCACAAGCAGGGGGAAGGAGCAGAGGGAGAGGGAGAAGCAGACTCTCCACTGAGCAGGGAGCCCAGTGCAGGACTTGATCCCAGGACCCTGGGATCATAACCTGGGCTGAAGGTAGATGCTTAACTGACTGAGCCACTCAGGTGCCCTCCAGTGGATTTTTTATAGAACAGTAGAACAATCCTAAAATTTGTATGGGACCACAAATAGCCAAAGTAATCTTGAGAAAGTAAAACAAAACTGGAGGCATCACAGTTCATAATTTCAAACTATATTACAAAGCTATAATAATCAAAACAGTATGGTGTTGGCATTAAAAACAGACATATAGATCAATGGAACAGCGTAGAGAGCACAAAAATAAACCTGTGCATATGGGGTCAATCAATTTAGAACAAAGGAGACAAGAACAAACAATAGGATAAGGATAGTCTTTTCAATAAACAGTGTCAGGGAAACTGAATAGCTGTATGCAAAAGAGTGAAAGTAGACGTCTACTATCTTACAGACAAAAATCAACTCAAAATGGATTACAGACTTTAATATAAAACCTGAAACCGTAAAACTTCTAGAAGAAAATATAAGAAAAAAGCTCCTAGATATCAGTCTTGGTGATGATTTTCTTTTGGATTTGACACCAAAATCAAAAGCAAGAAAGTAAAAATAAACAAGTGGGACTATATCAAACTAAAAAGCTTCTGTCCAGCAAAAGAAAAGACAACCTATAAAGTGGGAGAAAGCATTTGTAAATCATATCTGATAAGGGGTTAATATCCAAAATACATAAAAACTCATACAACTCAATACAAAAAAATAATTCAGTTAAAAAATGGGCAGAGGCGGGGCACCTGGCTCAGTCGGTTGAGCATCTAACTCTTGATTTCAGCTCAGGTCATGATCTCAGGGTCGTGGGATCGAGCCCCAGGTTGGGCTTGGCACTCAGTGTGAAGTCCACTTGTCCCTCCCCCTCAGCTCTTCCCCCAGCTCTCTCTCTCAAATAAATATTTTTTAAAAATGGGCAGAGGATCTAAATAGACATTTTTCTAAAGAAGACATCCAGATGGTAAACAAACACATGAAAAGATGCTCAACAGCACTAATCATCAGGGAAATGCAAATCAAAACCACAATGAGGGATGCCTGGGTGGCTCAGTCGGTTGGGCGTCTGCCTTCAGCTCAGGTCATGGTCCCAGGGTCCTGGGATCGAGTCCCGCATCGGGCTCCCTGCTCTGCGGGGAGCCTGCTTCTCCCTCTGCCTCTGCCTCTCTCTCCCTCTCTGTCTCTCATGAATAAACAAATAAAATCTTAAAAACAAAACAAAACAAAAAACCCCAAAAACCACAATGAACTATCACCCCACATCTGTCAGAGTGGATATCATCAAAAAAACAAGAAATAAGCATTGGTGAGGATGTGGAGAAAAGAGAACCCTGTGCCCTGTTGGTGAGCATGTAAATTGATACAGCCGCTTTGGAAAACAGTATGGAAGTTCCTCAAAAAATTAAAAGTAGAACTACCATATGTTGCAGTAATTCCACTTCTGAGTATTTACCCGACATCTGAAATCACTGTCTTTTTATTATGTTCAGTTAGCCACCATATAATACATCATTAGTTTTTGATGTAGTGTTCCATGATTTATTGTTTGCGTATAACACCCAGTGCTCATCACAACACGTGCCCTCCTTAATACCCATCACCCGGCTTCCCCATCCCCCCACCCCCCTGAAATCACTATCTTGAAAAGATGTCTTATATATGTCTGCACATATATATATATATATATATATATATATGATATATATATATATGTCATCTGCCCCTTCCCCTGCTCGTTCTCTCAATCTCTCTCAAATCTTCTTTTTCTTTAAAGATTTTAATTATCTATTTGACAGAGACAGACAAGGCGAGAGAGGGAACACAGCAGGGGGAGTGGGAGAGGGAGGAGCAGGCTTCCCGCTGAGCAGGGAGCCCCATGCAGGGCTTGATCCCAGGACCCTGGGATCATGACCTTAGCCGAAGGCAGACACTTAACGACTGAGCCACCCAGGTGCCCCTCAAATAAATAAAATTAAAAAAAAAGCTCTCATCCCTCCCCAAAATTTGTAACTATATGTGATGACGGATGTTAAATAGACTTACTGTGGTAATCATTTCAAAATATATACATATATCAATTCATTATGTCATACACCTGAAACTAATACAATGTTATATGTCAATTATATATCAATAAAAATAGATGGAATAACTATATTAATTTCAGACAAAGCAGAGTTGAGACTGACAGAACTAGAAGGATAAATTAACAAACCCACATACATATTTGAAGATTTCAAAACTTCTTTCTCAGTAACTGATAGAACAAGTACACAGAAAATCATTAAGGGGAAAGAAGACTTAAGTACTATAAAGAAGTTTAATATGATTGACATTCATTCTACACAATAATCACCAGAATATACAATTTTCTCAAATGTATTTAAAATATTCATCAAAATACTCCATATGCTGGCCTATAAACTAAGTCTCAAAACATTTTAAACAACTGAAATCAGGTTCATTCATGAATTAGGTTGTTTAAGAAAAACAACCTAATGTCCACTACTAATAACAGAAAGATACCCGGAAAATTCTAAATATTTGGAAATAAACTCAGGAGATATTGTAGGATATTTTGAAGTAAATAAGATGAAAATACAACATATAAAAATTAGTGGGAGCTACAGCATTGCCTAATGATAAGTTTATACCTTTAAATACTTAGATTAGAAAAGAAGAAATGTTTAAAATCAATAATCTAAGCTTTCACTGTAAGAAAAATTAAAGATATAATTAAACCCAAAGAAAATTGAGAAGGAGTATAATTGATCCTGAGGGAAATGTTTTTCTGGTTTTGGGGTTTTTTTTAATTGAAGTATAATTAAAATAGCGTGTTATGTTAGCTTCAGGTGTATGATATAGTAATTCAACATTTCTATACATTACTCAGCATTCATCATGATAAGTGTATTCTTAATCCCTTTTAACTATTTAACTTTCCCCCTCCCTCTGGGAACCACCAATTTGTTCTCCATATATGAATTTTTTTTTCTTTTTTTCTTTGTTCATTTGTTTCTTAAATTCCACATGTGAGTGAAATCACACAGTATTTGTCTTTCTCTGTCTGAATTATTATTTCACTTAGCATTATATCTTCTAGGTCCATTCATGCTGCAAATGGCAAGATCTCATTCTTTTTTATGGCTGAGTAATATCCCATTTTATACACACACCCACACCCCATCTCCTTTATCCATTCATTTATCGATGGACACTTGGGTTGCTTCCATATCTTGGCTATTATAAGTAATAATGCAATAAATATAGGGGTGCATATATCTTTTCAAATTAGTGTTTTCATTTTCTTTGCATGTATACCCAGTAGTGGAATTACTAGATCATATAATAATTCTGTTTTTAATTTTTTAAGGAACTTCCATATTGTTTTCCAAGTGGCCGCACCAGTTTTCATTCCCACCAACAGTGCTGTGTTTTTGATTTTAGCTGTTCTGGCAGGTGTGAGGTGATATCTTATTGAGGTTTTGATTTGCATTTCCCTGATAATTAGTGATGTCAAACATTTTCTCATGTGTCTGTTGGCCATTTGTCTACTGATGAAAATGTTAGATGTCTTGATTGTGGTGATAGTTACAAAGGTATAAACATATAAAAAAACTGATAGTTACAAAGGTATAAACATATAAAAAAACATTTGATAAAACGTATCAAACTTTATATTTTAAATGGGTGCATCTTATTGTAAGTAAATTTTACATCAGTCTACATTTTTATTTATTATTTTTTTTAAAGATTTATTTATTTGAAAGAGAGAGTGTGGGGGGGGCAAAGGGAGAGGGAGAAAGAAACTGTCATCTTGGTATTTGTTTGCTATTTATTCTAATGCCCTTTATTCATCTTTCCTGCTTTCTTTTGGATCAATTATATTTTAGTATTCCATTTTGTCTCCACTATTGATTAGCTAACTATACCTCTTTATTTTCTTAATGGTTGCCCTAGTGGTTAACATATGTATCTTTAACTTATCATTGTCTATCTTCAAGTATGATTGGCTGGTGGCAGGAAAATGACAGCAGAATTAGATAGCTAAGTGATTAGAGAGAATAGGGATGAGTGATGAGATTATTAGCAGAATGAACGGTAGTTATTAGAGGTGTTGATAAATATGTTATAAATTCTCTTACATCAAAGAGTATAGAGCTAATGATAGATAGATAGCCTAGAAAGTGAAATATTAGGGATATGGAGAACTGATAGGAAATGGCTACTTAAGTAACCCTTGAAGGCATAGTACATCTCTACATATTTCCATACCTGTGTGTGTTCTTATGCAATCATATACATTATGCCTCTTTAAGGCACTCCTGAAAGCTCAGTCACTTTTAGGTGGGAGTAAGTTTATATGTTTGTAGTGGAGAAAGGATGTGTTTGAACAACTATCTTTGATAATCCTTAGTAGTTCAAAAAGCATCACTGAATTCTCATGAGCTAGTTTAGACTAGGAAGGATTCGTCTTCAGCTTTTGAACTTGCATCTGTATACAATATATGAAAATATTCTTTTTTTAAAAAGATTATTTGAGAGAGAGAGAACATGAGAGAGAGAAAACACAAGTGGGGGGAGGGGAAGAAGGGAGAGGGAGAAGCAGACTCCGCTGCTGAGCAGGGAGCCTGATGCAGGGCTCAATCCCAGGACCCTGAGATCATGAACTGAGCCGAAGGCAGAGCCACCCAGGTGCCCCTACATCAAAATATTAATGATGCCAAGTTATCCAGAGAAATTTTATGGTCGACTTCAGTTTAAGGAAACAGAACAACTTTTTTTTTAAACAGTGATTTTTTTTTACAATGTTTTCTTTCCAAAAAATTTTATAGTGAGAGAAGGGCTCTTTCTGGTGTGAAGGAATAGTCTAGAAAAGTGAATGATTCAGAAGATTTTATTCCTACTTTGTTATGTACTTAATTATAGAAAGTACCTTACCATGTTCCTTCATTATATTTTCCTTAACGTATGTCTTTCTCCATTCCCTTTAGTATTCTTCAGATGAGAAATTAAACTTTGTTTATGATTAAAACTTTCAACATTGAATAGGTTTTTATTCTTTAAGTTTTATACAGAACAATTTTCCTTTTATGTTTGTTAGCAGAAAGAATAAAAGACCAAAATCAACATACTGTGAATAAGCAATATGAAAGAGAAAGGCAGAGACTTGCTTCTGGAATAGAAGAACTACGTGCTAAGTTGGTGCAAATAGAAGCTGAGAATTCTGATTTGAAGGTTAACATGGCCCACAGAACTAGTCAGTTTCAGCTGATACAAGAGGAGCTGCTGGAGAAAGCTTCAAACTCTAGCAAACTAGAAAGTGAAGTAAGCTTGAATTAGCTGTTTATATGTACTAACTTTGGAGACAAGAAAAAAGGCACTATAGTTGTGTAAAAGTTGTATGTGTAAGTCCAGATTTATACATCAGTTATAAATTCTTTTAAAATTATATTTGGAAACCTTTGGGTTTTAACCTATGTTGAAAGTGAGAAATTACTCTCTAGTGGCTAACAGGTCTCAAATATGGTGGACCTTCTAATGTATTGCAGTCTGTTATTTCTTCCAAGTATAAGTTAATATGGCTAATACACATTTACAAGTCAAGAATTTGGATTATGTAATTGGAAGAAAAGGAGTGATAATAGAGGATTTTGAATGTTAGCTAACAGCAGAACCGGCTGGGAAGCCTGTTAAACATGTAGATTTCTGGGTACTGTTCTAATGATTCTGATCCAGTAGGTATGGAGTCATGCTCAGAAATCTGCATTTGTGAACAACTGCATGTGATTATGATGCAGATATGCTTGGATTACATTTTGAAAAGTGCATAATGTGTGTTTTGTGAGTATTTGATCTTCATTTCTATTGAGGATAGAATAAGGATGCCTTTTTAGGTAATTATAGACCAGGACCACATGTGTATATGTTATACTCACTTTAAAACTGAGGCTGATGCTGTCTGTAGGAGTACTTTTAAAAGGTCTGATTTCTCATTTTAAAATCTGTAGCCTACACCAAGGAAAAACTTACATTATGTAAGTAATGGAAAAGGAGATTTAGTCAGTCTAAATCTAAATTATAGCCATCAGCTTACTTAGAAAATTATCTAGTACTGAGATTAATAACTTTTCAAATTACAAAATTATTACAGTCTTGTTGAAAATACACAAAGGACAAAGAAGAAAATAAACCATTGATAATTCCACCACCAGAAATAGCTACTGTTAACATTTTATTATACTAATTTCAGTCTTTAACAGCTACTTTTAAGAAATGGGTTAGGATGCAATCATATTTGGACATAGGGGTCAGAATTAAACTACTTATGTATTACATAGATGGAACAATCTGTCATATACCTGGCCTTCCCTTCACTATTTTTCTTCTAAATTGTCACTTATCTTTAAAAGTAATTTTTTAAAAAATAATTTTTAATTTCTTTCAATATGTTTTCAGATGACAAAGAAGTGTTCTCAACTTTTAACTCTCGAGAAACAGCTAGAAGAAAAAATAGTTGCTTATTCCTCTATTGCTGCAAAAAATGCAGAACTAGAGCAGGAGCTTATGGTAAAAATTACTGTTTGGCTACAAATTCACTGTGACTTTGGGCACTTGATTTGTGACAGCGTGTTTGTTTTAGTATCATTGTTGTACAGTATACCGAATAGGAAAGTATAAATTATACTAAACTTTCCTGATGATTCATTTTTTTGCTTCTGTATTTTTAAGTTTATAGGCTTATATGGCAAGTTGTTATCTGCAATTTCTGATTTTTATTCTAGTAGAATTGAAGGAAATAGTATACTTCTTTGATAGGCTTTTCAGTATTTTAAAATAGTTAAATCTTTCATTTTGATGTGGTTTTTTAAAATAACCATTTTGTCTCTTCAGTAAATGTTTAATTTTTGAAGTTTTACATATTACCTACTGTGATTCTTCAAAGAATAGAGTATGACAAATTTAATGCTTTACTTATGTACTTTTATGTAAAACTAGTTCTCAGTTATGTTCTTTTAAAGTCTTTTTGTATTTCTAGGAAAAGAATGAAAAGATAAGAAGTCTAGAAACCAATATCAATACAGAACATGAGAAAATTTGTTTAGCTTTTGAAAAGGCTAAGAAAATTCATCTTGAACAGCATAAAGAAATGGAAAAGCAGATTGAAAGAGTAAGATATTATGTTTTTCTTTTTTGTGGCTGAATAATACTCTACCGGGTGTGTGTGTGTGTGTATAAAAATAAGAGCTTGAAATATAGAGCAATAACATTATTCAAACTGCACAACAGAGAGAAAAAAAGATTTAGAAAAAGAACAGAGCCTAAGGGACGTGTGGGATAATATCAGAACTGAAACTCTATACCCATTAAACAATACCTCCCATTATGCCCTCCCCCCATCCCCTAGCTACCATCATTCTACTTTCTTCTGTCCCAGTGATTTTGACTACCCTAAGTATCTCATGTAAGTGGAATCATACAGTATTTGTCTTTTTGTGACTGGCTTAATTCACTTAGCATAATGTCCTTGAGGTTCATCCATGTTGTGGCATACTGCGGAATTTACTTCTTTTATAAGAATGAATATTCTGTTGTCTGTATATACCACATTTTGCTTATCCATTTATCTATCAATGGACACTGATTGCTCTGGCCAGAACTTCTAGTACTGTGTTGAATAGAAATGAAAGGGGGCATCCTTGTTTTGTTCCTGATCTTAGAGGAAAAGTTTTCAGTCTTTCACCATTTTCAGTATGATGTTAGCTGTAGGTTTTCCATATATGGCTTTTATTATGTTAAGGTAGTTTTATTTTATTCCTAGTTTGTTGAGTATTTTTATCATGAAAGGGTGTTGAGTTTTGTCAACTCTTCTGCATCAGTTGAGATGATCATACTTTTTTTTTTTCTTCATTCTGTTGATATGGCGTATTACATTGATTGAGTTTTACATGTTGAACCACCCTTGCATTCCAGGAATAAATCCCACTTGGTCATAGTATATAATCCTTTTACCACGCTGCTGAATTTGGATTATTAGTATTATATTGATTTTGGCTTTAATGTTCATAAGGGATATTGATCTGTAGTTTTCCATTAGTGTTTTTGTCTGGTTTTAGTATCAGGTTAAAACTGGTCTCAGAATTAGTTAAGAAGTGTTCTCTTGGGACGCCTGGGTGGCTCATTCATTAAGCATCTGCGCTTGGCTCAGGTCATGATCCTAGGGTCCTGGAATCCAGCCCCGGCATCGGGCTCCCTGCTCAGCAGGAAGCCTGCTTCTCCCTCTCCCGCTCCCTCTACTGTGTTCCCTCTCTCACTGTGTCTCTCTCGGTCAAATAAATAAAATCTTTAAAAAAAAAAAAAAGTGTTCTCTCTTAACTTTTTTGGAAAAGTTTGAGAAAGATTGGTATTCTTTTTTTTTAGATTTTATTTGAGAGAGGGAGAGAGTGTGGGGGGAGGGGCAGAGGGAGTGAATCTCAAGCAGACTCTGTGCTGAGCACAGAACCTGATGTGTTGCTTGATCCCATGACCCGTGAGATCATGACCTAAGCAGAAATCATGATTCAGACGCTCAACTGACCCAGGCACCCCTAAACATTGGTATTCTTTAAATGTTTGATAGAATTCACTAGTGAAGCTATCAGGTTCAGGGCTTTTCTTTGTTGGGAGCTTTTTTTTTTTTTTTTAATTTTTTTATTATGTTAATCCCCATACATTACATCATTAGTTTTAGATGTAGTGTTCCATGATTCATTGTTTGTGCATAACACCCAGTGCTCCATGTAGAACGTGCCCTCTTTAATACCCATCACCAGGCTAACCCATCCTCCCAACTCCCTCCCCTCTAGAACCCTCAGTTTGTTTTTCAGAGTTGTTGGGAGCTTTTTGATTACTGATTTAACTTCTTACTAGTTTTAGGTCATTCAGATGATCTATTTCTTCATTATATAGTCTTTGTAGGTTTTGTATTTCTAGGAATTTGTCCATTTCATTTAGATTATTCAATTTGTGGGCATACAATTATTCATTATGCTTTCTTATGATCTTTTTTGTTTCTGTATAATTGGCAGTACTATCCCCACTTTCATTTCTGATTTTGTTAATTTTTTCTCTGTTTTTTTAATCTATTCGGCTAAAGATTTGTCACTTTTGTTTATTTTTTCTAAGAGCTAACTTTTCATTTCATTGATTTACTTTATTGTTTTCTGTTCTCCGTTTTGTTGATTTTTACTGTAATCTTTATTATTTCCTTCCCTCAACTAGCTTTGGGTTTAGTTTGTTCTTCTTTTTCTAGTTCCTTATGTTTTGAAATTAAATAATTGACTTGAGATCTTTTTTGTTTTTTAATGTAAGCATTTATAGCTGTAAATTACCCCTTAGCCCCACTTTGGCTGTGTCTCTTAAGTTTTGGTAAGTGGTGTTTTTGTTTTCATTTGTCTCCTAATTATCTTCTAATTTCCCTTGTGAATTCTTCTTTGATTCATTGATTGTTTAAAAATCTGTTGTTTAATTAATGCCACAATCTTATGAATTTTTTAATTTTCCTTTCATTATTCATTTCTAATTTCATCTGGTTGTGGTTGGAGAAGATACTTTGAATGATTTCTGTCCTTTTAAATTTGTTGAGACTTCAATTTGTGGCCTAACATGGTCTATCCTGCAAAATGTCCCCTTCACACTTGAGAAGAATGTGTATTTTGTTGTTGGGTAGAGTGTTCTGTATATGTCTGTCAGATCTAGTTGATTTATTCTGTTAAGTCCTCTGTTTCCTTACTTATATTCTGTCTAGTCTTCTGTCCATTATTATGAATGGGGTATTGAAGTTTCCAACTATTTTTGTAGAACTGTTTATTTTTCCCTTCAGTTCTGTCAGTTTTTGCCTCATATATTTTGATGGTCTGTCATTACATGAGTAAACTTCATAATTATTATATCTCGCTACTATTTTGAACCTTATAGTAAATAATGTCCTTCTTTGTCTCTTAAAACCTTTTTTGATATAAAGTGTTTTTTCTGATATTTGTGTAGGTACCCCTGCTCTCTTTTGGTTACTTATTTGGTTACTTATTTCACTTTTAACACGCTTGTGTCTTTGGATCTCAAGTGAGTCTCTTGTAGACAGCATATACAGTTGACCCTTGAACAACATGGGTCCACTTATTTGTGGATTTTTTACAACAGTACTGTATATGTATCTTCTCTTATGATTTTATTAATATTTTTTTCTCTAGCTTACTTTATTATAAGAATATGATACATGTAAGATACAAAATATGTGTTAATCAACTGTTTATGTTATTGGTAAGGCTTTGGTCAGCAATAGGCTATTAGTAGTTCAGTTTCTGTGGAGTCAAAAGTTATACAGATTTTCAACTGCACATGGGGTCAGCCACCTTAACCTCTGCATTGTTCAAGGGTCAACTGTATTTGGATCATGTGTTTTTATCTTCTGCCAGTCTCTATCTTTTGATTGGAGAGTTTAATCCATTTATATTTAAAGTAAATACTGATAGAGACTGTCTTTTTGTCATGATGCTGTTTGTTTTCTATATGCCTTACAGCTTTTTTGTCCCTCCTTTCCTACATTACTGTCTTCTTTTGAATTCAGGTTTTGTTTTTTTTTTGTAGTGAAATTTTGAAATTCTTTTCTTGTTTCCATTCTCTTTTGTGAATATTGTATTGTTATTTTTTGTGTGGTTGTCATGGGTATTACATTTAACATTCTAAAGTTTTATTCTTTTTTTTTTTTTAAGATTTTATTTATTTATTTGACAGAGAGAGAGAGCAAGAGAGGGAACACAAGCAGGGGGAGTGGGAGAGGGAGAAGCAGGCTTCCCGCCGAGCAGAGAGCCCGGTGTGGGGCTTGATCCCAGGATCCTGGGATAATGACCCGAGCCGAAGGTAGATGCTTAACGACTGAGCCACCCAGGCACCCCTAAAGTTTTATCATTCTAATTTGAATTTGTACCAACCTAACTTCAGTAATATACAAAAATTGTGTCCTTTTACAGCTCCATTTTTACTCCTTTCTAATGTTAATGTCACAAAATTATTTCTTTATACCTTGTGTGCCCTAAAACATAAGCTAATAATTCGTTCAAATGTATTAGTCTCTCAAACTATTTAGAAAAGAAGACTTGGAATTACAAACCAAATTTATACTAATAAATTACACTAACTGGTTTTTTTCTTCATTAAATATATTAAATCCTATAGAAAACAAAAAGTAATTATAAACCATTGTTAGAATAATACTAGCTTTTATAATTATCCTTGCTGTTATCTTTGAGAGTTTTAATACTCCATATGGCTTTGAATTATTGTCTAGTGTCCTTTCATTTCGCTTTGTAGAACTCCCTTGAGCATTTCTGGTGGGGCATATCTGGTGGTCACAACCCCCTCAGCATTTATTTATCTGGGAATGTCTTAATTTCTGCCTCACTTCGGAAGGACAGTTTTGCCAGATAGTAGGATTCTTGGTGGACATTTTTTTCTTTTCAGTAAATCAACACATTTGTCTTTTGGCTTCCAAAGTATCTGATGAGAATCTGCTTGTAATATTATTGTGGATCCTTGTATGTGATTACTCATTTATCTCTTGCTGATTTCTCTGTCTTTTGAAAGTTTTGACTATATCTGTGTCTTTGTGTGATTCCTTTTTGAGTTCATCTTTCTTGGAGTTGAGATTCTTGGATGTTTATTTCCATGTCTTTCATTAAATTTAGACATTTTCTTGGGACTCAAACTCATGACCCTGAGATCAGGAGTTGCATGCTTTTCCAACTGAGCCAGCCAGGTGCCCCAAATTTAGACATTTTCAATCATTATTTCTTCAGATATTCTCAGTGTCCCTTTTTCCCTCTCCTCTCCTCCCATGATCTGCGTTTTGGTCTGCTGGATGGTGTCCAACAAGTCTTTTAGGCTCTGTTCACTTTTCTTCCATCTTTATTTGTTCTGTTCCTCTAATTTGTTATTTGATTATTTTCATTTGAGTGTTTTCAGAGTTACTTAGTTTTAATATTTTCTAGTTAACCTTGTTCTGTCATATTTTTATTATATATGTATATGTGTTATATATATCATATAATTTTGCACATTTGTATGTAATATGCACATATATGCATATACACATATCAGTAATTTCCTATTTTGTCTTCACAAAGGTATTTTGAAATTTTGATAACACCAATTATTGTTGAAGTTGTGGGAATGAGAATCTTATACATTTCTAATATAAGCATAAATTTTGATGCACTTTGAAGAGAAATACCTAATGAAATTGGAAATGTGCATATCCTACAAACAGAAAGTCCACTTCTAGGTGATCTATTCTAAAGAAACTCTAACACAAAGAGAAGTGCACACAGGATGTATTGTAACATTGTTGTGATGGTGAAAAATAGAATATTAAACTGTTCTTGAGTAGAAGAGAAGACAACTGTAATTTGTTGTTACAATGGAATACTGTACTGTTAGAAAAAGCAATGAATTAGATCTACATATGGTTACATGGATAAATATCCAGGGATAAATATCTAAAACAATATTGAGTAAAAAAACCAAGTTGCTACAACTTGCAGATGTTTTGATATTGTCTGTGTAAAATTTCAAAACAAAAATACATTACATATTATTCATAGATCTACATATGTAGTAAACACAAAAAACGTGTGAGAAACATACCAGAGAATGATGCAGACCAATTTCAGCATAGTACATTTGACCTTTGAACAACTTAGGGGTTAGGGGCACGGTCCCCCTGCACAGTTGAAAATTCTCATCTAACTTTTGACTCCCCCAAAACTGAACACCCTACTCATGACCAGAAGCCTTGCTGATAACAAAACAGTCAGCTAATACATATTTTGTATGTTACATGTATCATATAGTGTATTCTTACAATAAATCCCGAGAAAAGAAAATGTGATTAAGAAAATCATAACGAAGAGAAAAAATACATTTACAGTACCATACTGTAAAAAATCCTCATATAAGTGGATCTGTGCAATTCAAACCTGTGTTGGTCAAGGGTCAGCTGTATTGATGAGGGAGGAAATCAACTGTATTGGTGACAGGTAAGACCTGGCCATGTGATTTCATTTCTTCTCTCAAGAGAGAGAAACTGAAGGAAATTTGGCAAAATGAAAAATCTATGTAATTTCAATAGTAATTTAACATAGGAGTATTATATTCTTTTATGTATATTTAACATGTTTCATGATTTTTTAAAAATTATATGCAAGTTAATAAATCATGTTTTTATGTTTAGCTTGAATCTCAACTAGAGAAAAAAGACCAACAGTTTAAAGAACAAGAAAAGACTATGTCCATTTTGCAGCAAGATATAATATGTAAACAACATCATCTTGAATCACTAGACAGACTCCTGACGGAAAGCAAAGGGGTAAAATCATCTTTGTGAAAGTGTTTATTTTATCTATTTATTCATTTTTTAAAAAGATTTTACTTATTCATTTGAGAGAGACAGAGATAGCAACAGAGAGCACAAGCGGGGAGGGAGTGGGAGAAGCAGACTCCCGCTGAGCAGGGAGCCCGATGCGGGGCTCGATCCCAGGACCCCAGGATCATGACCTGAGCCAAAGGCAGACATTTAACTGACTGAGCCACCCAGGCGCCCCTGAAAGTGCTGTTTAACAGCTGACTAATACTTACATTTCTATAACCTACCTTTAATTCTAATTAAATCAGTTGCTTAACAGCCTATTAATAATGCTAAAATTAAGATATTTATACATGTACTCATATTTTTGCTACCAATCTGTGTGTTTTTAGGAGATGGAAAAGGAAAACATGAAGAAAGATGAAGCTTTGAGAACATTACAGAACCAAGTATCTGAAGAAACAATCAAGGCTAGTATGCTAATTTTTTAAAACTTTTTTTTTTAATAGAGACATTCTGTAGCTTTTATACTTTTCTCTAAAAATTATAAAAATTATTTAGATAAAAACTCACAGGTAAAGATTTTACCTGAGTCAGTGAACTTAGTTTCTATAAGTATTTTTTCTTCATTGTGAATTATAATCTTAATTATTTGATTGTTGATAATCTGGTTTGTGGATTGTCTAACCTTTTTTTTTTGCCTTAAGAAAGGCTTCTTTTTTGGGCGCCTGGGTGGCTCAGTTGGTTAAGCGAATGCCTTCAGCTCAGGTCATGATCCTGGAGTCCCGGGATCGAGTCCCGCATCGGGCTCCCCGCTCGGTGGGGAGTCTGCTTCTCCCTGTGACCTTCCCCCCTTTCATGTGCTCTCTCTCTCTCACTCTCTCAAATAAATGAATAAATAAAATCTTAAAAAAAAAAAAAAGAAAGGCTTCTTTTTTAACAAAAAATGTTTTTTTAATTGTAGCTACTTATTAACATTACCAGTAAAGAATTAACAGAGGAAGTAAAAGGAGATGAATCTACAAGCAGTCGAATTTTACTTCTTTTTACCAGTTCTACGATAAGATTAATTAGGGGAGAAAATCAGAATTTTCAGATAAAATACAAAAATACTTTTGTTTTATGGCTACTCTGTCTTCATGGTTAAAAGAATGGGTTTTGGAGCTAAGTTGACTTGAGGTTCAGTTCTGATTTCAGAGTGCTTACTAGTTAGCTTTAACCCTGGCTAGGTTATTTTAAGTCTCTGAACTTTAACTTTTTCATCAGTAAAATACAGATAACAATACTCTGGAGGAGGGTCAGTATGAGGAGGAGATGAAATGAGGTACCTATAATGCTTGGCACATACTCAGTTACTCAAAGTTTCATAACTGTATATTCGATATTTCTCCTTTGCATTTTTAGTGTTAAAAATAGGTAACAGCATGTTTATTCTGTCATATATGGCTTGAATATAAGGAATATGTTAATTCAGTGTTATTTTGTTATTATTTCGATATTTCTCCTTTGCACTTTTAGTGTTAAAAATAGGTAACAGCATGTTTATTCTGTCATATATGGCTTGAATATAAGGAATATGTTAATTCAGTAAATTTTCAGTGTTAATTCAGTGTTATAAAAGTTTCCCCAAAACTTTTAACATTTAATGCCATGTCAATTCATTTCCTCGTGTTAACAATAACCTCTAAGATCATTAACATGAAAAAATCATTATAAAAGTTGTAGGCATGAAATAATTTCATTAAATAAAATCTATATTGCCACTTACCTCCTGTTTTTTATTAAACTGCCTAACACATCTAGTAGTTTATTTCCATATGTTAATAACCAGATATTAAAATCAGTAAGAGAAGAAATTATGTTACTGGGTTTTATTCCCTTAATGGCTTTAGGTTTGATGTTATTGGGGCAAACACCAAAATGAGGAAGAAATATAGAAACAACATTCCTATGACTCAAGCTATACCAAACCTAACATACAGGATATTTGTAGCAACAAAATTGAAGTTTGAAACCTAGTTTCTTCCTGATACGTCATTACCACCTTCCCCTCTTGACTTTGGCTATGTCCCTCTACGTAGGTACCTCTATTTGTTCTTTGCATAAAAAATAATGAATTTTTTTAAAGTAACCAAAGAATATATTCTTACAATTGGTAAAGTCTTGGAAAATGCAGTCAATTCAACCATTAACAAAGGAGATACAAATATAATTAAGAATGAAATCACAGGGCGCCTGGGTGGCTCAGTTGGTTAAGCGACTGCCTTCGGCTCAGGTCATGATCCTGGAGTCCCTGGATCGAGTCCCGCATCGGGCTCCCTGCTCGGCAGGGAGCCTGCTTCTCCCTGTGACCCTCCCCCCTCTCATGTGCTCTCTGTCTCTCTCATTCTCTCTGTCTCAGATAAATAAAATCTTTAAAAAAAAAAAATATTTAAAAAAAAAGAATGAAATCACAAAAATTCTGAATTTTATATCTGCAGGAGAGTTATAAGAATCAATTTAAAGATACCATTTATGAAAGTATGATTAATGAGAACTAGAAGATTGATGGGAAATTCTGAACAGGAATAAGAAACCAATAAATTAAAGCAATTATATTACGTGTTGTTAAATAGAATATTGAGAAGGTGCCTGTTAGATTTAGAGATTTTGTTTACTTACTTTCTTTTGTTTTGCTTTTATATTCCACTCTGGATTTTTTTCTTTTCCCAAAGAAAGTCATAAGTAGAAAAAAGCAACAACAAAAAAGAACTTAGCTGCTTTTGTTGAAAATAGGTAGAGTAGAGCCCATACTTGGTTACCCCCAGACTGTACTCCTGAGGAAGTTCTTTGGTTCAACAAAGCAGTGTCTTTGTTTTCATTTCATTCATTTATGTCCATATATATATACGTGTGTATTTATAGGTGGTTTGTATGAGGTGAATGATGCTTATCCATATGAGATTTAGACTCTCAAACTCCTGTTCAAATAATGAATCCAACAGAGTAGTAAATGTTTGGGGTTTTATTATTTTTTAAATTGATTTATTAATTTTAATTAAATTTTATTTTGGGGGCGCCTGGGTGGCTTAGTCGTTAAGCGTCTGCCTTCAGCTCAGGTCATGATCCCAGGGTCCTGGGATCGAGCCCCACATGGGGCTCCCTGCTCCGCAGGAAGCCTGCTTCTCCCTCTCCCACTCCCCTTGCTTGTGGTCCCTCTCTTGCTGTGTCTCTATTTAAAAAAAAAAAAAAATCTTTAAATTTTATTTTGAAAAATTCCAAACCTGCAAAAAAATGGAAAGAATAGTACAGAGAACATTTGTGAACCCTCTGCCTCGATTTACTGTCTGTTTAGCTACATTCATTTCATCTCTCCCTACACATACATACCCACTTGTGCACGTACCCACCCAATCTCATAACGTACACATTTCCTTTTTGCCAGACCACCTGAGAGAAGGTTGCAGATGTCGTAACACTTTACACCTTTAATATTTAAACTTGCATCTCCTGTGAACAGAAACTTTCTCCTACATGACCTCACCACTCTACACACCAGAGAAAGTAAAAGTTAATTCAGTGACATCATTCAACACACAGTCCATACTAAAATTTTTCCAATTATTTAAAATCGTTCTATATAGCCTTGCTACTCAAAGCATGGTCTGTGGACTAGCAACATCAACATCACCTAGAAACGTGTTTGACTTGGAGAATTTCGGCTATACCCCGGACCTACTGAACAGAATTGGAATTAAGGTGAAGGAAGTGAATTGCTTCTGGTGCAAAATTTAGGGAGATGCTTACTCTTGGGGTTGTATAAGTATAGCGTTGGCACTTGGCATGACCCTGCGAGTGAGTGCCTCCTTAAATTTTGAGCCCATGTCTCCTGTCTTACCTTTTTGCCCTTCTACTGAATCAGAATCTGTATTTTAATAGGGTGCCCAGCTGATTTGTATGCCCATTAAAACCTTCAGAAACACTACTTCAGCTTGTTCTTGTTCTTTTTACAATCTAGGATTCATTTATAAGTACATGCTGCATTTGGCACTTTCGGTTTCCCTAAACTCACTCTTTCCTTCTGTTCTTCTGATAGTGAATCTTCTGAAAGTCTAGGTCAGCTAGAACACCACATGAGTTATACTGTGTTCTTCTGCTTCCCATCAGGAAGCACATGTCAGACTACCCCGTTACTGTCACTGCCAATATTGGCACCTTATGTAAGCCGATTACTGCCAGATCTCCCCATGTGAAGCGCACATTTTTTTCCTTTATAATTAATAAAACGTGCGGTGATTCTTTCAGGCCATGTGAATGTACTGCTCCTCAACCACCTATAACCGATGGTTTTAACATCTCATGATAAAGCTTGCCTGAATTCGTTTTTACATTATTAATTATCAGGTGCGATATTCTGACAGTCACAGATTTCATTTTTTCTCTGTGTGTGGGAGATGATACAAGCAGCCTTGCTCATTCTCATGGTTAAGAAAGAAAACTAAAAAAATACAACCCTCAGAAAAAAAAGAAGGAAAGAAAACTCATAAGTATTTATGCCTTTCATAAAACAAATGTTAATTTGTGTTAATTTAATGTGAATTTATTAACAAGCATAATTCAAAATTACCAGCTTTTTAGCTGTTAATGGTTATATTCACAGGCTATAAGGACAGTCTTTGAAAACTGTATTTCAGGATTCTCTATTTAGAAATATGAGTTGCAAAGATAATCTCATGATATAGAATAAATAGTATCTGCAACAGGGAGCATTTTTCTCTTTTTCTTATCTTGAGATTTCTTTTACACCTTCAAGATGACTTACGAGAATGCTACTTGATTAAGGGGGGGGGGGAACCACTCCTGAGAAGCTCAAAATTACACTAAGAAGCAAGACAAGCATCTTTTTGACAGATGGGATATGGAGCATGTGTGCAAATTGTGGCCCTTGAACTAATTTTTGTGAAAAAATTTACTGAATTTGTGTTGCTCTTTGCTTGTTTGCTGTTTAATATTAAGGTGGTGTAAAGCATTTGCAGCTCTGTGAACACTTGGACCAAGTTACAGTGCTGCCTTTCTGAAAATGTTTTCCTGGATTCAAAGCAAATGCAGCCTGTTAAGTTTTTTTTCTAGCTAACAAAAGTATTTTCATTTTCTTTGTGACTTGAGCACATTCAGAATATTCACACCATGTCATTATTAGCACAGTACACTAGTGTGTACTCACTTTACTATTTTTCTTGATCAAGGGAACTTAAGAAATAGGCTTAAATGTTGCTTACTATTTTAGGTAAATGTCTTAGGGCGTTTGGTCTACGGGTTCTTGACGGTTGGCCCCAGTCTGTCTTTCCAGTCTAATCTCCCAAATACCCATCTCCTGTAAATTAATACTCTTCGTACCCTAAACTGCCAACTTCGCACCATTCCTTTTCACATTGTCTTGTCTCTGGACATACTCCCTCTTCCTGGAATGCCCTTCTTCACTTGTTCATGTTCGGTTTATTCTTTAGGACGCCAGACTCTGATTTCCTAATTTGCAATAAAAAATCAGGGGCACCTTGGTGGCTCAGTTGGTTAAACGACTGCCTTCGGCTCAGGTCATGATCCTGGAGTCCCGGGATTGAGTCCCGCATCGGGCTCCCCGCTCAGCGGGGAGCCTGCTTCTCCCTCTGACCCTACCCCCTCTCATGCTCTCTGTCTCTCATTCTCTCTCTCTCAAATAAATAAATAAAATCTTAAAAAAAAAAAAAAAATCAGTTTTCTAAATAAATTTTTTCTGTAATAGCATTTTGTGTCCTAAGTTGGGCTGTGTATTCAGTTTTAAGCAGTTAGGTAACATTAGGAGATAAACCTGTAAAATATTGAACATATAATAAGCACTCATTAATATTAGTTGATTTTTCTTTTTTTGCTTTTCTCCTGCTTAGGTCAGACAGCTAGATTCAGCACTGGAAATTTGTAAGGAAGAACTTGCCTTGCACTTGAATCAATTAGAAGGAAATAAGGAAAAGTTTGAAAAACAGCTAAAGAAGAAATCTGAAGAGGTAAATTAGCATTTTTATTAAAAAACATTTTTCACATGATTTCTTTTTGAGATCTTATTTTTAAGATTCTTTAAAAGTACATCTTTATGTAGCTGATAAACTTTCCATTAAGGGGTGCCTGGGTGGCTCAGTCGGTTAAAGCTTCTGCCTTGGGCTCAGGTCATGATCCCAGGGTCTTGGGATCAAGCCCCCCATCAGGCTCCCTGCTAAGCGGGGAGCCTGCTTCTCCCTCTGCCCCTCCTCCCCCACTTGTGCGCACTCTCTCTTTCTCAAATAAATAAAATCTTTTAAAAAAAACTTTCCATTAAAATGTGAATTCCAGTTTTATATTCTTTGTTTATAACAAACTAATTCTGTGCAGTACAAAATATGACACCTTAAAATTCTGATTCTTTTATCTATTTCTAAGAAATCGGAAGATTATTGTTAATATCACAGAAAGTAGTTCTAATATAAAATGATTAAGACTTAGAATATTGTTTTAGATTTAGAGGCGTAAAATTCTTCAAATTTTTTCTTTTTCTTTTTTTTTTTTAAGGTTTTATTTATTTATTTGACAGAAACACAGCTAGCGAGGGAACACAAGCAGGGGGAGTGGGAGAGGGAGAAGCAGGCTCCCCATGGAGCAGGGAGCCCGATGCGGGGCTCGATCCCAGGACCCTGGGATCATGACCTGAGCCGAAGGCAGACACTTAACAACTGAGCCACCCAGCCGCCCCATCTTCAAATTTTTTCATTTTATTTTTGCTCCTTCTAGTTGTCTGAAGGATTGAGAATTAGGTTTGGAAATTCAACTTTCTCTATTGAGATGAGTTTCTGAGATACTGGATGGATGACTCAAGTTATCTTATTCATATCTTATTCTATATCTCAGTGTCTACCACTTTGCTTTCAACATAATAGGTATTCACTTTGCTCAAAGGTATAACCTTAGTGAAGAGTTCCTTTATTTCTTTGTTAGAATTTATAATACAAATTTAAAATAAATTCTATTTTAAAAATTAAATATAAGCTTTAAACCTTAAATTCATGTTTAGAAATAGTCCCCCAAAAATGTTCATCAAAGTTGACTTGAATGCATCAGAAAGTCCCAACCAAAAAATAGAATCCTTTCTATATCTTTAAAATGGAGAGAATTTTATGCAGAGAATTAGATACACAGGTGATGGAAGAGGGGAGAAGCAAACAAAGCATGGTAAGGTGACTCAGATTATCATAAGCAAGGACCTACTACCATCATCAGGGATAGAGGAATATCAGGAAGAGATGCGATGATTATAGTCCAGAAGCAGGGCTGCCTAGTGGAATGAAGTCCACAAAGGAATCTGTCTAATTGAAACTGAGGCCGTAGAGGAGGAGAACTGCTCCAGGTCCCTCCCGCTGGCTAAATCTTTCTGTTATCCAAAAGGGAATTTCTTGCAATACCTGGAGCAGAGCAGGGGGAAGGCAGGCATAGATCTAAAAGCAAATATATAGTTGACTAGCACTTCAGACTTAGGTGTATCACATAATTATATAAGTTTAGAGATTGAGAAAAGGAACTCTTCACATTTTATTGGTCCTGTCTTCTTCCTTCCATGTGTCTTCATGAAGGCTTTTATAGCATCTTTGACAGACAGGCATATATTTCTCTACTGCAGTATATGGAATTTAAATTACCTCAACTATGGATACTTTGACTTTTTAAAATAGAAATGTTATTTTTATTTTACTATGAACTTCTTCAAACATTACTTAAACATTTCTTTGATAGCCCTCACTATCCTTCAGTGTAGATGGACTTGGCAGAGATGGAATCTGGAGACAAGCAGTGTTCGTAACAAGAGAGTTTGTTGAGCTTTACACTTTGTGCTCTCAGAAACCGCATCAGAGACTAGGGTGGATAGTAGGCATTTACCTAAAATGAACTTAGAATCATTTCCAAAACGACTGGAAATAAAAACCTAGGCTCCAAACTGAATTAGAAAATAGAAGTAGTAGTCAAGTATGTACAACTGTACTAGGGAATAAGTAAGTAAATTAGAAAGATTTGCATTTTTCGCTGCTGAATTATTATCTCAGTGCACATGTATTTGGCTTACTTAACAGGTTATCTTTCACTCTTTCACATATATCGATAAGAAATGGAGAAAAATTCAATTACTGTTTACTTTGTTTTCTTAAGTACCACCCCATACATTTATTTACTTTTGAATTATTTGTCTTTAGAGCAAATTTTAGTATCAATGCTGGTTAATATAATTAAGGTTGATCCTTGAACAATGCAGTGGTTAGGGGTGCCGACCCCCTCCCTGCCATGTAGTTGAAAATCCCCATATAACCTTTGATTTCCCAAAAACTTAACTATGGAATAGCCTACTGTTGACTAGACGCCTTACCATAACATAGATGATTAACACATATTTTCTATGTTATATGTATTATATACTGTTTTCTTACAATAAAGTGAGCTAGAGAAAAGAAAATGTGATTAAGCAAATCATAAGGGAGAGAAAATACATTTACAGTACTGTACTGTAAAAAATCTGCACGAGTGGACCTATGCAGTTCAAACCCTTATTGTTCAAGAGTCAACTGTATTATCTTATATCAGACTTGTGAGGTTTCCATCATATATAGCTAGGGTTTAGAAAATTGGATTTGAGGCCACCTGGGTGGGAGTGGGAGAGGGAGAAGCAGGCTCCCCGCCAAGCAAGGAGCCTGATGTGGGGCTCGATCCCAGGACCCCGGGATCATGACCTGAGCCAAAGACAGATGCTTAATGACTGAGCCACCCAGGCGCCCCGAGAGTCAGCCTTATAAGCAGGCCCTTCTAACACACCCTTCCATCATAAAAGTGAACCTGCCCTTCCATATAACAAACAATAGCCATAAATACAATTATCCCACATGACAAATGAAATAATAAGGAAGACAGCATTGACATTTTATGACTTTTTTTTTGAAATGTCATTTTAATGAGAAATGTATGTATTTGTTAGGTATACTGTTTACAGAAAGAACTAAAGATAAAAAATCATAGTCTTCAAGAGACTGCTGAGCAGAATCTTATTCTACAGCATACTCTTCAGCAACAGCAGCAAATGTTACAACAAGAGACAATTAGGAACGGAGAGCTAGAAGACATTCAAACTAAACTTGAAAAACAGGTATATCTTATTGGTCAACATAGTTTCACTTATATGAAATAGAAATTTTAAAAATCGATAATAAGTATTTTGTTATATTGCTATTTACCTCACAGGTTTCATATTATAAGAAATATTCTGTGTTAACATTGAAAAATGGGTGAAGTTCTATTTGAGTGTGTTCTAACCTGCATCTCTAATACCATGGGCACATTTTTGTCATCCATAAAACTTAGTTATAATTTAGACTTTTTCATTCCATCATGTTTTTGGATCAGGATGCATGATAATCCTTAAGGATATGCTAAAGCAGTGCACTACAAGAAAAATCCCAAAGGAAACTACTTACTTCTAAAAATGTTATTACTCCAGTGAAAGAATCCTAGGAATTTTATACTAGAATCAAATCTTTCCTCTTTCATTCATTACCAGTTCATCTGAAATCTTCAGACAGATAATTCCTATTTTTTGAGTTGTTTTTCTTTTTCAAACTTTACAAAAATGTATAAATTAGGAAATGATAGTTCCCTGTAATCTCACAACACCTCACCTTTTGTCATTTGGATGGCTTTTTATCTACATATTCTGAATTCATCCTCAGCCTCTCCAGTGCAACTAAAGAATCCCTCAATACATTCAAACATATCAGGCAGGTATTCTCTATTTTCTTTTTTTTTAGAGACAGCTGTTCTGTGGCTCTCCATCCCTTTTGTTAAAGTCTAGACCTCTTGCTTGCTATGCTTGTTGTTCAGCTTCATCTGGAAGCATTTCTTCATATCTGTGTTTGATTCCCACTTCCTAAGTCCCTTGTTGTTGTCTCTGGCTTGTAGAATTGATTAAAATTCTTGTTCTTTCTGAAGTCATTTTCATTTCCATAATAATTTTATGGTTCTCTCTCTTTTTTTTCCCCCTTAAATCTACCAGTTCATTTATATTTTTCATTTGGTAAATTCTTTTTCTTCTTGATCTTTGTTTTAAGAGATTTTTGTATGTTCTTTAACTTCTTTGAGGGTCTAAAGAAGTTTATATCTAAAAATTTCTGTAGTATTTGGAGTAAGTTTTCCATTGTATACAGTATTCTCTTTGTGCCTTTCATTCATATTCCTCTGTGCATAGATTCCATGTTAGATTCTTTCAGATTATTACTCATCTTTAGATTCTTTCTGCTTATGAGTGTGCTATTTAATAAAACACAGAGTAGATGGGTTTTGGTGATTCCCTTTAGTTTTAACACTGGGTACTATTTTAATTTTATTCTTGAAACTTGAGTTAGAGGTGTGGATATTAATAACTTATAATCTGTATTTAGTTCTCTAGTGAGAGGTTTTAGAAGAGCAGAGAGGATATTAAAGTCATTAGGCAGAGATTAACTTGAAGAGCACAGTCATGTAAATGTTCATTGAAAACATGGAGTGGCTGAGATTAACTAGGGAGAAAATACAGAATGAGAGGTGAGAAGATTGACTTGGGCAGATGTCTGTGAGATACGGCACATAGAAGCCAAAGTAAGTATTTCATGAAATTAAGAATGATCATTGGTGTCATGGGCTGCTGAGATCAATATCAAGTAGAATGAGGGTTGAGAAATGTCCACTAGAATTACCAACATGGAGGTCATTAGTGACATTGCTCAGTTTCTATAGAAAATGGCTACATTGCTTTGGGTTGAGGAATGAATGAGAAGTGAGAAGATGATACAACAAGCATAGAAAACTGAGAAATTGGGCTTTGAAGAGGAGGAAAGAAAGGGTGGTGGTGGTAGTTGGAGGAGGTAGAGGTTTGGGTAGTTTTTTATGATGGAAATGTCTTGAACATGTTTAAATGCTAATATAAAGAAGCCAGAAGGAGAGAGTAGTGATAGTCAATAGTATGAGTTCCTGAGAAAGTGGATAGGTTCCTGAGAAAATGAACCCAGGACGCCAGTGAAGCAATTTGACTTATATAGGAGGAAAAATACCTCCCTCACTATAGGCGAACAGAGGAAATAATGAATAGGAGCAAATGCAAGTGGTAACATTTGAGGGCAGTTGGGAATTGAGAAATCCTTCAGTGAATGAGCCAGTTTGTGAAGAAGGAAAGCAACATAGTTTGACAGGCGAAGAAAACATTTCACATGGGGATAATGAAAGGGGAAACATTAACCATTATTTTGTTCAATTCTTGTAAATCCTATTTTAGTGTTACGATGTGGCTACTTCTATAAATAGGTATATGAATGAAATATCTTCCACGAAGTTAAGTTTTGCTTTTTTATTTCCAAAACATTTGCTTTCTGGTCTGTACTTTGAGTTTTATAATACATCTTGAAACTGAATGATAGGCTAGACTACATATTTATATATATTTTTTTCTTCCAAAGACTATTATGTGACACATTCCAAAAAATGTGACTGAACTTAAAATACTTAAACTTATTTTTACAAGGTATCGAAACTGGAACAAGAGCTTCAAAAACAAAGGGAAAGTTCAGCTGAAAAGTTGAGAAAAATGGAGGAGAAATGTGAAGCAGCCACACATGAAGCCGATTTGAAAAGGCAAAAAGTTATTGAGCTTACTGGTACTGCCAGGTAAAATGAATATGTTACTTTTTCTTTTTCTTCCTATTTCAACATCAACAAAAAATATTGATTCAAAGAGAATCAGTTCTATTGAGGCTAATATTAGCACTTGTTTACTTAGTGAATATCACTTTGGAGTTACCAACAAATGGACCTAAAACTTTCTTTCACTATGTTGATTTGTCTATAGGTAGAGGATCTTCCATGTTGGAATAAGCTCAGGACTGACTGAAAGTTAGTAAACCTGATTCTCTCACTGTTAATAACTATTTGTCTTATCCCAGACGAGTCACTAACCTTCCAGTTACCTCATCTGTAAAGCAAGAAAGTTGCACTAGTTCTGGAAATCTCTAGTCCCTTGTAAAGCTAAAAAGGATAACATAAATAATAAAGGTCTGAATAAAAATAACTGACTTGATTCTCCTATGAGTAGTATTGTCATTATGGTGAATATTTTGATTGCTTGGCTTCCTTAGTTTCTGTGTTGCAGATAACAGAAATTCCAGATGAATGAGATACCTATCCATGGATGTTCTCAGTATACAAAGCTTTTCACAAGCTAACTGTAGTTAGATTGAAAAGACGGCTAGCCTTGCTAAATATTACCAGGTAGCACAGTCGTACCTAGTGGTACATAATTGGTGCAGAATTACAATCTTTTAGTTGGAGCATTTTTAATAATATGACCTAAGTGTGACCTAGTATTCTGACTAGATGTTTTGCTGATATTTGCCCTTATATAACTTGCAGATTTTGTTTAGTCAGAGACAAGTCAGTTGGCTTTTAGGTTTCCAAATTATCGTTTATTAATTGTTTTATTTTTTGTTTTTAACTAGGCAAGTAAAACTTGAGATGGATCAGTACAGAGAAGAACTCTCTAAAATGGAAAAAGAAATAATGTACCTAAAAAGAGATGGAGAAAATAAAGCAATGCATCTCTCTCAGTTAGACATGATCTTAGAACAGACAAAGACAGAACTAGATAAGAAGACAAATTCTGGTAAGCAACATGTTAGCTGAGCTTATCTGCCTGTATATTTATATTTAAAAAGTAGAATAATAAAGTGAGAATTTGGGTTAGTAGGACTGGAAGGGACAATGAGTGGTCAGTTTTTGCCTCTTGTAGATGAATAAAATTGGATATTCTTAATTATAATTATTTACAAATTTTTAATAACAGATTGTTTTTATGTAGTTCTAAAATTATTTTTTCCTTTTAACAGTGAAGGAATTAGAAAAATTACAGCACCACACTGAAACTGAACTAACAGAAGCTTTGCAGAAACAGGAAGCATTAGAGTCTGAACTCCAAAATGCGCATGGAGAGTTAAAAAGTACTTTAAGACAACTTCAGGAATTGAGAGATGTACTACAGAAGGCTCAATTATCATTAGAGGAAAAATACACTACTATAAAGGATCTCACAGCTGAACTTAGGTGCGTTAAATAGTAAGAAATGATATCACAATTACAGGTATTTCACTTTATTACTCTGACTTCTTGGGTCATACAGTAAAGTTTACTATTTAATCCTAGATGTCTAAATTTCTCAACTGTCTTTGGCTCTGTGTTGTTCATCCCAGTCAGCCTGTCCCATGCTCCATCTAACTAATTCAGCCATTCCTCATGACTAATATTTCTATCCTTGGTCTTTGGACATTATATATTTCACCCTCTCCTATATTATATAGTGGTAAAAAATGATTGGAACAGCATACAGCAGTGGTTAATAGCAAAATAATGTTAGTAATGACAATGTTTTCTTTGTATTAAGACCTTATTTTGTGCCAGGATTATGCCAGGGGCTTCCTATATGATCTGACTCATTTCTTTACAATAAACCTATCATATACATATTACTACCTTTTTATACTTGAGAAAACTGAGGCTTGAGAAAATTAAGTAAAATACCCAAGGTCACATAATCAGGTCCGGAGAAGGGAGTTAAACACAAGTTTGTCCAACTCTAAAATCTGGGTTCTTAGATTAGCAATGATAGCATAAAATGCTGTTCCAGCACACATCTATGGTGAGTGGGGGTGGAGAGCCAGACGAGAACCAAGGTGTGGGAAATAGATTCCAGAAAGGAAAACAGAATTACAAACCAGGATGTGAAATGTGGGATGACAGGACAGAGAGCAGCAAGAGGACCCAGGAACTTAGATGTATCCCATGACTCAGTGCAGGACCCCGTCTTTTTTCTACCCACAAATTCATTCTTAGGAAATTTCATATAAGTTTAAATACTGTGTGTCAGACTTCCAGACCCACATCTCTAGTAATGACCTCTAGTAATGGCATCTTAAACTTGGCCAAAACACGACTGTTTTTTTTTTCTCCATAACCCTACCCTTCCTCCATCTCAGAATCATGCAGTTGGAGCACAACCAGAAATCTGAAAGATTAGTCTTATCTCTTTGCCTGTCTCTTTTTTTCTTCCAACCTATTAGAAATTCATGTCAACTTTATTTCCAAAACATATTCTGAAATCCATTGATTTCTTGGCCTCTTTTCTGTTACCACCTTAGCATAAGCCATCATCATCTCTCACCTGGTCTGTTGCTGTGGTTTCCCTAATGGTCTCCCAACTTAAATGCCAGACCCTCCCCAAAGTCCATTTCAGTTTATGGAGTAAGTTTATGATTTAAAACATAACAGAAATGGACTTAAGTTTATTATTTAACACATAAATCAAATTATATTGTGTCCCTACTTAACCCTTACAATGGCTTCCCAAAATACTCAGAATAAAATCCAAGCTTCTTGGGAAATGTAAATCAGAACTGCAGTGAGATACTACTTCACACCCTCTCAGATGACCATGATAAAAATAAACAAAAAACCCCAAAACTGAAAATAACAAGTGTTAGCAAGTGTTTAGAGAAATTGGAACCCTCCTACATTGATGTTGGAAAACTAAAATGATACAGTTGCCTGTGGAAAACAGTTTGGCATAGTTAATAAGTCAAATATAGAATTACCATGTAACTCATTAATTCTACTCCTAGTTATTTACCCAAAAGAATTAAAAACATCCTGTTAAAAAAAAATGATGTATAAATGTTCATAGCAACTCTGTTCACAGTAGCCACTAAATGGAAACAACCCAAATATTCATCAGTAGTTGAATGGATAAACACAATGTAATATATCCATATAGGGAATATTATTCAGCCATGAAAAGGAATAAAGTACTGATATCTGCTACAACATAGATGAACCTTGAAAATATTAGGCTAAATGAAATAAACCAGATATGTTTATATAATTCCATTTATATGAAATATCCAGAATTAGCAAATACATAGAGATAGAAAGCAGATTAATGGTTGCTGAGAACTAGGGGGTGGGACAATGGAAAATAACTGCAGATGGGTGTGAAATTTTCATTTGGAGTAATGAATAAGTACTGGAAATAGTGGTGATGGTTACACAACATTGTGAATTTACTTAACGTAACTGAACTGTACACTTTAAAGTGATTAAAATGGTAAATATTATATGTATTTTACCACGATTAAAAAAAAAAAGCCAAGCTCCTTATCATGGAATACAAAGCCCTAGATGATAGGGTTTCTGCCTGTTTCTCTGGCCTCATTTCATATTGTTCCCTTTTCTCCTGGCCTTTTTGTTGGTACTTAAAACTTAGTAAATTTTTCCTACCTTTTGACTTTGCTGTAGCTGTTTCTTTGGCCTGAAATAATGGTTGAATGGCCAACTTCTTGCCCTTCATATTACCTCAGAGGGCCCTTTTCTGACCGCCTACTCTCAAGTAGCCACCCAGGCACTATCTCATCACTGTCTTTAATGCTCTAACATAGCAATTTATTTATTTTTTTTGTTTATTATTTATAGTCTGTCTTCTCTACTGGACCTATTAGTATGTATGCTCCATGTGATGAAGGACATCTATCTTGTTGGCTATTAAACTCACAGTACATAGAGGCCTGATGTATAGGAAGCATCCAATAAATATTTGCTAAATGGTTAAGTGAATGAGTAGATGAAAGAAGTAAAAATGAAATCTTAAATTCTAGCTGATAGCTGAATTTTTGGAAACTCAGCTATTCACTTATACAATTATCTTTAGAATTCATTTCATAATAACTTATTAATGTAGCCTTGTATTTTATAACTGCTGAAACTTTTTTAAAAAGATTTTTTAAATTTATTTATTTATTTATTTTAGAGAGAGCCTGTGAGCAGGGGGGAGAAGCAGAGAGAGAGGGACAAGCAGACTCTGCACTGAGCGCAGAGCCTGATGAGGGGCTTGATCCCATGACCCTGGACATCATGACCTGAGCCTAAATCAAGAGTTGGTCACTCAACTGACTGAGCCACCCAGGCACCCCCTAACTGTTGAGACTTTTAAGAGAATAGTAAATAGTTCATTAAAGAAATTCACAATCTGCTTTTTAAAATCAGTACCTTTGTTCAATATTGTTCATATTTAAGTCTGGAAAACTATATGAAAGATTTTTGAGATCAACATTTTTAGCCTTTGTCATATCAAAACATAGAGTTCCAAATTAAAATTCTTTGATTGCATTCTCTGATCTGAGTAGTAGAAGTCTTAAAGTTGTGTCAGTATTAAGCATTTTTATAATATAAAATTATAAATAAGGTTTTAGGAGAGCTAGAGTTTACAAAAAAAAATGTTTCTATATTAGACTTCAATACTTCACTATATGTAAGGCGTCATTTGAGTAAAATCCCCATGAGAAACACAGTGGTCATTGACTGAGCTGTGGATATCAGAGATACCAACCATGAGATAAATGCCTCATTCAAATGTAATAAACTCACAGCTAGTATATGGAAACGACTTTCAAATGCTCCCCTGATCTGTAAATGAAAAATATGGACATATTTTAAAAATTCTTATACTGATTCAGTTTTATATCTTGGGAGTACTTTAACATTTAGCTTAAATTGTCTACAGTAGTAGTGTTTGAGTTAACTTTTGCCTTTTGAGAATACTTTATTAAAGTAACTGTTGATACCAGTCATTTTCTTTATTCAGTATTTCTTTAATTTGAGCCCTTTCAAAGGTCAGAAATAATGGCATATATTTTATCACTTTTAGCTTACAGGACGCTATCCCAATCGACTTAATTTTTTAAAACTATAATATTCCTACTATTTGCTTTGATCTTTTTCCTTTGATAAATTGCAGAGAATGCAAGATGGAGAATGAAGATAAAAAGCAAGAACTCCTTGAAATGGATCAGGCACTTAAGGAGAGAAATTGGGAACTAAAGCAAAGAGCAGCTCAAGTTGGTTTTCTTAATTATATTTAATGAAATTTTCTTTTACAGTACAATCATGCAGGGTTTTAGAGATCGCCACTTTTTGGTAAAATGGACCTTTTTAAAGCATATATGTTTTTCTGTGCACATTAATATATAAAAAATTATAAATATGTCATCTTTCTTCATCTTGCTATTTTTTTTTTAAGATTTTTATTTATTTATTTGACAGAGAGAGACAGTGAGAGAGGGAACACCAGCAGGGGGAGTGGGAGAGGGAGAAGCAGGCTTCCTGCTGAGCAGGGAGCCGTATGCGGGGCTCCATTCCAGGACCCTGGGATCATGATCTGAGCTGAAGGCAGATGCTTAACAACTGAGCCACCCAGGTGCCCCCATCTTGCTATTTTTATAGAAAGTCAATTTTTGAGAATGAAGGTTAGCTTAGTATCTGAACTTTTTGATCTCTTACATTATTGCATATCCCAAGACAACGGGATTAAAGGAGTTATTGTAACTCCTTTAATAGTGTGTTTGTTGGAGGAACAAAACTATTCAAAAGGCATCTTTTTTAAAGACTTTCTTAGATCAGTTTTAGGTTCACAGTGAAATTGAGCAGAAGGTACAGAGATTTCCCATATACACCTTGCTACCATAAATGCACAGCCCTTGGAGCAGTTCCTATCTGCTGCTAAGGTTTCCACTAGAGACGCAAGAAAAAAGTGTCCTCACACTTTCTGTCTGTCTCATTGTGGCAGTCAAGATTGAATGGGGGAGTGCAGGGAAAAACCAAAAGAATATCTGCAAATCAAAAGTAACTTTGTCAACAATGAAATCTTGTTTTACTCCAAAAAATAAATAAATAAATAAATAAATAAATGCACAGCCTTCCCCATTATCAACATTCCCCACCCAGGTGGTACGTTTGATAATAGTTGAGGAACCTACACATTATAATCATCCAAACTCCATAACTTACATTACAATTCACTCTTGGTGCGTACATTCTGTGGGTTTGGACAAATGTTTAATGACATGTATCCATCATTATGGTATCGTCCAGGGTATTTTCAAGCCCTAAAAATTTTCTTTGCTCCACCTTTATCCTTCTTCCTCTTCCCCCATCCCTAGCAACCACTGATCTTTTTTATTGTCTCCATCATTTTGCCTTTTCCAGAATGTCATATAGTTGAAATCATATAGTACATAGTCTTTTCATATTGGCTTCTTTCACTTAATAATATTCGTTTAAGTTTTCTCCACATCTTTTTGTTACTTGATAGCTCATTTCTTTTAGCACTGAATAATATTCCATTGTCTAGATGTACTACAGTTTACTTATCCATTCACCTACTGAAGGGCATCTTGGTTGCTTCCAAGTTTTGACAATTAAATGAATAAAGCTGCTATAAACATCTGTGTGCAGGTTTTTGTGTGGACATAAGTTTTTGACTCCTTTTGGTAATTACCAAGGGGCATGATTGCTGGATCATATGGTAAGAGTATGTTTAGTTTTATAAGACACTTCCAAACTGTGTTCCCAAGTGCCTTGTACCATTTTGCATTCCTACCAGCAATGAATGTGAATTCCTGTTGCTCCACATCCTGGCTAGCATTTGGTGTTGTCAATGTTTTGGATTTGGCCATTCTCATTAGTGTGTAGTGGTATCTCCTGGTTAATTTGCACTTCTTAGATGACAGCATATGATATGGAGGGTATTTTCCTGTGCTTATTTTCTCTCTTTATATCTTTTTTGGTGAGGTGTCTGTTACAGTCTTTGGCTCATTTTTTAATTGAGTTGTTTGTTTTCTTACTGTTGAATTTTAAGAGTTCTTTGTATATTTTGGATACAAGTCCTTTTTCAAATGTGTCTTTTGCAAATATTTTATTCCAGTTTGTGGGTTTAATTCACAATCTTTTGACATTGGCTTTCACAGAGCAGAAGTTTTTAATTTTAATGACATCCAACTTATTATTTCTTTCATGAATTATGCCTTTGGCTTTGCATCTAAAAAGTCATCACCCAAGGTCATCCAAGGCTTTCCTCTATGTTATCTTATAGAAGTTTTATAGTTTTGCAAGTTACATCTAGGTCTGTGATCCATTTTGAGTTAATTTTTGTGAAGGGTGTGGTGTAGACTCATTTTTTTCCATGTCGTTGTCCACTTATTCCAGCACCATTTGTTGAAAAAACTATTTTTTCTCCATTGTATTGCCTTTGCTCCTTTGTCAAAGGTTAATTAACATATTTAGTTTCTGGATTCTATTCTGTACAATTATTTATTCACCTGTGTTTTGCCAGTACCAAGGTCTGTTTACTGTAGCTTTTTAGTGTCTTGAAGTCAGGTAATGTCACTCTTCCAACTTGGTTCTTCTTCAGTTATCATGTTGGATATTCTGGGTGTTTTGCCTCTCCATGTAAATTTTAGGATCAGTTTGTCAATATCCACAAATTAACTTGCTGGAATTCTGATTGGAATTGCCTCGAATGTTTAGATTTAGTTGGGAAGAACTGACATCTTGAATCTTTTTTTTTTTTTTTTTAAGATTTTATTTATTTATTTGACAGAGAGAGAGATAGTGAGAGCAGGAAACAAGCAGGGGGAGTGGGAGAGGGAGAAGCAGGCTTCCTGACGAGCAGGGAGCCCGATGTGGGACTCGATCCCAGGACCCTGGGATCATGACCTGAGCCAAAGGCAGACGCTTAACGACTGAGCCACCCAGGCGCCCTGACATCTTGAATCTTGAAAATATTGAGTCTTTCTATCCATGAATAAGGACTCTCTCTCTATTTAATTCTTTGATTTCTTTCATTAGAGTTTTGTAGTTTCTTTATAGATCTTGATATATTTAGCTTGATTTATACCTAAGTATTTTGTTTTGGGGAGTGCTAATGTAAATCATATTATGTTTTAAATTTCAAATTCCTCTTGTTTATTGCTGGTATATAGGAAAGTGACTGATTTTGTGTACTCCTTGTATCCTTCAATCCTGCTATAATCACTTATTAGTTCTAGGAATTATTTTGTCAAATCTTTTGGATTTTCTACCTAGATGATTATGTCATCTATAAACAAACATAGTTTTGTATTCCTTTCTAATATGTGTATCTTTTATTTCTTTTTCTTGTCTTATTGCATTAGCTAGGACTGCTAGAACAGTGTTGAAAAGCAGTAGTAAGAGAGAATATCCGTGCATTGTATCTGATCTTAGTGGGAACGTTTTGAGTTTCTCACCATTAAGTATGATGCTAGCCTGTTGTTTTTCTATAGATACTCTTTATTAAGTTGAGGAAGTTCCCTTCTATTCCTTGTTTACTGAGAGTTTTTATCATGAAGGTGTGTTGAAATGTCTTTGTCTGGTTTTGGTATTAGGGTAATACTGGCCTCATAGAATGAGTTAGAAGTATTTCCTCTGCTTCTGTCTTCTGAATTGGATTGCAGAGAATTGGTATAATTTCTTTCTTAGATTTTGGTAGAATTCACCAGTGAGCCCATCTGGACCTGCTGCTTTCTGTTTGGGAAAGTTATTAATCGTTACTTTCTTTAATATATATATATAAGCTTATTTAGATTGTCTCTTCCTGTGTGAGTTTTGGTAGATTCTATCTTTTAAGTAATTGGTTCGTTTCATTAGTTTTATTAAATTTGTGGTCAGAGAGTTGTTATAGTATTCCTTATTATCCTTTTTTAAAGATTTTATTTATTTATTTGAGAGAGAGAATGAGAGAGAGCACATGAAAGGGGGGAGGGTCAGAGGGAGAAGCAGACCCCCTGCTGAGCAAGGAGCCTGATATGGGACTTGATCCCGGGACTCTAGGATCAGGACCTGAGCCGAAGGCAGTCGCTTAACCAACTGAGCCACCCAGGCGCCCCCTTATTATCCTTTTAATGTCTATGAGAGTTTTAGTAATGTCTTCTCTTTCATTTCTGATATTAGTAATTTGTGTCCTCTCTCTTTTTTTCTTAGCCTGGCTAGAGGCATATTGGTTTTATTGATCTTTTCAAGAATCAGCTTTTGGTTTTGTTAATTTTCTCTGTTGATTTCCTAATTTTAATTTTACTGATTTCTGCTTTAATTTTTATTATTTCTTTTCTTCTGCTTACTTTGGATTTAATTTCTTCTTCTTTTTCTAGTTTCCCAAAGTAGTCGCTTAAGTGATTGATTTCAGGTCTTTCTTCTTTTCTAATACATGCATTCAGTGATGTACATCTTCCTCCAAACACTGCTTTTTCTGCATTCCACAATTTTTGTTATGTTGCATTGTATTTAGCAGCTTTTATTTAGCATAAAATGGAGTCTAAATCATTTATTTGTTATTTATGAACATAGTTGTATCTTTTCTTTAAGTTTCTGTAATACATATGAGCCTGAAGATTCAGTATTAATAAGCAATGAATATTTTTTTCATTTTGTAAAATAATTTGAGGTGAGTTTATGTTTCAGTTATACCTACTGTAAACAATTTTAAGACACATTCTAAGCACACAGTTTTTCACATTAGAATAAAGTCGAGTAATAGCTTAATGTTACTTTTTTTTTTAAGATTTTATTTATTTATTTGACAGAGAGAGACACAGTGAGAGAGGGAACACAAGCAGGGAGTGGGAGAGGAGAATCAGGCTTCCTGCCAAGCAGGGAGCCCGATGGAGGGCTCGATCCCAGGGCCCTGGGATCATGACCTGAGCTGAAGGCAGACGCTTAATGACTGAGCCACCCAGGCACCCCTTAATGTTACTTTTGTATTAACCATCAGAGACTCTTAATCTCAGGAAACAAACTGAGGGTTGCTGGAGTGGAGGAGGGTGGGAGATATGCGGTGGCTGGGTGATGGACATTGGGGAGGGTATGTGCTATGATGAGCACTGTGAATTGTGTAAGACTGATGAATCACAGACCTGTACTCCTGAAACAAATAATGCATTTTATGTTAATAAAAAAAAAAATGTTACTTTTGTATTTAGGTTACACATTTGGATATGACTATTCGTGAACACAGGGGAGAAATGGAACAGAAAATAATTAAATTAGAGGGTACTCTGGAGAAATCAGAATTGGAACTTAAAGAATGCAACAAACAGGTAAATTATTTAAAATTACATATTTTATATTGTTTTGGAAAATAACTCAACTGTAAGCATCTATTATTCACATAATACGGCTTTTTTTAATAGAATACATACAATAAAAATACTACTTTTTTTTTTTTAAAGATTTTATTTATTTATTTGACAGAGAGAGAGAGACAGCGAGAGAGGGAACACAAGCAGGTGGAGTGGGAGAGGGAGAAGCTGGCTTCCCGCGGAGCAGAGAGCCCGATGCGGGGCTCGATCCCAGGATCCTGGGATCATGACCTGAGCCGAAGGCAGACGCTTAATGACTGAGCCACCCAGGCACCCCAATACTACATAATTTTAATCACCTTGTACATGCTATTTTAAATTCATTTTTCTCGGGCACCTGGGTGGCTGGCTCAGTCATTAAGCGTCTGCCTTCAGCTCAGGTCATGATTCCAGGGTCCTGGGATTGAGCTCTGCATAGGGCTCCCTGCTGAGCGGGAAGCCTGCTTCTCCCTCTCCTAGTCCCCCTGCTTGTGTTCCCTCTCTCACTGTCTCTCTCTCTCCCGTCAAAAAAAAAATAAAATCTTTAAAAAATAAATAAATAAGTAAATTCATTTTTCTCCTCTTAATTTTCCCCAGTTTTATTGACATATAAATGACGGAAATTGCATATATTTGAGGTGTACAACATGTTTGATATATATTTACACTGTGAAGTAGTTATCACAATCAAGCTAATTAACATATCCGTCACTTCAGTTATTTTAATTATTTATTTTTGCTGAGAATGCTTAAGGTCTATTCTCTTAGCAAATTTCAAGTATACAATACAGTATTACTAACTATAGTCATACGCTGTACATTAGATTTCCAGAATTTACTCAGCCTGTATAACCAAAACCTTATATGCTTTGAACAACATTTCCTCATTTTCCTCACTCCCTAGCCCCTGATGATTACCCTCTTCATGTTATTTTGAATGTAGTTTTTCTTGTCTCAGTGTGTCCACATATTTATCATCATGTGTGCATGTTTGAATATGTATAAAGTATCTCTGGAAGGATTTGTAATTCTCTTAACTGTGGTTGCCCCTAAGGAAGAAACCCAGTGGGAAGAGGACTTTGTTTTCACTAACTATATTTTTCACCTCTTGTACATATTACCTGTAAAATTACTTGTGAGGTCATGTAACATCTGTTGTTTTAATGTACTCTAATTTTCCTTTCTTATACAAATGTGATTGAGATTTTCATCTCTTTTAGTATATTTTAGGTATACAAGGTATATCTTATTAAGCATAAGAATTCTGATATTAATGTCTTGAGTTATGGTGGTCTTAAGAAAAACACATTTTTATATTTTGCTATTGTATATGTGTTTGACTTACTTGGACTGCATTTATGATTAAACAGCTATTTTTCCTTAGTTACATTGATATTGCTCTGTTTAAAATTCAGATAGAAAGTCTGAATGAAAAATTGCAAAATTCCAAAGAACAGCTTCGAGAAAAAGAGTTTATAATACTACAAAATGAACAGGAGATAAGTCAACTGAAAAAAGAAAATGAACGAACACAACAAAAGATGAAAGAAATGGAAAATGTAAGCACATTATTTTCTGCCTAAGGAACAGAGTAATATTATCTAAAAAGTGATATAAATCTTTGTTTTAAACTGGTTGGTTTTAAAATATAGAAACTGTGCCATAAGTATTTTTAGGCTAATTATTTGTGTCAGATAATTATTGGTTTCTTTGATCTTTTTAAATATTTTACTCTGATGTTCCAATTATAGGCAAGGACATCATCTTACTTTATACTGCCTACAGGCATTGGCATGGTATCTCTCACATAGTAAACCCACGATATGTGCTTACTTGGTCAACAGATATTTATTGAGAACCTACTATGTAATAGAGCTGGAGATACAGATATTAATAAGATACACTCGTTTGTCCTTGAGGAACTCAAGGAACTCAGAGAATGAATGAACAGATAATAATTGTACATTATTGAGACCAAATACATTGAGTTAGTTGCCAGATGAAGTTTGATGACTTCGTGTTATCAGTTTGCATGTGTGTTGACTGGTGAACCCATTCTACCCACTTGCCTTTTTAAAAAGTGAATTTGCTTCCAAGAGCTCTCATATATGTAACTTTTTTGTTTTTAAATACTATACTCAACTTTAAAACTTCACATATAGCTCTTTATTGTGTTTTATTATCTGTCTCCTCCAGTAGGATATAAAATCCTTAAGGGTAGCCACTTTGTCTCATTTGCTCACTCCTAAGTCCTCAATACCTAAAACAGCACATATCACATAGTAATCATGAATAAATATTTGTTGAATTATATACATAAATTAAGCAGGGTCTGTGCGAGCAAATTTGGGCCCCAAGGAAAAGAAAATGATTACTGGCCCAGTCATTTCATGTTCCCTAACAAAGGCCAACTAAAAATATTTACATGAGATTTATACTGATATATAATACAGTTGGACCCAATGTCCCCATTCCAGACATCAGGGTCCTAATGATTTGTACTCATTTCTTTCCTTCTTATCAGCCCTAAAGTCAATTACCTATCTTCTAATATCCCTCACCGAGCTAATTTAGAACTAACTAAAAATCAGAACTAACTGATTTTTTTTTTTCTCTAAGAACACAGTACTTTACTAGGGATTTAACTGAGTAATGTAGAAATGTTTCAGAAGGAGTAGCAGTCCCAGTGGCAGATTTTACTTTTACAGAGAATAAGCTCATGACCTTAACCCAAACTTGTGGATTAATGGTGGGTTTTGGTTATTCGTGCCAATATATTCTCCATCTGTGAAATGGATAATCAGTTATTAGCTTCTTTTGTCTCTTTATATTATTATGTATTCTGCCACGTTATAGTCATAATGATAAAGGTTTATACAGCTTGCACATAAGTCATGCAAAATATACCAGTTAGTCCCAGATTTATTATAGTACATTTTCTTATCATTAAAAAGGAAAAAAAAAACATTTTCTGAGTATCAGTTTCACAGTGGATGATATTGTGTGTTAAATTTTATAGAGATCGAGTTGGGTTGGGGAAATTAATTAAAAGAAATCAGAATAAGAAATAGGTTATCTATATCATTTCATTTTGAAAACTTACAAATATCTTGTGTATGTATTTCAGGTTATGAAAGAACAGGAACAGTACATTGCAACTCAGTACAAGGAGGCCATAGATATGGAGCAAGAATTGAGGCTAACTCGAGAGCAGATGCAGAACTCTCATGCAGAATTGTTGGAGGCTCGTCGTCAACAAGTCCAAGCACAGAGAGAGGTAGAAAGGCTGTCAAGTGAACTGGAGGAAATAAAGCAACTCTCTAAAGAAAAAGTAATCCCTATTCTAAATAATTTTACCTTACTAAAAATCTTTAAAATTTTAGCATTTACTTTTTTAAATTGTAGATTATATTAACTGTTACACACAGTGAATGTATTTAATACTACTGAATTTTACACTTAAAACTGGTTAAAGTGGTAAATTTTATGTTATGTATATTTTAGTAAAATTTTATGAAGAAAAATGTTATATTTAGTGTAGCCTAGTAATATAAGTAGGAAGACCTTCAGAAATGAGTTTTGGCCAAACTAATTAGTTTTCAATAAATTAAGTTACAAAGTACTTTTAGAGGGAGAAGCAGGCTTCCTGCAGAGCAGGGAGCCCTACGTGGGGCTGGATCCCAGGACTCTGGGATCATGACCTGAGCCAAAGGCAGACGCTTAACGACTGAGCCACCCAGGAGCCCCAAAGCTAATCTTTTTTGAGTAAAATTTTTACATTTGTAGCTACTGTTAAAAGTGAAATCTAAATTTATAACTGTTATGAAATCTGTAGTCCAGAACCCTTAGGGAGAGAAAGTGCTTTTAATAGCAAGAACAATAATATAAATTGTATTTCCCCAGTATTTGGTAGAAGGTTAACAATTTTGCTTAAAAATACTTAGATTGATATCCTTGGGTTAATTACTTAGACTTTGAGAAAAATGTATTTATTGAGTTTTAGAAAAGTGCCTGTGAGTCTTCTGCTTTTTATTATGCTTACTAATATAGTATAGGAATTGCATTAAAGTATCTTTACATTTAATTTTGGTAAACAATGCTTTTATTCACACATCTGGTTGGTTAGACTAATAAAGAATATAGGGCATCTGGGTGGCTCAGTTGGTTAAGCGACTGCCTTCGGCTCAGGTCATGATCCTGGAGTTCCTGGATCGAGTCCCGCATCAGGCTCCCTGCTCGGCGGGGAGCCTGCTTCTCCCTCTGACCCTCCCCCCTCTCATGTGCTCTCTCTCTCATTCTCTCTGTCTCAAATAAATAAATAAAAATCTTAAAAAAAAAAAAAAAGAATATATAAGGGGGGGTGCCTTGGTGGCTCAGTTGGTTAAGCGTCTGCCCTGGACTAGGTCATGACCTGGGATCGAGCCCTGCATCAGGCTCCCTGCTCAGCGGGGGGTCTGCTTCTCTCTCTCTACCTCTGCCCCTCCCCCACTCATGCTCGTGCTCTCTCTCTCAAATAAATAAAATCTTTTTTTTAATAGGTTCATAAATTACATCTTTTTTTGAAAGATCTTATTTATTTAAGAGAGAGAGAGCGAGCATGGGCAGGGGGATAGGCAGAGGGAGAGGCAGACTCCCCACTGAGCAGGGAGCCTGACACAGGACCCAATCCCAGGACCCTGGGAACACGGGCCAAAGGCAGACGCCCAACCAACTAAGTAACCCAGGCCCCTCTAAAATCTTTTTTTTTAAAAAAGAATATATAAGGAATTTTTATTAGAATATGTTGGCATTTGGAAGTCTCCTAGGAAAAGCTCCTAGGAAGCTATCTACTTTATCTCATCTCTGTCCTTATCAGTAGTATCTAAGTATAGTACAATTGATTTTATGTGGATAAGGTAAGCTCAATTAATCAAAAAAGTGAATGAAAGTGGGGAATTATTTAAAGTGACAGTTTAACATGAAAAAATGCTCAACAGCACTCAGCATCAGGGAAATACAAATCAAAACCATAATGAGATACCACCTCACACCAGTCAGAATGGCTAAATTTAACAAGTCAGGAAACGACAGATGTTGGCGAGGATGTAGAGAAAGGGGAATCCTCTTACACTGTTGGTGGGAATGCAAGCTGGTGCAGCCACTCTGGAAAACAGTATGGAGGTTCCTCAAAAAGGTAAAAATAGAACTATCTGAGGATCCAGCAATTGCACTACTTGGTATTAACTCAAAGGATACAAAAATTCTAATTCAAAGGGATACAGGCACCCTGATGTTTATACCAATATTACCTACAATAGCCAAATTATGGAAAGAGCCTAAATGTTCATCGACTGATAAATGGATAAAGAAGATATAGTATATAGATAAAATGGAACATTATGCAGCCATAAAAAAGAATGAAATCTTGCCATTTGCAATGACATGGCTAGGGCTAGAGAGAACTATGCTAAGTGAAATAAGTCAGAGAAAAACAAATACCATATGATTTCACTCATATGTATAATTTAAGAAACAAAATAAATGAACATGGGTTGGGGAGGAAGAGAGGAAAACCAATTAACAGACACTTAACTACAGAGAACTGATGGTTACCAGAGGGGGAGGTACATGGGAGGATGGGTTAAACAGGTCATGGGGATTAAGAGGGCACTTGTGATGGGCACTGGGTGTTGTGTGTAAGTGCTGAATCACTAAATTCTACATCTGAAACTAGCTTGAATTTAAATGAAACTTGAAAAAGAAAATAAAGTTACTTTTTTCTCCATTTTTTAATTTAAATTCAATTAATTAACATATAATGTATTACTGGTTTCAGAGGTAGAGGTCAGTGATTCATCAGTCTTATATAATACCCAGTGCTTATTATATCATGTGCCCTTAATGTCTATCACCCAGTTACCCCATCCCCCCACCTCCCTCCCCTCCAGCAACCCTCTATTTCCTATGATTAAGAGTCTCTTACGGTTTGTCTCCCTCTCTGGTTTCATCTTGTTTTATTTTTCCCTCTCTTCCCCTATGATCCTGTTTTGTTTCTTAAATTCCACATATCAGTGAGACCATATGAGAACTGTCTTTCTCTGATTGACTTATTTCCCTTAGTTAGCATAATACCCTCTAGTTCCATCCACATCATTGCAAATGGCAAGATTTCGGTTTTTTTGATGGCCGAGTAGTATTCCATTGTATATAAATACCACATTTTCTTTACCCATTCATCTGTCGATGGACATCTGGGCTCTTTCCATAGTTTGGCAATCGTGGACACTGCTGCTGTAAACACTGGGGTGCAGGTGCCCCTTCGGATCACTACGTTTGTATCTTTGGGGTACTCAGTAGTGCAATTGCTGGGTCACAGGGTAGCTCTATTTTCAACTTTTTGAGGAACCTCCATACTGTTTTCCAGAGTGGCTGCACCAGCTTGCAGTCCCACCAACAGTGTAAGAGGATTCCCCTTTCTCTGCATCCTTGCCAACACCTTTTTCTGCATCCTTGTTTCTTGTGTTATCTTTGGCCATTTCGAGGTAGTATCTCACTGTAGTTCTGATTTGTTAAAATGATAGTTTAAAACAAAATATTTCAACTCAAAACTCTAAATATATATTCATGTGTAAATCTTTTAATTTAGGACCAAATCTTGCTTTTTGTGTGTATGGGCAGGGTCTTTGATTAGAATTCCACCTAATCTTTTCGCATTAACCATACTCCTGTTCCCTCATCTATTGTTTCCAATTTTGGTTTCTTTAAAGTAGAAGAAGAATTAAAAGACATTTGTAAATCAGTTAGAATTCAACATCTCTTATATTTTACATGGGGTTTCCCACAATATTTTACAACTATTTGGCTGCTTCTAATTGGGTAAAAAATGTTTATGACTCATTCATTAAGCTGTCTCAAAGCATATAACTTTCTTTTCATATAAAAACTTTCTTTTTGCATGTATATTTCCTCAATGTTCATACATAATGTATATTAGAATTGCATAATTATAATCACAAGCACAACTAGCATAAATAGGTTTGGACAAATACAAAACTTACTCTTTTTTTTTTAAAGATTTTATGTATTTATTTGAGAGAGAGCGTGCGTGCACTCACCAGTGGAGAGAAGGGCAGAGGGGAAAGCAGACTCCCTTCTGAGCGGGGAGCCTGGCAACACAGAGCTCAATCCCAGGACCCTGGGATCATTAAAGGCAGATGCTTAACTGACTGAGCCACCCAGGCGCCCCACAACTGACTCTTGATAAGCAAACAGTGCATCTGGCGAACAAAATGCACAGGCAAACCTTAGAGTAGACTAAGTTCAACCAAAGTTCAACATGCTGTGGTTGTTTTACAGAATGCATTGGTTAGTGAAGTATTATATTATGATAAACAATATACTAATACAGTCCCATTTGTAGTCTCTTAAATGTCTAGATTTTAAAGTGTACCATTTAATAAGTTAACTTTGTATATGAACACTTATATAGTATTATAAAAGATTAAAATACAGGGGTGCCTGGGTGGCTCAGTCAGTTAAGCAGCTGCCTTCGGCTCAGGTCATGATCCCAGGGTCCTGGGATCAAGCCCCACATTGGGCTCCTAGCTCAGCGGGGAGCCTGCTTCTCCCTCTCCCTCTGCCTGCCGCTCCCCCTGCTTGTGCTCTCTCTCTGGCAAATAAATTAAAAAAAAAAAAAAAAGATGAAAATACTTCCATAAATGCACGTGATTGGTTTAGCTATAATAACCAAACAACCTTTCCTTACTATGTCATTTTTAAGGAAGCTCATGGACACCATTTAGCTGAAGAATTGGGGGCTTCTCAAGTACGTGAAGCTCATTTAGAAGCAAGAATGCAAGCAGAAATCAAGAAATTGTCAGCAGAAGTAGAATCTCTCAAAGAAGCTTATCATCTGGAGGTAAAGAAAAATGTAATTTGTTCCAGTACTCCCTGCTAAAGTGGACTATCTGAACAAAAGTATAAGTCTAGCTTCTAAATGTTCATTAGAGAATAACTCATTGTGGTCTTCATTTCTGGTAGCTTAATATAACTTTCACTTCATATCCAGTGAGCTAATACACTGTGGAGTTAAGAGCTTAAATTCTTGAGGCAGGCAGTCTGGTTCCAAATCTCAGCTTACCATTTAGCACTTATGTGACCTTGAGCAATTAACATCTCTGTCTAAAATGGGCATAATAATCATATGTACCTCATAGAACTGGATTAAATGAATTAAATGGATTAAATGAATATAGTTAAAGTTCTTAGACCTGAGGTTGGCTCATCATCATCATCATCAGTTATTAAATAGCGCTTGTCAAAACTAACTGGAGATATTTTGTAAACAACATAAGTAGTTTCATGTGATATGAATTTATAATGCTTTGCAATTTACAATATTTGTTCTGATAGTAAGTTAGAGAGGCAAAATTAGAACCTGATGCTTTTTATCTACTTGCAGGTCCTGAGCCTTTATAGAAATGAGCAGTGTTAGCAATTAGAATAGCATTTCTTGTCTTTTTTGTTGTTGTTACAAAGGCGTTTAGTTTATTCTCATCAGTGTCACTGATATTCCCATGGTTCACATTTCCCAGTGCGGCTACATTTCTTGTCTTTTTGTCTTTTTAAAAATTACATCTAAAGATATCTAAAATGTACGTATTAGACTTAAACTACTTAGGGACTTCTAATAAAACATTTTTCTATATGACAAGGATTACAACCATATTTATATTAAACTCCTTTCAGAGGAGTTTGGGACTATCTTTGTGAGGGATTGGTAGGGCTTGTAGTCACCATGTCTTGGTTAAGTGCGTTTAGATTCTGATCTCTTTGAAAACGTTGTGTCTGCCAAACAAAACGTGTTTGCAAGCTGAATCCAGTTAGCAGGCTAAGAGATTTAAATCCTTGGTCTTTAAAGACAAATGGAATGCTGTTGGATTCAGCATAATTATTTAATAAATAAATATTAGCTACTCAACCCAGGTGACCATCAGTAATAACTAGTCCAGCTCAAGTGTTTACCAGCAAGTATTCTTTGCACTTTTAATAATGTGGTCTCTGTTCTACTTTTATTTCTTATTATCTAATTTTTTACTTTAAGCTTTGTAAGCCCTCTGAAATTATAAGCAGATAGTACATAAAATGAATTGTAAAAATAGGTTTTACTGTTTAATATTTGGTATTGTTTTATATGTAAGATATAAAAATTTGTAATATGTTTTTATCCTCTTTGGTACTTGACAAAGATTTATTTTTAAAGCATGTATGTTGTTTGAATATAAAAATGAAGAAATAAGTCATTAAAGTAACAGTTAGTAAAAAGGATCAATAATTTGTAACAGCATTTAAAAAATTACAGGTTTCAGAATTGTCAGAAAAGTCACTTAATAATAATTGCAAAAGCCCTGATATTTTTTTAAAGATTTTATTTATTTATTTTTACGAGAGAGAGAGAGAGAACACAAGCAGGGGGAGTGGCAGGCAGAGGGAGAGGGAGAAGCAGACTCCACGCTGAGCAGTGAACCCAATGCAGGACTTGATCCCAGGACCCTAGGATCATGATCTGAGCCGAAGGCAGACGCCCAACCGACTGAGCCATCCAGGCACCTCCCCTGATATTTTTGATTAAAAATCTATTTTTTTTCGCCTGGGTGGCTCAGTTGTTAAGCGTCTGCCTTCGGCTCAGGTCATGATCTCAGGGTGGGAGGATCAAGCCCCACATTGGGCTCCCTGCTCTGCAGGAAGCCTGCTTCTCCCTCTCCCACTACCCCCTGCTTGTGTTCCTTCTCTCACTGTCTCCCTCTATCAAATAAATAAATAAAATCTTAAAAAAGAAAAAAAGTTTTTATTATGGAAAATTTTGAAAGAATGGTATGAATCCTCCTAGATTTATTATTCAACTTTAGTAATTATCAGTTTGTGGCCAATGTGATTTCATCTATACTTATGTTGACCATTTCTTTTTAAAAGGGAATAAATACTTTTGAGAATGAAAAAGGGTGCTGTTCATAACTACACCAGGACACGAGGCATAAAACCTGGCCAGTCCACCATATCTTTAACCTCACTCACTTCCCTTCCCCCACATATCTCATTGTATTTTGAAGCAAATCCCAGACATCATTATTTCATCAGTAAACATTTCAATAAGTATCTCTAAAAGATAAGAGGTGTTTTTTAAAAACATAACCACAATACTATTACTACAATTAAAAATTGACAGTAATTCCTTAATATTATCAATTCCCCATCATTTGTTCACATTTTTCCAATTATCACAAAAATGTCTATATAGTTAAGTGCAAATTAGGATAAAAAAAAAACAGCCCATTGTATTTGGTTAACTGTTATTAGGTAATTTAAGACCATAGGTTTCTTCTTCTCCTTTTTTTCCTCTAATAGGTTATTTGTTGAGAAATCAGATGTTTGTAGCTAAAAACAGAATTTACTTCAGTATAAATGGAAGTGAAAAGTATTAGAATGTTTTTGAAACCAACCCCACCCTATTTTTTTCTTTTCTTTTTCAATTCTGGGGCTGTGTAGATGATTTCACATCAAGAGAACCATGCAAAGTGGAAGATTTCTGCTGACTCTCAAAAGAGTTCTGTTCAGCAACTAAATGAACAGTTAGAGAAGGCAAAACTGGAATTAGAAGAAGCTCAGGACACCGTAAGCAATTTGCATCAACAAGTCCAAGATAGGAATGAAGTAATTGAAGCTACAAATGAAGCATTACTTATTAAAGTAAGTAAACATACAAAAGTACATAAAATACATCAATGAAAAAGTACATTTATGACTTTTTTCCCCATCCTTATAGTTCATAAAGGAAAATATGACCAAATGTCGACCAGTTTGAATAAAAAGCATTTTATTTAGAAGACACTGGATGTAGGGATTATAAGTATGATGTATATATCATATTACCATAGGAGAAATAATTTATAAATGTTTGAACACAAACTTAAAATTTTTAAAATTTATTTCTATTTTTTTGGTAGGAACATTTAAGTTCTACTCTCTTAGCAAATTTCAGTTATACAATACCTGTATTACCAACTGTAGTCACCATGTTATATATTAGATCCTCAGACCTTATTCATCTTCTAGCTAAAAGGTTGTACAAACCTCTCACTATTTCCCCTACTGCCTAGCAACCCCTTTTCTATCTGCTGTTTCTGAGTTTGATTCTCTCTCTTTTCTTTTTAAGACTCCACATATAAATGATACCATGAACTATTTGTCTTTCTCTCTTTTATTTAATTTAGCATAATGCCCTCAAGGTCCATCCATGTTGTCACAAATTGCAAGATGTCCTTTCTCATGGCTGAATAATATTCCATTGTGTGTATGTACACACCACATCTTTATCCATTCATCTGCTGATGAACACTTTAGTTGTTTGCTTATTTTGGCTATACTGCTGCCAGGAATGAACTTGGGAATACTTATATCTCTTTGATATCCTGTATTAATTCCCTTTGTGTATATACCCAAAACTGGTGTTGCAGGATCATATGGTAGTTCTAATTTTAATTTTTTGCAGAACCTCCATACTGTTTTCCACAGTGGCTGTCCCAATTTACATTCCACCAACAGTGCACAGAGGTTCCCTTGTATCCACACCCACACCAATACTTGTTATCTCTGGGTTTTTGTTTTTTGTTTTGTTTTTTGTGGGGTTTTTTTGATACTAGCTGTTCTCACAGGTGTGAGGTAATATCTCATTGTGGTTTTGATTTGCATTTCCCTGATGATGAGTGATGTTGAGCACCTTTTCCCTTTTCCTGTATCTTGCCCATTTGTACGTCTTATTTGGAAAAATATCTGTTCAGTTCCTCTGCTGATTTTTAATTGGATTGTTAGGGTTTTGAGTTGAATGAATTCTTTATATATTTCAGATATTCACCCTTTATCGAATATATGATTTGCAAATATTTTCTCCCATTCTGTAGGTTGCCTTTTCATTTTATTATTGATAGTTTACACTGCTGTATAGAAGCTTTTTAGTTGAATATAGTCCCATTTGTTTATATTTGCTTTCATTGCCCTAGCTTTTGTGTCAAATCCAAAAAATTATTGCCAAGCTTGATGTCAAGTAGCTTAACCCCTATTTTTTCTTCTAGGAGATTTATGGTTACACTTAAGTGTTTCGTCCATTTGGAGTTGATTTTTGTATATGCTGTAAGATAGTGATGCAGTTTCATTCTTTTGTATCTGACTGTCCAGTTTTCCCAGCACCATTTATATAGATACTATCCTTTTCCCATTGTGTATTCTTGGTTCCTTTGTCATAAATTAACTTGCTCTGTATGCATGGGCTTATTCCTGGACTATCTGTTCTGTTCCATTGATCTGTGTATACATTTCTATACCAGACCATATTGTTTTTATTACTATAGCTTTGTAATATGGATTGAAATGAAGAAGTGTGATGCCTTCAGCTTTCTTCTTTTTTCTTAAGATTACTTTAGATATTCGGGGTCTTTTCTAGTTCCATATAGATTTTTAGGATTGTTCTATTTCTTTGAAAAATGCCATTGGAATTTGGTTGGGGATTGAATGAATCTGTAGATTGCTTTGGGTAGTATATTGATTTTGTATCCTACAACTTTACTGAATTCATTTATTCTAACGATTTTTAATGGAGTTTTTAGTGTTTTCTATCTATAATATGTGATCTGCAAATACAGCTTCTTTCCAATTTGGGTACTTTTTTTTTTCTTTCCTCCCTCCCTCCCTCCCGCAGAAGGAAAGAGAGAGAGAATCCTAAGCAGGCTCGATGCCCAGTGTGGAGCCTGCACAGGGCTTGATCTCACAACCCTGAGATCATAACCTGAGCCGAAATCAAGAGTCAGACGCTTAACCAACTAAGCAACTCAGGTGCCTCTTTTATTTCTTTTTCTTGACTAATTGCTCTGGGTAGGACTTCCAGTACTATGTTGAATAAAAGTGGCAAGAGTGGGGCACCTGGGTGGCTCAGATGGTTAAGCGTCTGCCTTCGGCTCAGGTCATGAATCCCAGGGTCCTGGGATCGAGTCCCGCATCAGGCTCCCTGCTAGGCGGGGAGCCTGCTTCTCCCTCTGCCTCTGCCTCTCTCTCTCTCTCTGACTTTCATGAATAAATAAATAAAACATTTAAAAAAAAAAGTGGCAAGAGTGTTCCTGGTCTTACAGGATGTTGATTTTTTTCAAATGTTTTTTCTGCATCTACTGAGATGATCGTAAGATTTTTATCCTTCATTTTGTAAATGTGGTGTGTCACACTGATTTTTTTGCAGATAGTGAACCTACGTCTATGGAATTAATCCTACTTCATCATGGTGTATGATCCTTTTAATGTATTATTGAAGTCAGCTTTTCTGCTATTTTGTTGAGGAATTTTGCATCTGTATTCATCAAGGATACTGGCCTTTACTTTTCTTGTGGCTTCCCTGTCTAGTTTGGTATCAGGATGACACTGGCCTCATAAAATGAGTTTGGAAGGGTTCCCTTCTCTTCTGTTTTTTTTTTTGGAAGAGTTTGAGAAGGGTTGATAGTAATTCTTCTTTAAATGTTCGGTAGAATTTGTAATGAAGTCATCTGGTCCTGGACTTTTGTTTCTTTGGAAGTTTTTGATTACTGATCCAATTTCCTTACTATTAATTGGTTTGTTCAGATACTCTATTTTTTCATGATTGTCTCAGTAGATTTTATGTTTCTAGGAATTTATCTGTTTCTTCTAGTCCACTTTGTTGGCATATAAGTCTTTGTATCAGTCTGTAATGATTCTTTGTATTTCTTTGGTAGTAGTTGAAATGTCTTCTTCATTTCTGATTTTATTTATTTGGGCCCTTTTTTCCTTTGGTAAATCTAGCTAAATATTTGTGTATTTTGTTTAGCTTTTTAAAAGCCCCCTTCTCAGTTTCATTGATCTTTTTTTTTTTTTAAAGATTTTATTTATTTATTTGAAAGAAAGAGATCACATAGGCAGAGGGAGAGGGAGAAGCCGACTCGATGTTGAGCAGAGAGCCCGATGCAGGGCTGGATCTCAGAACCTTGAGATCATGAAGACGCTTAACCAACTGAGCCACCCAGGCGCCCTAGTTTCATCGATCTTTTCTGTTGTCTTTTTAGTCTCTATTTCTGCTCTGATCTTTGTTATTTCCCCTTCTCCTAACTTTGGGCTTAGTTTGTTGTTCTTTTTTTAGGTCCTTGAAGTGTGAAGTTAGGTTATTTGCGATCTTTCTTGTTTTCTAATGTAGATGTTTATCACTATGAACTTCCTTCTTAAAAATGTTTTTGCTATATCTCATAGTTTTTGGCATTTTGTATTTCCATTCTCATTTGTCTTGAGGTAATTTTTTTAAATTACTTTAGCCTGTTGGCTGTTCATTAGCATATTTTTAAATCCCCATGTATTTGTGAATTGTCAATTTTCTTGTAATTTATTTCTAGTTTTATACCATTGTGGTTGGAATATATTAATATTTCAGTCTTCTAAAATTTATTAAGACTTGGTTTTTGGCCTAACACATGGTTTACCTTGGAGAATGTTCCTTGTATGTTTGAGAAGAATGTATATAGGCCTTATGCTATATGGAATGTTCTGCAAATGTCTGTTAAGTCCATTTGATATTATGTGTGGTTTAAGTCCAATTTTTCCTTATTGATTTTTCTGCCTTGATCTAGCCATTGATGAAAATGGGGTATTTGAGTCCCCCACCACTATTATGTTTCTGTCTTTTTTTCCCTTCTGGTCTGTTAATATTTGCTTTATATATTTAGGTGCTTCTATGTTTTTGGCCCATAAATTTTATGTAATATACTCTTATTAGATTGACCCTTTTATCATTATATAATGACATTCTTTGTCTCTTCTTACAGTTTTGGCTTGAATATTGTTTTTTCTGATATAAGTATAGCTACTCCAGTATTAGTTTGATTTCCATTTACATGGAATATATTTTTTTAATCTATTTTTTAAATTTTTTAAAGTTTATTTTATTTTAAATTCCAATATAGTTAACATACAGTGTTATATTAGTTTTCAGTGTACGATATAGTGATTCAACAATTCTATACGTCACCCTGTGCTCATCATGACAAGTGCTCTCCTTAATCCCCATCACCTATTTTACCCATCCTCCCACCCACCTCCCTCTGGTAACCATCAGTTTGTTCTCTGTAGTTAAGAGTCCGTTTGTTGTTTATCTCTCTCTCTTTTTCCTTTGCTTGTTTTATTGGATTCTTAAATTCCACATATGAGTGAAATCATATAGGGTATTTGTCTTTGTCTAACTGACTTAATTCACTTAGCATTATACTCCCTAGCTCCATCCATGTCATTGCAAATGGCAAGATTTCATTCTTTTTTATGAATAATATTCCATTGTGTGTGTGTGTGTGTGTGTGTATATCACATCTTTATTCATTCATCTTTCAGTGGACACAGGCTGCTTCCATATCTTAGCTGTTGTAAATAATGCTGCAATAAACATAGGGGTACATGTGTCCCTTTTAATTACTGTTTTTGTATTTTGGGGGTAAATACCCAGTAGTGCAATTGCTGGGTCATGTGGTAGTTATATTTTTAGCTTTTTGAGGAACCTCCATACTGTTTCCACAGTGACTGCACCAGTTTGCATTCCTACCAGCAGTGCAAGAGGGTTCCTTTTTCTCCACATCTTTGCCAACACTTTTTGTTTCTTGTGTTGTTGATTTTTAGCCATTTACACAGGTGTGAGGTGATATCTCATGGTGGTT